TCTACTGAACCATTAGGCCTACAACCACAGCATGTCTACTGAACCATTAGGCCTACAACCACAGCATGTCTACTGAACCATTAGGCCTACAACCACAGCATGTCTACTGAACCATTAGGCCTACAACCACAGCATGTCTACTGAACCATTAGGCCTACAACCACAGCATGTGGGTGTAGAAGGATTACTGTTATACTATTCCAGGTATTCCTTAAAGAGGTAGGGTTTCAAGTGTCTCCGGAAGGTGGTCAGTGACTGTCCTGGCGTCATGGGGAGCTTGTTCCACCATTGGGGTGCCAGAGCAGCGAATAGCTTTGACTGGGCTGAGTGGGAACTGTGCTTCCGTAGAGGTTGGGGGGCTAGCAGGCCAGAGGTGGATGAACGTAGTGCCCTCGTTTGGGTGTAGGGTCTGATCAGAGCCTGAAGGTAAGGAGGTGCCGTTCCCCTCACAGCTCCGTAGGCAAGCACCATGGTTTTCTAGTAGATGCGAGCTTCAACTGGAAGCCAGTGGAGTGTGCAGAGGAGCGGGGTGACATGAGAGAACCTGGGAAGGTTGAACACCAGACGGGCTGCAGCGTTCTTGATAAGTTGTAGGGATTTAATGGCACAGGCAGGGAGCCCAGCCAACAGCGAGTTGCAGTAACCCAGACGGGAGATGACAAGTGCCTGGATTAGGACCTGTGCCGCTTTCTGTGTAAGGTAGGGTCGTACTCTGCGAATGTTGTAGAGCATGAACCTGCAGGATCGGGTCACTGCTTTGATGTTAGCGGAGAACGACAGGATGTTGTCTAGGGTCACGCAAAGGTTCTTTGCACTCTGGGAGGAGGACACAATGGAGTTGTCAACCGTGATGGCGAGATCATGGAGCGGGCAGTCCTTCCCCGGGAGGAAGAGCAGCTCCGTCTTGTTGAGGTTCAGCTTGAGGTGGTGATCCGACATCCACACTGATATGTCTGCCAGACATGCAGAGATGCGATTCACCACCTGGTTATCAGAAGGGGGAATGGAGAAAATTAATTGTGTGTCGTCTGCGTAGCAATGATAGGAGAGACCATGTGAGGATATGACAGAGCCAAGTGATTTGGTGTATAGAGAGAATAGGAAAGGGCCTAGAACTGTGCCCTGGGGAACACCAGTGGTGAGAGCACGTGGTGCGGAGACAGATTCTCGCCACACCACCTGGTAGGAGTGACCTGTCAGGTAGGATGCAATCCAAGAGTGAGCAGCGCCGGAGATGCCCAACTCGGAGAGGGTGGAGAGGAGGATCTGATGGTTCACAGTATCAAAGGCAGCAGATAGGTCTAGAAGGATAAGAGCAGAGGAGAGAGAGTTAGCTTTAGCAGTGCGGAAAGCCTCCGTGATACAGAGAAGAGCAGTCTCAGTTGAATGACCAGTCTTGAAACCTGACTGGTTTTGATCAAGAAGGTCATTCTGAGAGAGATAGCAGGAGAGTTGGCTAGAGACGGCACGTTCAAGAGTTTTGGAGAGAAAATAAAGAAGGGATACTGGTCTGTAGTTGTTGACATCGGAGGGATCGAGTGTAGGTTTTTTGAGGAGGGGTGCAACTCTCGCTCTCTTGAAGACGGAAGGGACATAGCCAGCGGTGAAGGATGAGATGATGAGCGAGGTGAGGTAAGGGAGTAGGTCTACGGAAATGGTCTGGAGAAGAGAGGAAGGGATAGGGTCAAGCAGGCAGGTTGTTGGGCGGCCGGCCGTCACAAGTCGCAAGATTTCATCTGGAGAGAGAGGGGAGAAAGAAGTCAAAGCATGGGGTAGGGCAGTGTGAGCAGGACCAGCGGTGTCATTTGACTTAATAAATGAGGATCGGATGTCGTCAACCTTCTTTCAGCAGAGAGGAGAAGGTGGCAAAGAGCTTCTTAGGGTTAGAGGCAGAGGCTTGAAATGTAGAGTGGTAGAAAGTGTCTTTAGCAGCAGAAACAGAGGAAGAAAATGTAGAGAGGAGGGAGTGAAAAGATGACAGGTCTGCAGGGAGTCTAGTTTTCCTCCATTTCCGCTCGGCTGCCGGAGCCCTGTTCTGTGAGCTCGCAATGAGTCGTCAAGCCACGGAGCAGGAGGGGAGAACCGAGCCGGCCGGGAGGATAGGGGACATAGAGAGTCAAAAGATGCAGAAAGGGAGGAGAGGAGGGTTGAGGAGGCAGAATCAGGAGATCGGAGGGAGAAGGATTTAGCAGAGGGAAGAGATGATAGGATGGAAGAGGAGAGAGTAGTGGGAGAGAGAGAGCGAAGATTGCGACGGCACATTACCATCTGAGTAGGGGCAGAGTGGGTAGGGTTGGAGGAGAGCGAGAGAGAAAAGGATAAAAAGTAGTGGTCGGAGACTTGGAGGGGAGTTACAGTGAGATTAGTAGAAGAACAGCATCTAGTAAAGATGAGGTCAAGCATATTGCCTGCCTTGTGAGTAGGGGGGGACGGTGAGAGGGTGAGGTCAAAAGAGGAAAGGAGTGGAAAGAAGGAGGCAGAGAGAAATTAGTCAAAGGCAGATGTAGGGAGGTTAAAGTCACCCAGAACTGTGAGGGGTGAGCCATCCTCAGGAAAGGAACTTATCAAGGCATCAAGCTCATTGATGAACTCTCCAAGGGAACCTGGAGGGCGATAAATGATAAGGATGTTAAGCTTGAATGGGCTAGTGACTGTGACAGCATGGAATTCAAATGAGGAGATAGACAGATGGGTCAGGGGGAAAAGAGAGAATGTCCACTTGGGAGAGATGAGGATTCCTGTGCCACCGCCGCGCTGACCAGATGCTCTCGGGGTATGCGAGAACACATGATCAGACGAGGAAAGAGCAGTAGGAGTAGCAGTAATCCATGTTTCCGTCAGCGCCAAGAAGTCAAGGGACTGGAGGGCAGCATAGGCTGAGATGAACTCTGCCTTGTTGGCCGCAGAACGGCAGTTCCAGAGGCTGCCGGAGACCTGGAACTCCACGTGGGTCGTGCGCGCAGGGACCACCAGATTAGAGTCATCATGTCTACTGAACCATTAGGCCTACAACCACAGCATGTCTACTGAACCATTAGGCCTATAAGGACAGCATGTCTACTGAACCATTAGGCCTACAACCACAGCATGTCTACTGAACCGTTAGGCCTATAAGGACAGCATGTCTACTGAACCATTAGGTCTACAACCACAGCATGTCTACTGAACAATTAGGCCTATAAGGACAGCATGTCTACTGAACCATTAGGCCTATAAGGACAGCATGTCTACTGAACCCTTAGGCCTATAAGGACAGCATGTCTACTGAACCATTAGGCCTATAAGGACAGCATGTCTACTGAACCATTAGGCCTACAACCACAGCATGTCTACTGAACCATTAGGCCTACAACCACTGACTCCTAACATTATTCTAAACCGTTGTAGTGTAGTCTATTAGGCCCTATGAAGGTTACTATACATATGGTGATATTGTGTTTGTCTCAGCTTCTTTATTTCAAAGCACTTGCTGCAAGTCGACAGGAATAAGACTAAATGTAAAAAATATGATTAATTGGGAACATGAAAGGACACCTGAGTAGTATGTTTAAAACAATTCAGTTACGACTCAGTACCAGCAATCCTGGAAAGAGGCTGCAGGGTGCTTACTGCGTTGTAAGTGGACTACGCTGCTCTCTAGTGGCTCAATGATAATGGACACATTTCCCTCTGCTGGTTACTCCTGCTCACTGCATGTTAGAAAATCTTCACAGATGGAATAAGATAATCAAATTGATACAGTTTGATGCAAAACACGTTTTTTTTTATTCAAATGAATGTAAACAACAGAAACAAAGCTACAATTTCATTTGAGATAGTCCTTGTTGCTATGTTGCAAAATTACCTTGAAGAGGATCCTTCCTTGAAAAACAGAATGACCATCAGTAGTTTCCCATTTCAGGAGTGAATTCCAAAAGACAACTACTCTTTATAGTGTATCACCAAAACATTTAGGATAAACATGCTTTTACAGTGCCCTCAGGAAATAACCAGGTGAATACTTGGCAATAATTACCTGCAATCTCTAATGATCAAATTGTCATTTTAGTACAAATATACTATTTACCTGCTTATTTCATAAACACGACACTCTAAAGTGTTCAACTGCAGTAAATGCATGATCACCAGTGTAATATTCATCCCAATGTACTAAGCTATCAAGTACAACACTCTCAACTGACATTCATATTATCAGGCAGAGGCATCATGCCCATAGGGCAGATTTGTCCTGTTTAAAAAAAATAAAAAATAAAAAGCCTCCTAACAATTTTATGAAGTTGGCTTTAGCTAGCCCAGATAGGTTCCCAATCTCCCAACCTCATAACTAGCTATAAAGAAGCCATTTCAGGCTATCAAACAAGTTAGAGTAGCTAGCTTGTCTAACTATCTTAGCTAGCATGCCTGCTGGCAAGGTTGGTAGACTTTAGAAAAGCAAACAATTCCTAAATGTACTGAATAAGACTCACATTCCTTTCAATCTTTTACCCATATTTTAGCAGAGAATAATATTTTGTTTCTTTAAAAAATGAACCACCAGTCAGGAGGATACAGACAGCTCAAAAAGTATGCTTAGATATACAGAAAAATATACATATTTTTCACACAGAATTAGCCATAATAATCATGGCTCTAGATTGCAGGAAAAAGCTGTTTCAGGTGTTTGAAAAATGCTAAATTCACCAACTCCCCAGACATCCTCACGTACTTTGTGCCCCCTCAGATTTTTGGGGTACAAGACGCCCCTGTTAACAGGGGCCAGAATTTTACAAGAATGACTAGCGATGGATGCTCCAAATGATTTCTCAGATATCTGATCTCCAGCATAGTGAGATGAAAGGACTTTATGTCCTGAGTTGAGTTCCTACAGGTCTGTTAGTCTTTCAGTCTGCAATCTCCAAGGTAAGCATGGACGCCCCAGCCTGTTAACTATACATCACCCATGCATGTCTTTTTGAAGACTCCTTACAGGTTTTTTTTTATATTGAGAGGCCTGAGAAGGCTTGAGGATTCCTTGGTACGAGTCGTCCAATCTGTTGAAGCTGTTTGTCAGAGAGGGTTAGGGCTGTCCTAAGTTCATGAGTTCCCGGTTTTCAGATGGAGGGGGTTGTTCAGTCTTTCTCTATGGTTTGAAGGTGGAGGGGGTTGTTCAATCTTTCTCTATGGTTTGAAGGTGGGGGGGGTTGTTCAGTCTTTCTCTATGGTTTTCAGATGGAGGGGGTTGTTCAGTCTTTCTCTATGTAACCCACCAGACGGGCACTTCCTTCCAAAGCCTCTTGGCCACCGCATCATCCCTCCCCTCTGGGGCGGTCTCCATCACGACACAGTCACTGAGACACACACACAATAACACTTTACAAACCAGAGCTAAACAACCTTGACAACAATTCAAAAACAATAGAATACAGTAACTTTGACTTAATGTCCATGTCCTATCCACCACTACTTTCACAACAGAGCTTACCTGAAGTAGCAGCCAGACTTGTGCTCCAATCCTGGGGTGACAGCACAGTAGATGGAGGTCTGTGCGCCCTGGGTGGAGGTCTTCATGAGGAGCACGGAGGGGGCTGACAGGATGGCCCTCAGCATGGGGAACCAGGTCTCCACGTGGCGGGTCAGCTCTGTCCTGATCACCCCGGGATGCAGGCTGTAAGACGTCACCCCCGTACCTACCAGGGGATCAGATCCCAGTGTGTTACACCTCTACACAGTGTCTGGGAAAAGTCCTATCTGCCAGTGAATTAAAACTGTTATTGGTGACAATATCGTTGTTGTAATGGTTGTAATAAATGTGCACAAAGCCAAAGACAACCAAGGGTATTTCCGTTTACCTTTCAACCTTCTGGCCAGCTCTCTGGAGAATAGCACGTTGGCCAGCTTGCTCTGTCTGTAACTGACCAGAGAGTTGTATGGCCTCTTGGCAAAGAAAAGATCATCAAACTGGATCTTACCTAGATGTAGGAAAATAAACATAGTTTTTTTTTACATTGCATGGCACCTATATTATGGAAAGGCAGAAAAAAGTCCAATAGTCCGGTTTACCCCCTTTGTGTGCAATGCTAGACACATTGACCACACGGCTAGGGGCGGAGCTCTTGAGCTTCCCCAGAAGGAGATTGGTCAGCAGGAAGTGTCCGAGGTGATTGACAGCCAGTTGTGTCTCGAAGCCGTCCTCTGTTAGCCACTTAGGGCACATCATCACACCTGATGGAGACAATCATCATGATGAAGCGCTATATAACTGGAATCAACCATCCTTATCAGTCATAATGCCATAGAGCCAGCTTCCCATTCAGGGCCCGTATTAACAAAGCATCTCAGTGTAGGAGTGCTGATCTAGGATCAGGTCTCCCCGGTCCATGTAATCTTATTCGTTATGATCTAAAAGGAGAAAAAAAACTATCCTAGATCAGCACTTTTCCCTCTGAGACATTTTGTGAATCTGTGCCCAGACATGGCTGTTCCAGTGGTTGCTGATGCCATAGAGCCAGCTTCCCGTCCAGACATGGCTGTCCCAGTGGTTGCTGATGCTCACCGGCATTGTTGATGAGTATATCTAGGCGATCCTCACTGGCAATGAACTCTTTGGCCAACTCTCTGACAGAGTACATAGAGGCCAGGTCCAGGTGACGCACTACGATGTTGTTGTTCCCCGTGGCCTGACGAATCTCGTCCGCCGCCCTCGCAGCCCGTGTCAGGTCCCGGCACGCCATCACCACCCGCGCCCCTGCAGCTCCCCAAAGTCAGTTAGAGAAGGCACAAACACACAACACAAACCATCCCCCACAGAGTACATTCTGTCCAAAGAGGAGGGTACCCTGCTCCCAGTATTCCAACCATTTCCTGGGATGGAATGGTCGAAGCAGCAGTATAACACCCAGCCTTAAAGTAGGTCAAAATGTGGCCATATCTGATACACACATACCACATACACACACACTTTGTGACATTGTGTACATAACTACATTTGTGATTGTGCCATACCTCTACGTGCCATGTCACGGCACGTTTCCTTGCCAATGCCGGTGTTGGCACCGGTGACCAACACCGTCTTGCCACGTAATTGGACTGAAGATCGACACACACCCCCAGCAATCCATTTTCTCAGCAGAACAATGCCTGGCGGTGCAACAAACAACATGAAAACAATTAATTCCCTCCCACATTATCACTTGAAAGCTGTACTCTCTTAGAAAAAAAGGTGCTATCTAGAACCTAAAAGGGTTCTTCGGTTCTTCTTCCGGGTAGAACCCTTTGGGTTCCATTTAGAACCCTTTCCACAGAGGGTTCTACATGGAACCCAAAAGTGTTCTACCTGAAACATAAAAGGGTTCTACATGGAACCAAAATAGTTATCCTATGGGGACAGCCGAAGAACCCTTTTGGAACCTTTTTTTCTAAGAGTGTAGTGAGTAGATTTGAGTGCAAAATATTATGGTGACCAGGAATATGGACTAGAACTCTGACTGTGAAGCTCTGGTGTCTGAGCTGATGATGTTTTGGTGGAGGCAATGTAGGACTCTTAAAATCAAATGTTTCTGTGTTTTCTGACAGAAACTCTGAGTATTTTAAGATGCTCCTGGAATGTATGAGCACGAGTGAACTGTGCATTTGATATTAAGAGCTGGGATATTTGTTGTGGTAAAGAACTGTTCAAAAACATTGAATAACATAAAGATAACATCTTAATAACAGATGTCTGCAGAGAGAGCATAAATATATGCTGGCAAATTTAGTAAAGTGTTCTTCACAAATTAGAATTAACACCACCAATTTTGTTATTGTCTGTTTAATATTCAAAATAACAGCAAAGTTATCTCTCTCTCTAGAGAGACAAAAAGACAAACCAAGTTGAATTATAATAGAAAATGAAAATTATCTTTAGAGCCTTTTTTAAAAACTGTTAAATCGATTTGATATTCTGAGTAATTTCCTTGCCCCGCATTCACATTTCATTCAAAGTCTATTCTATATTTTTGACTTGGTTATTTCATTGCAACAAACACGCTTCAAATAGTACAAAGAACAACAAAGGCCAAGACTTACAGATCACTGTCACCGCTATGACAGCGCCATACTTAACCGGCGCAGACGGATCAACTTCATCCCACATTTTATCCGTAGCCTAGGCAAAGACCTGCCAGACCATAGGTGGACGGACCGAATACCGTCCTCCTTGGGAGTCACTTCGTTCTAATCCAGGAATATTACGATGTTTGTCGGCTATGATGCTCTCATCTGAGAGCGAGGCTATTAATAGGTTTAAAGCTATTTAAATAGAGGGATTTAGCGTCTGTTTTCAGATTACGAAGCGATTACACTCGTATTCTCTATTGTATCATTGGCAATACGAGAGCAGCAGTGGTGTCGAAATACAAAGTGTTATGTTACATCTCTAGGTGTGAACTGAGTGAGCCCCGTCCAGCGAATGAAAACGCTGCAAACAAATGTTTACATACCAATGCAAATGAATAGAATTGTATAACAGTGCATTTTATTAGAATACAATTCCTAGATCATGATCTGACATAAAGGCTATATCCATGTCATGCCATTTAGGCTAATCTGCTGCCTACAACGATAAACGTTGACATCACAATGACAGGCTAATATCCTTATGTTTATAGGCTGCTGTGATAGTTGTTTGGTTAGGCTATTAGAGGTAAGACCTATTGCATAACACATATCCTTTATCAAATGTATAGGGACCAGAGGGAGATGGCATGCCTACTGTGCTACACTGATGCTACCCCACATTAATATTACTGGTCAGCATTACAATAGCCTAAACCTATAACCTAAGAGAATTAAATATGTATTTTTTTAATACACATTTCGAAATATATAGGCATAAGATTATGTTGAATATGGGCCACACACTAAGCAGGCAATCAAACAGAAAGTTATTAATGTACCCTCAGAACCTCAACCTGTGATGAAGGATATGGACACTATATTAAAGTAAAGGTCACTTTTTGTCTCTGTTATATGTGTTTTTTTTTGTGTTCATTTCCAGTCTACGCTACTCATATATTTCATTTCCCAGTTGTAAATAATGTCAAAGAGAAGACATGATGGTCTGTAAACAAAATCTTTGATGAAGAATTGGAGTCTGAACTTGCCTGTTAACAGTTATTTGACTAGGCTACACATTGAAGTACCCTGGACATTAGTTTTTTTGTAATCTGAGTAATTTGTTACTCAACCCTGTCCAAGACAGTCTAGGCCTATAGCCTATAAGCAGTCTTTGTGTAACATTGTTTTGTTAAGTGGGCTACATGTAGGCCTATGTCATGTACATGAATCCAAAAGCGAATAAATTATCCTGGATGATTATCCTTTCTCTTTCACACACACACACACACACACACACACACAGTTCACTCTGTAAAATTGTAATGTGAGAACATAAAATTGCAGTGTGAGAATGTAACATTAATCAGCATATCAATAGTTAGTTCTCGAGAACCCAGACCTTCAGTTCTCAATTGAACGTATGGACCACAGCTGGATCAATGAACTACAATGCTATCACTCTGTTTTAAAGTTTAGAAACGTTAATAATCCTCACTTGCGATAGGCCTACGGTTTTGGAAACCTTTGTAACTTAACTTTCACATCAGGGTGAAATAATCTTTCAAATACAAAATATACACGTACTGTATGCAGTTTAGCAAAGTTGCATCCTTGTTGCACCCTGCAGAATTTTTTAAAAAACACAGCCCCCAGCCTAGGTACGAAACTTCCTCCCCAGTCATGCTCTATTGGAAATTGGAGGGGAGGAAGTGTAGTCTCGGTTTGAGGCAGCGTTCTTTCCTAAACTGCTTACAGTAAATGTATATTTTGTATATGAGCAATTATTTCTTGCTAATATGAAAGTTGAGTTCCAAATGATTCAAAAACAGTATCGCTTGCGAGGTGTATTTGCGTTTAGACAGAGCATTTTGGCAGCTTCGGAGCGTCTGGGCATTTTTCTCACAAGGCTAAAGAGGATGTCCAATGGCTCAATGTAATGCAATGTAATTGGAGTCATGAATAAGGGATAATCAATTGCATCATGATAGAACAAAATGGCTGCTTGCAGCTCCAATTAATTTGCCTTTATTGAGTGTATGGATATTAGTATTGACACACATTTGGTTGAAATTAATACTATTTGATGTATTTGAGTATTAATGACCGTGTTAGAAGGTAATTGAATTTAATTATTGACGTTTTTTATGTAATTTCTGAAAACAACGCAGTTTTAGGACAAATCTATTTCCTGAAACGCTTAGCTCCGCCTCTCTTCTGTACATTGATGGAAGCCAATCACAGTGCAGATTTTAAAGCGGAAATGACGCAAAACTTTGTTTCGACCAATGTAATTTGCTGAAAGAGGTAAACGTCTGTCTCCTTCATGCGGATTAATATGCCTCCAATGGGGAACATGTAGCCCGCGAATAATTTTTGTGTATTCTTGTTTATTAGCGTTCTGTCTTCGTATTGGAAAGGGTAAGTATTTACCTGTAATAGTTGATGGTCTACTTTTAGTTTAAGTGTGTCACAAATAATCCTTTTTTTTTGCCGTAAATATATCTAATATGCACACTAAACGTCGCAGTGGAAAGGCATCAATAGCGTAGCCTACGGTTGTGAGTCTCAGTAGTAACATGTCTTTCCCCCAAAATGTGTGTGTGTGTGTGTGTGTGTGTGTGTGGGGGGGGGGTTCTTATCTGTTTGGAATGCGACTATTCCATTACGAGATCATGTCTTCTTCAATACATGTGTATAACTTGTTTGACTCAAGGAACGAATGGCTGTTTATTGCAGACATGCACCTCAAATCTGTCATGCATGCAGAGAACTATTTTCCCCCGCCCCTTTCGTAAATTTCCTAGTGGTTGCCAGGGACATTTTGCGAGAATTTCTATCACAATGAACCAGAGAAGAATAATAGATGAACTCAATTATATATATATATATATATATTTATTTATTTTGCCTAATTTTTACTTTTTTATTTTTTTTATTTCACCTTTATTTAACCAGGTAAACCAGTTGAGAACAAGTTCTCATTTACAACTGCGACCTGGCCAAGATAAAGCAAAGCAGTGCGATAAAAACAACAACACAGAGTTACATATGGGGTAAAACAAAAAAAAAAAAACAAAAAAAAAAAAAAAAAATACAACAGAAATACAATTAATATACAGTGTGCAAATTTAGCAAGTTATGGAGGTAAGGCAATAAAATAGGCTATAGTGCAAAATAATTACAATTTAGTATTAACACTGGAATGATGTGCAAGAGATGATGTGCAAATAGAGATACTGGGGTACAGATGAGCAAAATAAATAACAATATAGGGATGAGGTAGTTGGGCGGGCTAATTTCAGATGGGCTGTGTACAGGTGCAGTGATCGGTAAGGTGCTCTGACAACTGATGCTTAAAGTTAGTGAGGGAGATAAGTGTCTCCAGCTTCAGAGATTTTTGCAATTTGTTCCAGTCATTGGCAGCAGAGAACTGGAAGGAATTGCGGCCAAAGGAGGTGTTGGCTTTGGGGATGACCAGTGAGATATACCCGCTGGAGCGCAGACTACGGGTGGGTGTTGCTATGGTGACCAATGAGCTAAGATAAGGCGGGGATTTGCCTAGCAGTGATTTATAGATGGCCTGGAGCCAGTGGGTTTGGCGACGAATATGTAGTGAGGACCAGCCAACAAGAGCGTACAGGTCACAGTGGTGGGTATTATATGGGGCTTTGGAGACAAAACGGATGGCACTGTGATAGACAACATCCAATTTGCTGAGTAGAGTGTTGGAGGCTATTTTGTAAATGACATCGCCGAAGTCAAGGATCGGTAGGATAGTCAGTTTTACGAGGGCATGTTTGGCAGCATGAGTGAAGGAGGCTTTGTTGCGAAATAGGAAACCGATTCTAGATTTAACTTTGGATTGGAGATTCTTAATGTGAGTCTGGAAGGAGAGTTTACAGTCTAACCAGACACCTAGATATTTGTAGTTGTCCACGTACTCTAGGTCAGACCCGTCTAGAGTAGTGATTCTTGTCGGGTGGGCGGGTGCAAGCAGCGTTCGGTTGAAGAGCATGCATTTTGTTTTACTAGTGTTTAAGAGCAGTTGGAGGCTACTGAAGGAGTGTTGTATGGAATTGAAGCTCGTTTGGAGGTTTGTTAACACAGTGTCCAATGAAGGGCCAGATGTATACAAAATGGTGTCGTCTGCGTAGAGGTGGATCTGAGAGTCACCAGCAGCAAGAGCGACGTCATTGATATACACAGAGAAAAGAGTTGGCCCAAGAATTGAACCCTGTGGCACCCCCATAGAGACTGCCATAGGTCCAGACAACAGGCCCTCCGATTTGACACATTGAACTCTATCTGAGAAGTAGTTGGTGAACCAGGCGAGGCAGTCATTTGAGAAACCAAGGCTATTTAGTCTGCCAATAAGAATGCGGTGGTTGACAGAGTCGAAAGCCTTGGCCAGGTCAATGAAAACGGCTGCACAGTACTGTCTATTATCGATCGCGGTTATAATATCATTTAGGACCTTGAGCGTGGCTGAAGTGCACCCATGACCAGCTCGGAAACCGGATTGCATAGCGGAGAAGGTACGGTGGGATTCGAAATGGTTGGTGATCTGTTTGTTGACTTGGCTTTCAAACACTTTTGAAAGGCAGGGCAGGATGGATATGGGTCTGTAACAGTTTGGATCTAGAGTGTCACCCCCTTTGAAGAGGGGGATGACCGCGGCAACTTTCCAATCTCTGGGGATCTCAGACGTTACGAAAGAGAGGTTGAACAGGCTAGTAATAGGGGTTGCGACAATTTCGGCGGCTAGTTTTAGAAATAAATTATCAGAGAAGCAATGTTTTCATTCAATACTTTACTTTAATATTTTGTTTATATCTTTAGAAATTAAATTTCATAAGATTATTTAAAGCCTGGACAGATTTTCTACAATGCTGAACCCAAGTCTCTGAGTCACATTGTCATCATTCAATCAATAGGCAATTTTTTTTTATACTGTAGATTACAATATAATAAATGTGTGAAATAAATTAACTTTATAGTTTCATACAAGTTACACAAACACGTGACAGTTATAACACATAGATATTTACTCAAGCGACAATGGCCTTTTTTAATGTACTGTATGGTGTTCTGACACTGTTCATAGTGCTCAAGTGATAGACCTACACTTATGAGTGTACACTTACTAGACATTTTAATTATTCAGTGTGTCTTAGCTGTTCATTAGACATATTTGATCCGTTCAGCAATATGGACGGCGATTTATTCATGGAGTGTGAGGAGGAGGAGCTGGAGCCATGGCAACAGATGTATGACGACGTGGAGGAGGAATTGGAATTCATAGAGGGCGACATTGACAACGGTGAGCATGCCCATTGGCCAACTATTGCCACGGAGACAGACTGGCACACCCTCTTGACTGTCATCTTGGTGACTGACTGACCACTGCGGCCCTTGTCATGGTCTGAACATGTATGAATGGTCAATGACCCAGTCATATAGGCTGTTAGCATAAGACGTGTCAAACTCATTCCACGGAGGGCCAAGTGTCTGCAGGTTCTCTCCTCCCTTGTACTTGATTGATGAATTAAGGTCAGTAATTAGTAAGGAACTCCCCTCATCCGGTTGTCTAGGTCTTCACTGAAAGGAAAAACCAAAAACAAGCAGACACAAGGCCCTGCATGGAATGAGTTTGACACCCCTGGCATAAGACTATGCTGTGAAATAAAATCAAAGTTTATTTGTTCTGTGCACAGGATACAACAGGCCTAAATAGTACAGTGAAATGCTTACTTGCAAGCTCTTCCTCAACAATGGAATATTCAATATCAAAGGTAAAGAAGTAAAAAATCCAGAATAGAAATGGAAAAAAAGGTCAGATAAAATAAAAACACAGGAGAATGTACGCTAATTCTCATGTAGTTCAACTGTACCTTGCTGTTTATGCCGTTGTGTGTTTCCTGCAGTCTGTGAAACCTCCTTTTCCTCCACGACATCCCGAGAGACTCCAGTTCCCAGCATACCCTCCCTCACTCACTCAGCTGCACAGCGTGTCCCGGCAACGGTTTCCAACACAGGCCAGTCCTCCTCCTCTGTCTTGCAGCGCACCACTATAGCACGTGAGTTTATGTTTTGGGGGAAGGATGGCGTCTCAAACACACACTGCCGAAAGGCTAAAACAGCTGTCGTTACTTTCAGAAACACAGGAAATGCTCAGTAATGGATTTTGATTATTTGATTGTACAGGAGTATTTATAAATGCGTTATACACTTCGGAGTCAGAAACTAAAGAGAATGCAACACTGATTATAATATGCAGTTGGCCTACACTTCAAAGCAGTTGTAGAAGACATGAGTCCGGCTCATGGTCTCGTGATGAGGTAGCCCCTGCCTGCGACTTCAAAATCAGTGTCACCCTCACCAAAGGGGGAATGTCCTCTTGGTCTAACGGTCAAGACATTGGTTTCTCCCTTGGTAGACACAGGGTTCAGATCCCACCCGTGACACTAACCACTAGGTTGTCCCCCTTCCTCTGTGTCCCTCAGCTCCTGTGTCGTCATCGGTGTTACCTCAATTTATGGTCCCCACGGGGGTCCCTGGTATGCCCTCTCTGGTGCCATCGGGCATGGTCCAGGGACAACAGCTGATCCAGATCCAAACCCCTACAGGTCTGAGCACCATGCTACTGCCCACAGCTGTTAACCCTGGTGCCGGCCCTGCCAATGCCCAGCAGATCTACTTCACCCAGGTACGGACTGCATCAGTGGTCACGGATCTTCTCCGGCCTGCTTCGGTTCAGTTCAGCAAGGGGGAATGCATTTAAGAATGTATTTAACTTCAACTCATTATTACATCTCACAGGGTTTCCCGGTCCGAAATGTGAGGCCTGGGCAGAACCCTATGGGGATAGTTCTGAATTTACAACAAGGGCAGATGATTCGACCCATCACTCTACTCTCTGGTAATTGTATCTCTTACTTCTTTAGTCAATGCTGTTTTCACAGATCTACAACAGACAGGTCCCGCAACATACTGGGGTCCCAAACACTCATTTTTGAAAAGTCTCCAGGAAGCAAGTTATTGACAGCAGCCATTTTGGACAACATAGTGTATAGTAACACCATTTTGTTAACAGCCCCCTCTCTCCTATGGTAGGACCTGGAGGGCAGTTCTTTGCTCCGTCTATGGGGATGCCTCAGGTTGTGAGCCAGCCTGCACAGATTAGGCCCACTGCTGGCCCTAGTGGTGTTTTACGGCAGGCAGCGCCCGGCACCTTTGCCACTATGCAAATCCCTGCCACCCTCACCATCCGCGGGGCCAGTCATGCCCCCCTCACAACCACAGCTAGCACCATGGGCAACCGGCCCACCCTACTCAACCCTTCCTCACAGCCTCAGATTTGTAAGTTCTTATTTTATGGGTGGATCTCAATAGTCTAAATTCAATAAAGTACTGCTTTTGTATATATTGTTAAATCTGTTGAACTTATCATGACCAACTTATGTTCCCCTGCTTTTCTTTGTGCTATAGTGAAATGGAACCAAGTCCCAGTCGCTCTCCAATCGCAGCTACTGCAGATCGTCAAGAGCAACAGCCAGGCCAATGTACCCGTGGCCACGCCCCTGACACAGGGCATCACCAAAGGTACAGTAAATACACCCATATCAGAACTATTGCTCATTATCATATGCACTCGCTGGTTCTAAGTATAAAATGTTTCTCTGTTCTGTTTGTTTTACAGTTGATCAGGCGCTGAAAATATGCCCCCGTTGTGGAGCCCAATTCAAAATGCAAGAAGCACTTCAAGGACATATGTGTGTAAGAAGCTTTATCATATGCACCTTAGAACATCCCAGATATTAAACCATGAACCACAGGTATGATGAGCATGATGGCAATTTAAACTGCATTGAATTCCTCCCTCACAGTTCTGCTGTCCAGACCTGGTCAATACTGCAGGGCCTTCCAGCAGCAGTGGCACTCAGAACCCCCTGCCAGAACGGGCCCCCAGCTCCAATCCAGACCCTCCGCCTAAGGTGGTTATGCTAGTGGATGATTTCTACTATGGCCGCTTCGCGGGCCAACAGTCTCTGGTCGACAGCCAGCCCACCAAGCTGAACTACTCCTTCAAATGTGTCATCTGCCCTAAGAGGTCCAATAGCAACATTAGGTGAGAATGAGGTCAGCTGCTCCACACACACACACACACACACACACACACACACACACACACACACAGTATGTACACATACAGCCTGACCTGAAATGACAACATTAGGGGGCAGAAGTATCAATCAGATGTTTGCATGTGATACATTGCCACAAAGGTATCTGGACCACTTATTCAAGTGTTAGAACTATGCAAATGCAAATCTCAATTGATGGAAGGATGTTAACTGTGTTTGCGTGTGTGTGTGTGTGTGTGCGTGCTCGGCAGGCTGATGGACCACATGAAGCAGCACCCAGAGATGACTAAATGGGTGGACCAACTGACCTCCTGCCAGCACTGCTTCCGCCAGTTCTCTACCAGCGCCCAGCTCCAGCACCATGTGGAGAATGCCCACGGGCCCACTCAGTCTTCCAGTACGCCCTCACATATGACAATACTTACATATTCATCTGTTGTTAAATATGCATCCTGTGACATTTTTGAAAATCATGTTTTCTCTATTGACCGTGCAGCTTGTTGCAAGATCTGTGAGTGGGCGTTTGAGAGTGAGCCTGTGTTCCTGCATCACATGAAGAACACCCACAAACCAGGAGAGATGCCCTATATTTGCCAGGTTGGTGACCTTTCACCTCCAGTTGAACATGATAGAATACATGCTGCCCACCTTCCCATTTACTCTCAGAACCACACCTTCCTGAAATCCCATCCCTTCTTTTCAAGGTGTGTCAGTACCGATCTTCTTTCTTTTCGGATGTGTACAACCACTTCTGTACCAGTCATGCAAAGACATGCAACCAGCTGTGTGTTTACTGCCTGAAGGTGTTCAAGAGCCCCAACTCCTACCAGCAGCACTACATACGACACCAGGTAGAGAAACAACCCAGGAGCATTAGATTTTACATTTACGTCATTTAGCAGACGCTCTTATCCAGAGCGACTTACAGTAGTGAGTACATACATTTTCTCGTAATGGTCCCACGTGGGAATCGAACCCACAACCCTGGCGTTGCAAGCGCCATGCTCTACCAACTGAGCCACACAGTACCACAAAAAAAACTAGTATTGTTCCCATTTAAAACTGTTGTAAATAATTTACTTAAAGGAAGGTATTTTCTTAAAGTGCAAAAAAGTATTTATGGCCTGGTTTCCCGCGCTCATATTAAACCTATTCTTGGATTAAACACCAATCTCAATAGAGAATCTTCATTGTAAGTGTGTTTTTAGTCCAGGACTAGGTTAAATCTGGGTCTGGGAAACGGTCCCGTATGTTTTATAAAGGCAGTTGTACTGCAAAGTAGGCGTTGCAAGAAAAATTGTTTTGTAAACTCTTGTACAAAGGAAAAAATAGATCAGCAGTTTCTTCTGCATTTTATGTTTAACGCTGAAACACTGAACCCAACTCTTGATTTTTCAGGCCAGTAGAGCGAGTCACTGCAACAAGTGCCGTTTGCAGTTCCTCTCCGCCACGGACAGGATGGAGCACAAAACCCACAGCCACAGGACCTTCCGCAAGCCCAAGCAGCTGGAGGGGCTCCAACCTGGGACTAAAGTGAGTTGATGAACAGCTTAATTTAACTGATTAGTCATTCTCTTAGTTGTGCCACACTCTTAGTAGAAAAGGTGCTATCTAGAACCTAAAAGGGTTATTCTGCTGTTCCCATAGGAGAACCCTTTGAAGAACCCTTTTTGGTTCTGGGGTAGAACCCTTTTGGGTTCCATGTAGAACCCTTACAGAGGGTTCTACATGGAACCCAAAAGAAGGGTTCTACATGGAACCCAAAAGTGTTTTCCTATGGGGACAGCCGAAGAACCCTTTTGGACCCCTTTTTTCTAAGAGTGTAGAGATTCAGGCAATTCACTTGTTGGACAGAACAACAGTTAACCAAAAAGCAATGCATGTCCTAGATCAAGAAGGAGTTATATTAGTGTAGGTATAATATTCATTGGTAGAATGGGGTTAAACACAGTGTTGTATTCTTGTCTGTGTACTTAGGTGACCATCAGGGCATATGCCCACCACAAGGGACAGTTGCCCAAGAATGTACCTGTGGACTATAAGACGACAGGCCCCACTCCTCAGGCGGGCCAGACCTACACTAACAGCAACATACAACACAAACCTCATCAGTCCAAACCACCTCCACAAACAACCAAAACCACCATGAGGAAATCCATCAAGCAGTTGGACCTGCTCACCAAGTTTCAGAAACGGAGGTGAATAATAGTCATATTGTTGTGCATTTCTTCTCCATGGAGCTACACAAATCCCAGGAGGACATTCTGTCTTCTATCTTTAATCTCAGACTTAGTTTTTGATTGAGCTATATGACAGTAGGGCTACCTTGCCCTCTGATAGCATGTATAAACATAATCATCATTTGGTGGGTGTTTTATATTTGTTCTTTTTCACACATGTACAAGTGTGTACTAATACGCGTGTGTGAATTGGAAATACGTTTTTTTGCATATCCCAACTCTCTCTGAGACACCCTCGGAGAGTGGGGTCACTGCCAGGGTGATTATATAAACGCATATATTGTGGCTGAAGTGTCTGACCTCTGTGTGACCTCCTCTACAGTGTGTCGCTAGTCAAGCAGCGGTGCATGGAGTGCAGCTCAGACGTACCCAGCTTCCCCGACCACTACCCCACCTTCGTCCACTGTGCCGTGTGCCCCTACAGCACCTGCTGCTCGCGCTCCTACGCAGACCACATGATCACGTAAGTCAAGCTTCATTATCGATATAGATCATGTTTTATTAGCCAAAGAAACAATAGTTCATTCATTGATCATAGATGACTTGGAAAGTTTGATAGCGGTTAATTTCTCTTGTTGCAGAAATCATGCACCACGTATGAAAACCAACCACGTACCCCTGCACAAGCGGCCACCCCCTTGGTAATGGACACTGTTTCCCGCTGTGTTGTGTTTTTTATATTTTTTGCTTGCCAGTTACTACGGACACTTGCCAACCTTCTCTCCCTCTGTCCCACACAGCTATTTGAAGCTGCTGTGTGAGGTCTGTGACTTCAGCTCTCAGACGGGTGACCTTATGGCCAAGCACCTGGCCCAGTACCCAAGTCACGGCTCTAGCACCTGTACACCAAACGGTGGGTGTCTTCAAGCTCCCCACAGAACTCCAAACAGATAGCCTTGGCATGAATATGTCAGTTTTACCATGGAAGAGGGGAGATGCTTTATATTTGCAGTCTAGAAAACGTTTTGAAACTGCTATATTAATTAAAATTGTATAAAGTATATACTATTTACAAAAGTGTATTTATAAGAACTACAATGCATAAGCATTTAGACATTAACATTTATAATTTATACAGCATTAATCTTATTCATTAAACATACTATAACGTGTAACCAGGATGGCAACACTAATAAAAAAGAGTACCATGATTTGAAAAAGATATCTAGTTGTGGTGGGTTGGTGTCCTTATCTTAAAAAATATATCTAGTTGTGGTGGGTTGGTGTCCTTATCTTTAAAAATATATCTAGTTGTGGTGGGTTGGTGTCCTTATCTTTAAAAATATATCTAGTTGTGGTGGGCTGGTGTCCTTATCTTTAAAAAGATACCTAGTTGTGGTGGGTTGGTGTCCTTATCTTTAAAAATATATCTAGTTGTGGTGGGTTGGTGTCCTTATCTTTAAAAAGATATCTAGTGGTGGGTTGGTGTCCTTATCTTTTTCTGTTTGCTTCGTTGTTTAACTTGGCCTGATGCCAACTGTTTTGTTGCACAGGTTGAGCTTATCTCCACTTGTGAACACTGAGAGACATGGTGCACACCAGATCTTGTACAGTGAGAGACATGGTGCACACCAGATCTTGTACAGTGAGAGACATGGTGCACACCAGATCTTGTACAGTGAGAGACATGGTGCACACCAGATCTTGTACAGTGAGAGACATGGTTCACACCAGATCTTGTACAGTGAGAGACATGGTGCACACCAGATCTTGTACAGTGAGAGACATGGTGCACACCAGATCTTGTACAGTGAGAGACATGGTTCACACCAGATCTTGTACAGTGAGAGACATGTTTCACACCGGATCTTGTACAGTGAGAGACATGTTTCACACCAGATCTTGTACAGTGAGAGACATGGTTCACACCAGATCTTGTACAGTGAGAGACATGGTGCACACCAGATCTTGTACAGTGAGAGACATGGTTCACACCAGATCTTGTACAGTGAGAGACATGGTGCACACCAGATCTTGTACAGTGAGAGACATGGTTCACACCAGATCTTGTACAGTGAGAGACATGGTTCACACCAGATCTTGTACAGTGAGAGACATGGTTCACACCAGATCTTGTACAGTGAGATACATGGTGCACACCAGATCTTGTACAGTGCCCATAAAATCCCCTCATATAGGACACCAGAGGGGCCCTTCTCTCATAAATATTTGTACATCTATATTGGTTAGGTCAAATCCTTATGTTCTGGTCATGTGGTCGCACAAAAACTATTGGCCCTACCTAATGTAAAACTATTTTTACAAACTTGTAACACTAATACAATTGAAATTGTGAGGGAGTATAGGCCTGTGTGTGTTTGTCTACAGAAAGTAATGTGGCAAAAGATTACCCACACAATACCCCTTCTCTTCATTAATGAGGTAAAACAACGCTACATGGCCGCCGCATCCCATGTTGCTAGTTCACACATAGCAGGGATCATCAACTAGATTCAACCACGTGACGATTTTATTTTATTTTTTCTTGAGGGGATGGTCAGGGGTCCGAAACATAATTACAAATAATTTGTAGAATGCAAATTGACCTCAAGAAGCCCAAACTGATATAATATTTGACTAAAACATAATCATTTCAAACCTTGCTTGCATTTTTATACGATCACATATCTCTTTATAATGTGTGGGAATACAGGCCAAATTCGGCCTGCGGGTCGCCAGTTGGGGAACCCTGTACTACAGGAACTGGCAAACAGATTTTTGTACATCAAGACACACTCCAAAGCATGTTTTGTGCCAAAGTAAATAGGAAAATGTGTGGAGTCCAAAAATTACCCAAGTGCAGAGGAGGAATGTCTTACCAAGGAGCCAGTCTGCATACCAATCTGTTTTCATCTGCCATTTATGTTGTCTTCAGACTACTGGCCAGTTGAGAAGGGGTTATATTTTCCCCTGTTCTCTTTCTATCCACATGGTGTCGTAAAAGTGGACTAGCGCTGACATAAGAAATGGCCCATGGTGTTATAAAAGAAAAGTTGTGTCAACTTGGCTCTGTGGAGCAGAAGACTAACTGTTGTTCCTGTGATTCCCCTCCCTCCCTCACAGAGTCTCTGGAGTCTGACATTGAGTTCTGCCAAGAGGAGGACAAATCAGGAGGGGATGTAGAAGTGGTGAGGTCTGAATGGGCATTAATGGAGAACTGGAGAGAACCTCTGCTGAGAGGCACCGACTGCCCCATCGCAACCATCCTCGACTTCACAGAGAGCTGCGGTCCTCGCCAGTCCTTAAACAAAAACAGCGACGCTGTCGACTACTTCAACCTGCTCTTCCCGTACTCGCTCATGGAGCTCATCGCCAGCGAGACCAACGCTAAGGCCAAGACCTGCCAGTTTCTTGGGCAGAGCGACCCGGACTGGGTCCCTGTCACCGCTCACGAGATCAAGGGCTTCATAGGTCTCAGTATACTCATGGGCCTTCAGAGCCTCCCAGAGCCTGCCAACTACTGGTCCTGGCAGCACTACGACAACTGCCACACCTTCTTCAGGGCCATGTCCATCAAGCGCTTCCAGCAGATCTCCACCAACATCCGGATGGGTAGTCTACTCACCTCCATGGAGGAGGAGGGAGAGGGCAGTGGCAGCGACAGGCTGCGTCTCTTCAGACCTATGCTGAACATCCTTGGCGACTCCATGTGGGAAGCCTACAAACCCAACCGGTGCCTGGCCATCGACCGGGCCCTGCTGCCCAGCCTGGAAACGGAGGCCGGCCAAGCCAAAGGGAACCCCAAGGCCCAACCAGGGGTGTGGCTGCTGTGTGACTCCAAGTCGGGCTACTGCCACCGACTGCTCATCCACATGGGGAGGGAGAAGGAGAAGGAGCTGGGGTTCAGTGTAGTGCTCCCCTTAGTGGAGGGACTCCAGGAGAAACACCACCAGCTCTTCCTGGGTAGCTCACTGGCCTCTGCCCCCCTCATGCAGAAGCTCTTGGACCAGGGCATTTACGCCTCCAGCTCCTTTCCTCCACCAAGCCCCATCCTCCCCAGGGAGCTGTGGGAGCAGGGTCAGCTGGAGAAGCCTGGGGACTTCCTGCAGAGGCAGTTGGGCCCCCTTCTGGCCACCCGCTGGAAAGACACCAAGGAGATGGGCTGCCTGTCCACCAATGCCGAGCCGGGGCAGCCAGACACAGTGTGGAGGAAGTCTCAAACTAAAGTGGGAGAACTCAGCCCCATCGAGCGTCCCTTAGCCTTCCGACTTCTGCAGGAGAACATGCGAGGCGTCGACATCTGCAAACAGCTGCTGGCCTGCAACCCGCTAGGAGGGCTGCCACTAGACAAGCACTGGCGCAGTCTCTTCTGGTTCCTGGTCAACCTGAGCATAGTCAATGCCTTCATAGTGCTGCGGGAGAGCCGCAAAGAGAACCCTCCATCGTGGGTGCAGGGCGGGCTCTTTACCCAGGCAAACTTTCGCAAGCGCTTAGGGCACCAGCTGGCCAAGTGCGCAGAAAGACAAGCACGCATCCACTCTGAGACTAAGGAGGGACCAGCGGGCGTCCGAGAGGTTGCACTGCAAGGCAATCCAAATAAACTAAGGCACAGATTGGTTAAACTCACCGCCAAGACCAAGAGATGCAAGAACTGCAATCTGAAGAACCTGCGCCATGAGAGCGTGTTTGGATGCATCGTTTGCAAAGCCAACCTGTGCAAGCAGCCCAGCTGCTTCTGGGAGTATCATGGCTTCTCACCCCACCACTTAGGTCAATCATTTATTTGATGCTTTGTAGATGCACACACAAGAATATGATACCAAAACACATATATAATCAATCCCAAGACTAGCTTAATCTCCATGAGTATACAAGGGTCAAAAACATTGTCCGTGACTGCTTGACAGTGAAAGTGTAAAGGTGATGGATGATATTACTAATACATTACGGTAGGGAAAACAAAGTCAACATAGTTCAACCTGAAACAGAAATGTTTATGTTGTAACACATTTAGCTGCATGCTCTTTCTCTTCAAATCTAAACTCTTATCCTCTTTTTTTACAGGCTCCCCTAATGTTGGATTCATCATGGAGGACATGAGGTACTTTACGAGACGCACTCCAGCCGTTTCACCCTGGTTTCACACGATTTACTCCCACAAAATATATTGTGATTTAATTTAGATGTTTTATCTGTCATGCCTCAAATACCACTCATCTTTCTTTCCTGCTTTGTCTTTCTGCAGAAACACCACGGGAGCAGACCGCTTTGACGACAGCAGCGAGTGGGGTCCCTTAGGGCCGGAGAGTGACCTGGACGAGGCAATGGCCCCAGTGGAGGACATGGGCTCAGACACAGACGATGAAGAAATGGAGGTTGAAGGTCTTGACAAGGACGTTGATGAAGTTTTTCATGAAGGGGAGTCTAAAGAGCAGCCTGCCGCATCTGATCCTCCCGTCACCCCTCCGACAGAACGCCCGGTGGTAAAAGAACGAGAGGACACCCTCTCTGTGCGTCTGCTGAGGATAGTGCTGTTCGCCCTCTGCTGCGGGGAACGCCAAGCTGCCAAGCAGCTATCCACCCAGTCCAATCTCATCCGGGCCTGGCTGAAGGATAAGGAGAAGCAGCTGGAGCGTGATGGCCGGGGACCCGGCAAGGGAGAGGCGGTGGAGCGCATGGTGGAGTGGGTCATGGCCCAGCGAGAGCAGCAGCTGCCGCTCAATGAGAAGAACCTTTTTCAGAGGGCTTCTGAGATCCACAGCCAGGACGGCCACAGCAGCGCCTTCCGCATCTCTTACGACTGGGCTGTGAGCTTCATGCTGCAGCATAGCCTTGGCTGGCAGGCTGTTGGGCGGACCGCCACGGTCAGCCGGCGCTTGCCACGCTCCATGGAGGACAACGCTAACTCCTTCACCAAGTTCACCCGCAAGCACATCCAGGCCCACGATCTGCCCCACACAGGGATAGCTGCCATGGACGAGCTGTCTGTCTTTGTAGACATTGAGGCGCTTGCGGATCCAGCCAAAGTGGACAAAGAAGGGGCTCTCCAGCTGGTGGGAACCAGGGAACCTCTGGTCACCATCTATCTGTCAGCGCTGGCCGATGGCACCATGCTACGCACCCTGGTCCTAATCAAGGGGCAGCTCCCCGAGATGCAGGGCACAGGCCTGCCCAACTCTGTCCTGCTGGAGGCCAAGGTGGAGGGATTTACCAGGGACGAGGAATTGGCGCTGTGGGAGTCTCTGGTGTGGCGTCAACACATGCTGGACCAGAGCAGGAGTACCAAAGGCATGCTGATCCTGGACGGTCACCGCGGACACCTGTCTAAGGACTTCCTGACCACCCTTGGTGCCACTGGCACCCTTCCGGCCGTGGTCCCCGCCGGCTGCACCTGTCGCCTCCAGCCCCTGGAGATGTGCCTGCGGCCCGTGCTGCAGAGTTTCCTGCTGGCCCGCTGGGCCCGGCTGGCTGCAGAGGGCGGGGCAGCAGGGGCCACACACAAAGACCTAGTGCAACTGCTAGTTGCCTGGCTAGTGGAGGCCTTGTCCTACTTAGAGGAACAGCCTGATCTGCTGCGACAGTCCTTCCACCTTACTGACTTGGTCCCTGGGCAGCGGGACCAGGAAATGACCAAGACTCTGGCAGAGACCCAGTCAGAGCTGATGAGTACTCTCAGAGAGGCCCTGCTAGGTCCTGAGGTTCTGGAGCCGGAGTCACCAGCAGAGCTCGAGCAGGAAGACAGCAGGGGCACAGAGGACATGGAGGCTGGAGAAGAGAGGGTAGATGAGGATCAAAAGGCTGGAGAAGAGAGGGTAGATGACGAGCAAGATGCTGGAGAAGAGAGGGTAGATGAGGAGCAAGAGGTTAAAGAAGGGAAGGTAGATGAGGAGCAAGAGGCTGGAGAAGAGAGGGTAGATGAGGAGCAAGAGGTTAAAGAAGGGAAGGTAGATGAAGAGCAGGAAAGTGGAGAAGAAAAGGTAGATGAGAATCACAAGGCAGCTATAGAAATGGACACAACAAAGGATAACATCTTGGAAAAGGGAGAGGAAGAGATGGAGCCGCTGCCAGAGAGCCAGGAGACTGGAGGGTCCCATGAGGAGGTCTCCCCCTCTTAGTCCTTCCCTTTCACAAACTCTGAGTAGAATACTGCTCTTCGGTCCTACACAAGAACATCTGCCGTGTTGCCTTAGGCCACACAGCCTGTGGGTCTTCCCTGCAAATGGCCACAGAAGATTACAGTGCATACTGTTACAGTACAATCGGTCAACCTTTTAACCTTTTTTATGTAATCAGTGTGGGGAAACTGAGTGGGGATCCCTTGTTGGACTTGACAGGTTCTATGTTTTGCTTTAATGAACACTATAAGACGCACAACAGACTGGATCCAAACTCCATGAACCATAAGGCATGTTCTTGCGGTGGAAGTTGTTGTAGTGGTAGAAATCAAGGTCTAAACTGATCATCAACTGAACACAAAACATTTTAAGGTGCTATACTGTTCTTTCATTCAGTTTGATGATATTTACTATGCCATGTTTAGTATTTTTTTTTTCAAAAAATTCAATGCCTTTGACAGATTGGTGTTGGTTTACACATTTTCCCCCCAACTTTTGCTTCCTTATTGCACTCAAATGACTTTAAATATGTTCTTTGCTTACCTTGAAAGTAGCCTAATCTATGGGCGAGAGAGACTCCGCCATATTGCTAGAAGGCTAGTGATGACTAGGCCTACAGCTATACAGAGTATTCTATTTCTCTTAATAAGGACTTATTAAGACAAATACCACGTTATACCACGTTCTCTTATCTGTGTCTCAGTCAATAGATTGTAGTACTGAGGAAGGATTGGCAAGCTTGAGAAATGGCGGAAATGTTGAGTTCCTTAGGGAGTTACATAATATCTAATGCATTTTGCAGATGTCCAATATGTTCTTTAACAATTATCTGAACTGTACCTCATTTGTCACAGTCGCAGACACACAAATATTACATTAATTTAATCCTTTCCTTTTCTGATTTGCCTTTGGTCTTCTCAAAACTTCCAGACACATGGGGGATATTGAAATGGTGACAACTTCAGCCCTGAAGTTTTTGAATCTCTTGGAAGAAAAACATTTCCTAATCAAGTGTGTAGGCGTTAGAGGCACAATCTGGGATATTTACTGTTTTATGGGCTTAGTACAATAGGCCTAATTCAAAATATATGGTTGTAATACTCTATTGTTTATGTTTTTATTGTCATTTGAGTCTTTAATGTATATCTTCAAAATATGATTAAAAAAGCTAAATCAATTTTATGGATTACGTCCTTAAATCCATAGCTGCGTCTCATTTGAAAGATGTTGTTTTTCGTGCGGACTGAAACACAATATTGTTAAAACTCCAGATTGTGGCTTTAATCTAAACTCACATTCCCCCATATTGAGTTGCGCAAGAGATGACCCTTTGACACAGTTTAAGTAGGATCAATAGAACGAGTTAAATAGACCGTATATCTAATCAGTATGGACCATAGTAAATAAACTGTCAAATAAATTAAACTAAAATGCATATTCCTTACGTTTTAAATGTTTTTATTTTATAGTGTATTGAATGCAGAACATGTTACCTTGCTTTGCGCCAGAACCGTGTCCGATAATGTTTGAAGGAAACAACATTTAACTTCACGCACTTGAGGAAACCGGTGGTAGAAGGTCTTATTAAACCATAACAGAGGGTAGGACTATAGAACTGGGGTATCTCTTCGTTCATATATTAATGGAAAAGGTGTGTTTTGCATCGCCCTGTGCCCCGGTTGGGCGAGGTTTACATATTTTAGATCAATCCATTGGTCGCAAAATGAAATCTCCTCCGCCTGGGCACCGGGTCATGCAAAACCAACCGCACTCAATACTTATTTCTACGTGCAACGTTATTTTGCCAAAAAAACTCCCCTTTCGTCCCTCTGGCCATTTACCCTACAAAACCTTCCCAGGCATTCCTTCACTCTCATACCAGCTGAAATAACCCATAGAAAGCTCGGATCCCTGTGGACACCTTGGACGAATAAAGTCTGCAAGATGGGTTTGTGCAATCTTCTTGCTTTTTCACTCATTTTCATAACTTTTAGGAAATCTGTCAAAAAACGTTGAAATGGGTAATGACAAAGTTAATGATTGGGCGTGGACTAGAACATCATGTAAACCACTCTCCCATAGTGTGAACTTTTCATTAACGTATTTAAACTAGAGCTGAATGTGTTATATTAAATTATATAAATGCATATTTGAGTAAGTCAACCAATGAAAATGAATGTCCAAAACGAAAATAAGTGTGCGTAATTGTGCACGTACGTACGTGCGAATGGTGATTATTTTTTTGCCAACAATTACGTATACTGTACACCTGTATATTTGTGCTAGTGTAGGCTATATTGGCACTCGTGCATTGCTTCAAAATGCAGAAGGAATAGATGAAATAGAAGTAACAGCGACATTTCAATGAGATTTAATCATGTAATGTTTCCCTGATTGAGCTGTTTGCTATGTTTTTACCATAGGATACTTCGCCTTTCACACACCATTTTGAATTAATGAATAACCCTGAGATTTTGAATTAATGAATAACCCTGAGTAAAAACGGTGTTCACACCTGGTCACACAATTGCATAGGTTTGGTGGTCTAAATCAGTGGTTCCCAACCTTTTTCGGTTACTGTACCAAGTACATTTTGCTCTAGTACAAGTTATATTGTTCTAGTGCTTGTTGCCTTGTTCATCTTAAATGCACCACTTTATCATGATGACTCAGCAGAACCAGTGACAAACAATTTGCTATGCATTATTCAATTTAAATGTATACAATAAATGGAAAAGTCATTTTGACAGTTAGACTAGCCTATTTTCATAACAGAGAATTTGGTAGATCCAACAATGATGCAAGATACTCATCCACATTTCTTTGGACCTGCAACAGTCAAACCCATTAAATGAACTGAAGCTGAACTCGTGGAAGGGCTTGTATATCTTAGAAAGAATCGTGTTGTGAAATGTTGGACTGGAGACTAGTTTCCTGGAAGATTGCTAGATATCTGACATCTATTGTGGTTTCCACATGTTTTCACTATTGTTTGAGCTGCAACAATGGTTTAGGCCAAAACCATTGTTTGCCATGTGTAAGGAAAAAGGCACAGCTTCGACCTTGACCAAATCAATCATTTATTCCAAGTAAAGGCAGCACTAAATTATGGGAGGATTTGGTACAATGCCAAAGACAACCAGCACTCTGGATCAGCAGAGTCCTTCTCACTAAGGTCCACAGATATACAGTGCCTTCGGAAAGTATTCAGACCCCTTGACTTTTTCCACATTTTGTTAGGTTACAGCCTTATTCTAAAATTGATTAAATGTTTTTTCCCCCCTCAATCTACACACAATACCCCATAATAACAAAGCAAAAACAGTTTTTTAGAATAAAATACTGAAATATTACATTTACATAAGTATTCAGACCCTTTACTCAGTACTTTGATGAAGCACCTTTGGCAGCAATTACAGCCTTGAGTCTTCTTGGGTATGACACTACAAGCTTGGCACACATGTATTTGGGGAGTTTCTCCCGTTCTTCTCTGCAGATCCTGTCAAGCTCTGTCAGGTTGGATGGGGAGTGTTGCTGCACAGCTATTTTCAGGTCTCCAAAGATGTTCGATCGGGTTCAAGTCCGGGCTCTGGTTGGGCCACTCAAGGACATTCAGAGACTTGTCCCGAAGCCACTCCTGCGTTGTCTTGGCTGTGTGCTTAGGGTCGTTGTCCTGTTGGAAGGTGAACCTTCACCCCAGTCTGAGGTCCTGGGCGCTCTGGAGCAGGATTTCATCAAGGATCTCTCTGTACTTTGCTATGTTCATCGTTTCCTCGATCCTGACTAGTCTACCAGTCCCTGCTGCTGAAGAACATCCCCACAGCAAGATGCTGCCACCACCATGATTCACCGTAGGGATGGTGCCAGGTTTCCTCCAGACGTGACGCTTGGCATTCAGGCCAAAGAGTTCAATCTTGGTTTAATCAGACCAGAGAATCTTGTTTCTCATGGTCTGAGAGTCTTTAGGTGCCTTTTGGCAAACTCCAAGCGGGCTGTCATGTGCCTTTTACTGAGGAGTGGCTTCCGTCTGGTCACTTTACCATAAAGGCCTGATTGGTGGAGTGCTGCAGAGATCGTTGTCCTTCTGGAAGGTTCTCCCATCTCCACAGAGGAACTCTGGAGCTCAGTGAGAGTGACCATCGGGTTCTTGGTCACCTCCTTGACCAAGGTCCTTCTCCCCCGATTGCTCAGTTTGGCCGGGCGGCCAGCTCTAGGAAGAGTCTTGGTGGTTCCAAACTTCTTCCATTTTAAGAATGATGGAGGCCACTGTGTTCTTGGGGACCTTCAATGCTGCAGAATTGTTTTGGTACCCTTCCCCAGATCTGTGCCTCGACACAATCCTGTCTCGGAGCTCTACGGACAATTCCTTCGACCTCATGGCTTGGTTTTTGCTCTGACATGCACTGTCAACTGTGGGACCTTTATATAGACCGGTGTGTGCCTTTCCAAATCATGTCCAATCAATTGAATTTACCACAGGTGGACTTCAATCAAGTTGTAGAAACATCTCAAGGATGATCAATGGAAACAGGATGCACCTGAGCTCAATTTCGAGTCTCATAGCAAAGGGTCTGAATACTTATGTAAATAAAACAGAAATACCTTTTGATTTGAATTAATTTGCAGAAAGTTCTCATCTGTTTTCACTTTGTCATTATGGGGTATTTATGATCCATTTTAGAATAAGGCTGTAACGTAACAAACTGTGGAAAAAGTCAAGGGGTCTGAGAACTTTCTGAATGAACTATACATAACATCACAGATATATAACATCACAGATAAGTACAGTAAACATTTTGTGTGTTGTGCGCATTTACCTATGATTCTGATGGCTGCCAGTAACAGCAACCTTGGAAAAGGAAGACAAAGTGGACAAGTGAATGTCCCCTTTCACACACTCATTCTGCAACAGTTTTACAACTAAAAAAAGTATGAAAAATGGCTCTCTACACGACTTACCTGTGGTGAAACTTCTAGGTCATTTTAAACATATGCCTAACATCTGTATGACGAATGCATGTATGACTTATAGGTGTGAAAAGTTTCTGTGGTTATTACCTGCCATAGATGTCCAGCAGTAATAGTAAACACAGAGATTGCTGTGTGTGGCAGTAAAGTTATTTTGAGCGCTCTATGAAAAGGGCACTTGCTGTTTGTTTGTGTTTTTCCAGCAACTAAATGCACAGGCTGTGGACCTGGCTACAAAAGCCCTCTGGATGCCATGAAAGGTGAGTGTCATTTTCTGGAAAACACAAGCTTAGCTCAACCCATGTGTTTTAGGGGGGATTGACATTAAGATCTAAATGGCACTTGCCCATCGGACAAGTCGGGATAATTTTTTGGTTGCCTGAGAGTTTGTCAGTTGCATGAAAATGTTGTTTACACGCACAAATTCCATAATTTGTCTGTCTTTTACTTCAACATTGGGAGGAACCAGACATACCCGTTTTAGGCTACTGGAATTATTTGTGGTTTGATTCACTGCGCTTTGTGTTTTGGTTGTATTCAGTATAAAAAAATCACCTCCCCTAATGGGGAAACCACAGAGCAGGCTCAACTTACCCGACTGGTCAGTTGACTGGGAAATAGTGCAACCCTTAATATCAATCCCTCTTTGGGGTTTGCGGATGTCATGGTTCTTGCCCTTGTGGTCAGGGAGGAGTGAATGACAGTAGTGCCTCCTGAAACGGGGATCTTGTTTTTGAAGGTCCACGTGAGGAGATTGTGTATCTGCCCTGCATTTATCGCAACACCGACATCCAGAAACCAGACTACCTTGCCACTGTCGATGTGGACCCCAAGTCTCCCACTTATTCTCAGGTACTTCTGATTTATATCAATCAACCACTGCCTTGTTTTTGATTTTCACACCTGTCTTCATTAGTCAGAGTGGTCGGTAGTTGAAACACTGAAGAGACAACGGTATTATCCATGATGACCTTTGACCATAGGTTGTGGATTAAAGAGTGACCTGGTAATGTCTGTGCCTACAGGTCATCCACAGGCTGCCCATGCCCAACATGAATGACGAGCTACACCACTCTGGTTGGAACGCCTGCAGCAGCTGTTTTGGTGACTCATCCAAGAAGCGCAACCGACTTATCCTGCCCTCGCTCATCTCCTCCCGGGTCTATGTAGTGGACACTGGAACAGACCCCCGTGCACCACAGATGCACAAGGTAAAGGGTCACCCTTCTACAGCGGGTGATGGGTTACAGTGATACTACAGTACTTGGTGACCATGTTGCACAGCTAAGGTTATGCAACTTCTTTTTAATATTTCACTATCTTATATTTAAGCAATAAGGCACGAGGGGGTGTGGTATATGGCCAATATACCATGGCTAAGGGTTGTTCTTATGCACGACGCAATGTGGTGTGCCTGGACACAGCCCTTAGCCGTGGTATATTGGCCATATACCACAAACCCCGAGGTGCCTTATTGCTATTTATAAACGGGTTACCAACTTAATTAGAGCAGTAAAAATAAATGTTTTGTAATACCCGTGGTAAACGTCTCATATACCACGGCTGTCAGCCAATCAGAATTCAGGGCTCAAACCACCCAGTTCATATAACAACATTGATCACATTACTTTTCTCCAAATTGGAAGCCCCCCAACTCTTCTTATTGTGCATAACTGTAAAACTTGGAGAATGTTGAATATTTCTCTACCCCCTGTCCGATAACATTTCATACATTATTTGACATGAGTCATTGATTTTCTTTTTTTGCCATACAATCATTTTTATCACACACAAAAAAACAAACGAAAACAGACACGGCTAACACAGTCAACACCACAATGTCATACAAGGATCTCCAGCACATGATGAATCAAAAACAAGAAAAAGACAATTGAATATACAGATTTGGTCAAGCCTCTCACCCATCTCTCACCAACAGCCCGTAGCCATCTTCTCAAATATGCATCATTGTTTTTAAAGGAAAGTATCCTACCCATGCAGAGTGTAATCTGATCTAAACCAAATGATTGCTTCCTCACAGATTGTGGAGCCCACAGATATCTTCTGGAAGACGGGCCTTGCCAACCCCCACACCACACATTGCCTGGGCAGCGGACAGATTATGATCAGCAGCATGGGAGATCCATCTGGCAATGGCAAGGGTAGGAGGAGACAACATGCTGCAGTAGGGCGACAGACTTTGTTCTGGGAAAAAGCCTCATACAATGTGGGCGACCTAGAAACACTTTCCTTTGTATCATACAGAAAAGGATGTGTGCCTGGATACAGTGCCTGGATACAGCCCTTAGCCGTGGTATATTGGCCATATACCACAAACCCCCGAGGTGCCAAATTGCTATTATAAACTGCTTACAAACGTAATTAGAACAGTACAAATAAACGTTTTGTCATACCCGTGGTATATGGTCTGATATACCACGGCTTTCAGCCAATCAGGGCTGGAACCACCCAGTTTATAATAAGGGACTAAGAAGGCTCTACAATCCACCATGATAAAGAATACTGGGCGGGGCAAGGGAGTGTGTCATTTAGACAAGTTAATATTGATTTGGATTAGATGACTGATGCAGGATATGTTTCTCTCAGGTGGCTTTATCTTGCTGGATGGTGCAACGTTTGAGGTAGTTGGTAACTGGGAGCTGCCTGGTGAGGCGGCACCCTTTGGTTATGACTTCTGGTACCAGCCCCGACACAACGTCATGATGAGCACCGAATGGGGAGCGCCCAAAGCCCTCGCCGACGGCTTCAACCTGGAACATGTCAAAGAAGGTGTGTAAATAGAGGTGATATGTGTGTGTGCATGTGTTTGTGTGCATGCGTGTGTTGCATGCATGTGTGTTTGTGTTACACTTGTTCAGTAGACAGAACAAGGTTTCAATGCTGCTGTTGTGTCTGCAGGTCACTATGGATCGAAGATCCACGTGTGGGACTGGACCACTCACAAGCGGCTGCAGTCCCTGGACCTGGGGGAGGAGGGCGCCATTCCTCTGGAGATCCGCTTCCTCCATGATCCTGCCGCCACGGAGGGCTACGTCGGCTGTGCACTCCAAGGAACTGTCTTCCGTTTCTACAGGACACCGGTGAGGAAAAAGTAGAGAGAATAGAATAACATTTATGAACTCTCTTGCTTCCTCGCTGTTGTGTTTGGCATTGTGTCTTATAAAAAGGTACTGTCTCAACATTGAAACGTTATTTTTCTCTGTGCAGAAAGGAGACTGGGCTGCTGAGAAGGTTATTCAGGTCCCCAGTAAGAAAGTGGAGGGATGGGCTTTGCCAGTGATGCCAAGTGAGTGGGTGTGGAAAATGTTGATGGGAGAATACCGCAGATTAGGGATACATTTAACACTTCCAGTGCATATTTGGGTGTAGCTACCCATTCCATAGTAAAATGTATACCTGAATTTGACGGATGCTGTGTGATCTGTTCATTTCAGGTTTGATCACAGATATTCTGATCTCCCTGGATGACCGCTTCCTATACTTCAGTAACTGGCTGCACGGAGACATACGACAGTATGACATCACAGACAGGAGGAACCCACGTCTGGCTGGCCAGGTGAGATCACAAGTTTACAACATGGCTGATTTTATTATCTTAAACCCACAAAACATTTTTCATGTAGGTACTTATGTAACAGATGTATATCGTACTCTCCTTGCGTTGTGTTTTTTCTTAATAAATCACATCAGCCAGTGGTCCCAGTTGAGCATCATTTATTTCTGTTGTTAAATGGGAAACAGCACGTTAGTTGTGCAGAGCTTAACGATATTGATGGCTGTCGATGGCAAAATCCCTTGCATCACATTTTCATACTGGGAAGACCTGACGTTCACGATCTCCCCCTAGCTGCAAGCGGGGCCAATCACAACACGCCTTATTGTCATCAGAGTTGAACCAACCAATAAGAATGCTTGAACATTAAATACACATTTCTTTAGAGGCAAGTGGAAACATAACCAACCCTGTTACACTTACTTAAATGAATCATCTTCATCAGTCTGCCAATGTGATGCATACCTGTGTTAGGGTCAAGCAAGTGGCCTCTAACATTTACATTTTGGTCATCTAGCCCAGGGCTTCCCAAACGTTTTCACTCGGGGCCCCCCTTCCAGCATTCGGGAACATCCTGCACCACGCGTGCATGCGCCACGTCTATTTCTATGGGCACAAGCACGGTTCATGACACAAACTGTTCACAGCTCTCTTGTTGGTGGAGAGAATTTAGCAGGTTTAAAGCGCATTTCCTGCAATTCTACACATTTTGTCATGGGGTGCAAAGACAATTTTGCCATTTTAAACATTTTGCCATGTCTAATGTGTATATGTGATATTTGAGTGACAAAAAATTACAACTATCTAGGGGCTAAAAAAACCTAAATAAAAAACTGCTAGCTGACATGGGCTAGTTGATCTGGACATTTCTGACAAGGTATAAATAGCTCTCTAAGGTATGCAATGACTAACATGACAAATGGAAAACTGATGCATTACCCAATTTCGCAATTGCACCTTGTGCATTATACCCCGCTCCCCCCCTGCCGATCCCTTGCGCCCCTCTAGGGGGTGTGCCCCACAGTTTGGGAACCACTGATCTAGCAGACGCTCTTATCCAGAACGACTTACATGCAGTTAATTCCACTTAAGGTAGCTAGGTAAAACAGTCTCCTGAAATGATTGAAGTTGTGCACTGACTGTGTTTATGTCTCTCTGTGTATTCAGCTCTTTTTGGGAGGGAGCATCCTAAACGATGGCCCTGTCAAAGTACTGGAGGACCCAGAGAATCAGAGCCAACCACCCCCACGCACAATCAAGGTGTGTAAGAATAACAATCTATACCCAAACTCAAGCTTCACACACACACTGGCAGAATGTCTGCATTAGGACAAAGGCAGGTGTTTAGGTTGCGTTTGTAAGGTGCAGACACCGACTTGTGTGTACATATGATCCACACCAGGGGAAGAGGATCCCAGGGAGCCCCCAGATGTTGCAGCTCAGTCTGGATGGAAAGAGACTGTACGTCACCACCTCTCTCTACAGTGGCTGGGACAAGCAGTTCTACCCGGAAATGATCAAGTGAGGACCTGTTTTTATTTAGTCTTAGATTTTTTTAGCGCACATACTTGTGGTCAATGCACACACAAAATGTCAGTAACAGGTTTCAGTTGCATCAAAACGGTTATTTGTACGCTTTCACTCAATATCACGGGCTGCTTCAATAAGATATTTTGATTGACTTTTGAACACCCATAGCTAGAAACATGATCATATGGAATACTTGACTCTGTTTCTAATTTGCCCTAGGGAGGGTTCTGTGATGATGCAGATTGACGTGGACACAGCCAATGGTGGCCTCAAGGTGAACGAGAACTTCCTGGTCGACTTTGGGAAAGAGCCCGACGGCCCGGCCTTGGCCCACGAGCTACGATACCCTGGGGGAGACTGCACCTCCGACATCTGGCTGTAGAGTTACGCAGGAGGCCACAGTTCTCCCCTTCTCATTCCCAACATACTTTACATAAACTTCATGCAACTCATATTAGCTGGGAACAGGTGGGAAAGGAGGCAAACTCTCATGGCCGATAATGCTGCCTATTCATTCCATGCTGCTTTGCATTAAATGCATTATTGTGCCTTTTGTCATTATCTCATATATGGACCAAATGTCATCTATTGTTCTCTGTTCTCAATGCCAATGGTGAAACTGAGGTTTAAAAAAAGTTAACATATGGAATTCATAGACGAACATCTGATGGCGATTTATAGCCTACTTTTTTAAGAATATGAAGACATTCAAATGTGTCAACATTCCTTAATGGCCCGAGTGTGTGTGTGTGTGTGTGTGTGTGTGTGTGTGTGTGTGTGTGTGTGTGTGTGTGTGTGTGTGTGTGTTCAGCAGGGTTGAATGAGTCGAGGTATACCAAACCTTTTTTGATATACTATTTCTGGACTATTGTTTTACTCTTAATGTAATAGTAAAATAGATGTTTTATTGTCACATACACCAGATAGGTGTAGTGAAACATGTTGTTTTACAGGGTTAGCCATAGTAGTACAGTGTCCCTGTAGTAAATTAGGGTTAAGTGACATGCTCAAATGCGCATCAACAGATGTTTCACCTTATCAGCTCAGGTATTGGAACCAGCAACCTTTCAGTTACCAGCCCAACGCTCTAACCGCTAGGCTAACTACCGCTAACCACTAGGCTACCAATTTTCCTACATTAATAATGCTTTGCATAATTATTATGTAGTTCATTTAATTGAAAATACTAATTGCACTACATTGATGTTCATTTGCAAGATATGGATGGTTTTAAATAATACATGTCAGCGTTTAATAAATATACTGCATATTCATACTGATTTATAGCCATTGAATGATAATAATTGACCATTGAGTCTCATAGCTACAGTACCGGTCAATAGTTTTAGAACACCTACTCATTCCAGGGTTTTTCTTTACTTTTACTATTTTCTACATTGTAGAATAATAGTGAAGACATCAAAACTATGAAATAACACATATGGAATCATGTAGTAACCAAAAAAGTGTTAAACAAATCAAAATATATTTTAGATTTCAGATTCTTCAAATAGCTACCCTTTGCTTTGATGACAGCTTTGCACACTCTTGGCATTCTCTCAACCAGCTTCATGAGGTAGCCACCTGGAATGCATTTCAATTAACAGGTGTGCCTTGTTAAATGTTAATTTGTGGAATTGATTTCCTTCTTAATGCGTTTGAGCCAATCAGTTGTGTTGTGACAAGGTAGGGGTGGTATACAGAAGATAGCCCTATTTGGTAAAGACCGAGTCCATATTATGGCAAGAACAGCTCAAATAAGCAAAGAGAAATTACAGTCCGTCATTACTTTAAGACATGAAGGTCAGTCAATACGGAACATTTCAAGAACTTTTAAAGTTTCTTTAAGTGCAGTCGCAAAAACCATCAAGTGCAATGATGAAACTATCTCTCATGAGGACCGCCACAGGAATGGAAGACCCAGAGTTACCTCTACTGCAGAGGATAAGTTCATTAGAGTTACCAGCCTCAAAAATTGCAGCCCAAATAAATGCTTCACAGAGTTCAAGTAACAGACACATCTCAACATCAACAGTTCAGAGGAGACTGTATATCAGGCCTTCATGGTCGAATTGCTGCAAATAAACCACTACTAAAGGACACCAATAAGAAGAAGAGACTTGCTTGGGCCAAGAAACACAAGCAATGGACATTAGACCAGTGGAAATGTGTCCTTTGGTCTGGAGTCCAAATTGGGAGATTTTTGGTTCCAACTGCCGTGTCTTTGTGAGACGCGGTGTGGGTGAATGGATGATCTCCGCATGTGTATTTCCCACCATAAAGCATGGAGGAGGTGTTTTGGTGTGGGGGTGCTTAGCTGGTGACACTGTCTGTGATTTATTTAGAATTCAAGGCACACTTAACCAGCATGGCTACCACAGCATTCTGCAGTGATACGCCATCCATCTGGTTTGGGCTTAGTAGGACTATTGTTTGTTTTTCAACAGGACAATGACCCAACTCATCTCCAGGCTGTGTAAGGGCTATTTTACCAAGAAGGAGAGTGATGGAGTGCTGCATCAGATGACCTGGCCTCCACAATCCCCCGACCTCAACCAAATTGAGATGGTTTAGGATGAGTCGGACCCCAGAGTGAAGGAAAAGCAGCCAACAAGTGCTCAGCATATGTGGGAACTCCTTCAAGACTGTTGGAAAAGCATTCCAGGTGAAGCTGTTTCAGAGAATGGCAAGAGTGTGCAAAGCTGTCATCAAGGCAAAGGGTGGCTACTTTGAAGAATCTCAAATATAAAATATATTTTGATTTGTTTAACACTTTTTTGGTTACTACATGATTCCATATGTGTTATTTCATAGTTTTGATGTCTTCACTATTATTCTACAATGTAGAAAATAGTAAAAAATAAAGAAAAACCCTTGAATTTTTGAAGGACTTAACATTTTGGCATTACTGGTTTGCATTGGAAAATAACTCAGATGAACTTTTGATGGTGGCCAAGTTGTGTGAACTGGAGCAAAAATATTTTGGCTGGCAGGAGTTAGTGGTTAGTGAGCCTTATAATTTATACTTGGCTGGCAGGAGTTAGTGGTTAGTGAGCCTTATAATTTATACTTGGCTGGCAGGAGTTAGTGGTTAGTGAGCCTTATAATTTATACTTGGCTGGCAGGAGTTAGTGGTTAGTGAGCCTTATAATTTATACTTGGCTGGCAGGAGTTAGTGGTTAGTGAGCCTTATAATTTATACTTGGCTGGCAGGAGTTAGTGGTTAGTGAGCCTTATAATTTATACTTGGCTGGCAGGAGTTAGTGGTTAGTGAGCCTTATAATTTATACTTGGCTGGCAGGAGTTAGTGGTTAGTGAGCCTTATAATTTATACTTGCTGGCAGGTGTAGTGGTTAGTGAGCCTTTAATTATAACTTGGCTGGCAGAGTTAGTGGTTAGTGGCCTTATTAATTTATACTTGCTGGCAGGAGTTATGGTTAGTGAGCCTTATAAATTATACTTGGCTGGCAGGAGTTAGTGGTTAGTGAGCCTTATAATTTATACTTGGCTGGCAGGAGTTAGTGGTTAGTGAGCCTTATAATTTATACTTGCTCAACAGCGCCTGCTACTGCACAGATCATAAAAACGTTTCTCAATGTACCTCCAGGCATGATTTGGGCAGCTACATTCCTACATCCTAAACATAATAAATCCAGACTTCTTTCAGATCCAATGACATGGTTAATCAACATCAGAAGTAAGAAAATAATATTGTCAGATAATGCAAAAATATAATTGCTATCAGCACGGCAATACTATTTTCATGCCAGGCTTGGTCATACATGTGTGTGACGGTGGAAATTCCAGAGTGGACAAACTCTCAACCCTCCACTCCACACGAACACACCCAAGAAGCACCATGGTCTGAGGCAACAGTACTTCTAGGTCTGGGGCAACAGTACTTCTAGGTCTGGGGCAACAGTACTTCTAGGTCTGGGGCAACAGTACTACTAGGTCTGGGGCAACAGTACTTCTAGGTCTGGGGCAACAGTACTTCTAGGTCTGGGGCAACAGTACTACTAGGTCTGGGGCAACAGTACTTCTAGGTCTGGGGCAACAGTACTTCTAGGTCTGGGGCAACAGTACTACTAGGTCTGGGGCAACAGTACTACTAGGTCTGGGGCAACAGTACTTCTAGGTCTCAGGAGAGCAGTAATGATGCACCGCTACATCCGCTTCCCTTCGACATCCTCCTTCTTCTCCTGCAACCGCAGCAGCCAGGCAGAGCACGACTGTGTGATCCAAGTCAAAGCACTGTGACAAAGTGGGAAACCCCTCACAACATACTGAAGAAGCATACTATTGACCCATAAAAGGCATTTCTGTATCTGGGGCAACAGTGCTTCTACATCTCTGGAAGCTTCCAGCGATTCACTTAAATCAAATCAAATCAAATTTTATTGGCCACATGCGCTGAATACAACAGGTGCAGACATTACAGTGAAATGCTTACTTACAGCCCTTAACCAACAGTGCATTTATTTTTAACAAAAAGGTAAAAATAAAACAACAACAAAAAAAGTGTTGAGAAAAAAAGAGCAGAAGTAAAATAAAATAACAGTAGGGAGGCTATATATACAGGGGGGTACCGGTGCAGAGTCAATGTGTGGGGGCACCGGCTAGTTGAGGTAGTTGAAGTAATATGTACATGTGGGTAGAGTTAAAGTGACTATGCATAAATAATTAACAGAGTAGCAGCAGCGTGAAAGGATGGGGTGGGGGGGCAGTGCAAATAGTCTGGGTAGCCATGATTAGCTGTTCAGGAGTCTTATGGCTTGGGGGTAGAAGCTGTTGAGAAGTCTTTTGGACCTAGACTTGGCACTCCGGTACCGCTTGCCGTGCGGTAGCAGAGAGAACAGTCTATGACTAGGGTGGCTGGAGTCTTTGACAATTTTGAGGGCCTTCCTCTGACACCGCCTAGTATAGAGGTCCTGGATGGCAGGAAGCTTGGCCCCAGTGATGTACTGGGCCGTACGCACTACCCTCTGTAGTGCCTTGCGGTCGGAGGCCAAGCAGTTGCCATACCAGGCGGTGATGCAACCAGTCAGGATGCTCTCGATGGTGCAGCTGTAGAACATTTTGAGGATCTGAGGACCCATGCCAAATCTTTTCAGTCTCCTGAGGGGGAATAGGCTTTGTCGTGCCCTCTTCACGACTGTCTTGGTGTGTTTGGACCATGATAGTTTGTTGGTGATGTGGACACCAAGGAACTTGAAGCTCTCAACCTGTTCCACTACAGCCCCGTCGATGAGAATGGGGGCGTGCTCAGTCCTCTTTTTTTTCCTGTAGTCCACAATCATCTCCTTTGTCTTGGTCACTTGAGGGAGAGGTTGTTATCCTGGCACCACACGGCCAGGTCTCTGACCTCCTCCCTATAGGCTGTCTCATCGTTGTCGGTGATCAGGCCTACCACTGTTGTGTCGTCGGCAAACTTAATGATGGTGTTGGAGTCGTGCCTGGCCATGCAGTCATGGGTGAACAGGGAGTATATGAGGGGACTGAGCACGCACCCCTGAGGGGCCCCCGTGTTGAGGATCAGTGTGGCAGATGTGTTGTTACCTACCCTTACCACCTGGGGGCGGCCCGTCAGGAAGTCCAGGATTTGCAGAGGGAGGTGTTTAGTCCCAGGATCCTTAGCTTAGTGATGAGCTTTGAGGGCACTATGGTGTTGAATGCTGAGCTGTAGTCAATGAATAGCATTCTCACGTAGGTGTTCCTCTTGTCCAGGTGGGAAAGGGCGGTGTGGAGTGCAATAGAGATTGCATCATCTGTGGATCTGTTGGGGCGGTATGCAAATTGTAGTGGGTCTAGGGTTTCTGGGATAATGCTGTTGATGTGAGCCATGACCAGCCTTTCAAAGCACTTCATGGCTACAGACGTCAGTGCTACGGGTCGGTAGTCATTTAGGCAGGTTATCTTAGAGTCCTTGGGCACGGGGACTATGGTGGTCTGCTTGAAACATGTTGGTATTACAGACTCAGTCAGGGACATGTTGAAAATGTCAGTGAAGACACTTGCCAGTTGGTCAGCACATGCTCGGAGTACACGTCCTGGTAATCCGTCTGGCCCTGCAGCCTTGTGAATGTGGACCTGCTTAGAAGTCTTACTCACATCGGCTATGGAGAGCGTGATCACATAGTCATCCGGAACAGCTGGTGCTCTCATGCATGCTTCAGTGTTGCTTGCCTCGAAGCGAGCATAGAAGTGGTTTAGCTCGTCTGGAAGTCTTGTGTCACTGGGCAGCTCGCGGCTGTGCTTCCCTTTGTAGTCTGTAATAGTTTTCAAGCCCTGCCACATCCGACGAGCGTCAGAGCCAGTGTAGTACGATTCAATCTTAGTCCTGTATTGACTCTTTGCCTGTTTGATGGTTCGTCGGAGGGCATAGCGGGATTTCTTATAAGCGTCCGGGTTAGAGTCCCGCTCCTTGAAAGCGGCAGCTCTACCCTTTAGCTCAGTGCGGATGTTTCCTGTAATCCATGGCTTCTGGTTGGGGTATGTACGTACGGTCACTGTGGGGACAACATCATCGATGCACTTATTGATGAAGCCAGTGACTGATGTGATGTACTCCTCAATGCTATCTGAAGAATCCCGGAACATGTTCCAGTCTGTGCTAGCAAAACAGTCCTGTAGCTTAGCATCTGCGTCATCTGACCACTTTTTTATTAACCGAGTCACTGGTGCTTCCTGCTGTAGTTTTTGCTTATAAGCAGGAATCAGGAGGATAGAGTTATAGTCAGATTTGCCAAATTGAGGGCGAGGGAGAGCTTTGTATGCGTCTCTGTGTGTGGAGTAAAGGTGGTCTAGAGTTTTTTTTCCTCTGGTTGCACATTTAACATGCTGGTAGAAATTAGGTTTCCCTGCATTAAAGTCACCGGCCACTAGGAGCGCTGCATCTGGATGAGCGTTTTCCTGTTGATTTATGGCCTTATACAGCTCATTCAGTGCAATCTTAATGCCAGCATTGGTTTGTGGTGGTAAATAGACAGCTATGAAAAATATATATGAAAACTCTCTTGGTAAATAGTGTGGTCTACAGCTTATCATAAGATACTCTACCTCAGGTGAGCAAAACCTTAGCCATCCGCTATGACACATTTCTACATCTCTGGAAGCTTCCAGCAATGCACTTAGCCATCCGCTATGACACATTAAACAAGTGTATAATAATGAAAGGTATATTATCAATACTCTGGTAAAGGATAGGCCTATGTCAGTGGAGGCTGTTGAGGGGAGGACGCTCATAATAATGCCTGGAATGGAGCGAATGGAATGGTATCAAACACATGGAAACCATGGAAACCATGTGTCTGATGTTGTTGATACCTTTCCACTTATTCTGCTCCAGCCATTACTCCGTGCCCGTCCTCCCCAATTAAGGTGCCACCAACCTCCTGTGGCATATGTATAATACACTGGTAGCATACAGTAGAGTGGACCCTACTCTTTTCATCAATTACTCACTTTTGGATGTAGCTAAAATTGTACAAGTTCTTCATTTTGGATGTAGCTAAAATTGTTCTTCATTTAGCAATTTTCCATGTTTTACAACAATATGAATAACAGTTATTGTAGAGTAGTTTGTCATAATGCACAAATATATTTTATACAGGCACTAAACAGGCAGCCCTAGAAAGTGTGATTATTGTCAGGAAACAGAGATCATGGAGCATGTATTGAGACAGTGTGGGCAGTATCAGAGGAAAATGGAGAGGATGAGATCTAGTATGAGGGAGAAGAGGATACAGGAAATTAGTTTAAATAGTATATTGAGTAGAACGTCATTAGATATAGTCTCAAATATTTTGTTATCTTTTTTAAGAGCAACGGGGCTGGCAGGTAGGATTTAGTTTCTCCCTGTCTCTGGCCCACACTCCAGTTCAGAAGGTGGCGGTAATACACCATAACGTTGGATGCCAACCGCCAATAAACCCCATTGAAGAAGAAGAAGAATAACAGGCAGCCTGTCTGTCACTTCTCCAAGAAGTTGATCAGAGAACTCCGGACTGAACGCATTCTAAATGGACCAGAAACATTGGAGATAAAAATAAACTTTAATAGCTAACCAGCCAACACAATTTTAAGGTATGAGTTATGTTTCTGCGTGTTTATAGCACTCGATGAGTGGCATAGGTTTCAAGGCAACGAGGAGTTTGATACGCAAGTTAGCCACTAAGCTAGCTAGTGTAGCTACTTATGTGATAGCAAGCAAACTAGCTAATCCCTCAGGTTTAGGTTACTCTACTAACGTTAGCAGCCAGTGACTAGCTAGCTAGTCAGCTATTAACTTGGTAGCTAGCTATTAGATAGAAAAACACCCGAGTAAAGAATTTGTCATAATGGTTAATTTAGCTACGATGATAAGACCGTTATTTATTGTCATCATCGTTTAAAGAAGATATGAGGCTAACGTTAGCTAGTTTAGCTAGCTACATCTGACCACCAAGAATGAAAGGGAGGCGGCTGTAGCTAGCTAGCTAAAATAACGTTTACTAATGTTAGCTACCTAGCAAATAAGCTAGCTAGTTAGGTAGAAAATCAAACACTAACTAGCTATCGTTACTCATCTGAAGCGAGTTAGCCATCTCTCTATCTAACGTTAGCATTCTAGTAAATGTTTTGCCAACGTTAGCTACTAGCTAGCAAAGTTACTTTCAACAGTTGGCATCTGCAGCATATTTATAACGTTAACCACACGTGCCAAATGTTTGTATACCTACCTCCATGACACACCCCTTGCTTGGGCGGTGTTGGCTGGCTAGACACCTGTATGATTCTGTTGGGACTGTTAGGAACTGCTAGGATAACGGTACTTGTCCCTGCTTCTTGAAACGGCTAATTCAACAACAACTTGCTGCAGCCAGCTAGCAAATGGTTCATTCAAATTCCATCTGCTGAACACTGTAAACATACCTGACACTTCTGTTCTACACCCACCAGCCCTTTCAGGGTTTTTTCTCCATTGTGCGATGCTAGTCCTATATCATTTTTCAGCATATTGAACAAAGAAAAAGACTGATGGATACTAGCCCAGTGAGGAAGTACTTTGCTCCGCCACCCACACAAGTATTATACAGCAGGACCAGTGTTACACTGCACCCATTCATCTCAATGATGGAGGCCCTTAGCCCACATTGTTGATGCAACAATGTGAAAAATGTATTGGTTTCATTTTAGTAGTCGTGAAGTTTCTGGTAGATCCATGTTCACTTTCTGTGTTCCATGATGGATGGCTTGTGATGGGGTGCTATTAACCATGTTGAAGAAAACCTCTGTTATCCTTCAGGTCTCAGAGAGACAACCCTCTCTCTCCCTGCTTTGGGCCTGTAGTGCATGGCACTAGGTAGTGGTGCTAATCTGCTCAGTAAAATTAGCAGATGTGTCTGGCCGTGTGTGTTACATGGCAGGGCCTGCCGGGACACAGTGACCTCACTCAGTCAAACGAACACGTTCATAGATGGGACAGACAGATGAACAGTGACACACAGACAAGACCATTGGCCTACATTCACAGACAGTAGGCTATATGCTAGCTGACTGATGGGCGGACGGACACCCACACAGATTGTCAGATCCGTTTTACACACTGAGCACTTTGTTCCACTTAGTCCAAACCTGATTCCTGTTCAATGTAAATGCTATATGAAGGAGCTAAGGGCTGTGTTTTGCAGACTTGTGGCCTGTCAAGGGCTGTTGCGGTGACCATATTACCGCCACACTGGCAGTCGTGTCATGACTGCAATAAAATTCCATGTGACCGTTGAGTCATGGTAATCTCTGTTTATGCGTTGATAGTACCCAACTCGCTAATGACCATCAGGTTGCTAATGGCCTGGTATTCAGGGCACTACTGTCCCTCTAACCACTACGACATCGATGCAAATGCAATCGAAAATCACATAAAAAACATATCAAAACAGTATAGTGCTTTTAAAACTCACCTCACTGGTGATTGATCAATTTGAAGAAAGAAGTTCAACAACAGGTTGAAACTGAGTGGAAAACATGGTCGTTGTGGATGTTGTTTCAAAGCCTAACACAACAAAATGGACAGCGCTTTCTAAGGTGATGGTTAATTCAAAACAACCATACGCATATTAGAGCTTATCCATAGGCTTCTATTATGAGCCCAATCCCAAAACAAAAACGGAATTAAAATAATGATTGTGCCGTTGTACAATACATAACCTACCGCATATTACACATGGCAGAAAAACGTAAAACAAACTGATTTATGGTGTCTTTGGTACATAATTGGTCTAGCCTATACTCCAAAATCAAAAAATTCTAGTAATCGCCTTTTGGTGTGGGCTGAATTATTATGCATACTGGATGGACTGGTTACCTTATGCTAGGCTCCAATATTTCTATCCATGAGTCTGGGAGAGAACGTATAGGCCTAGGCGATGCTGTTGGTTCCTTGATTGTGCAGGGAGGCTTACAGAGTTAGCCTACAATTATAGTGAATTTTTATTTGATTTTGAAATAGCCTAGTAATAGGGCATTAAAACATATATTTTAATAATGAATAGGCTGACAGATTACCATGAGCTACATGCTCCTCAAATAGTGGTTGATGTGTGGAGTGAAATAACTGGAGTAGCCTACCCAGCATGATTGAAGAATTTACTGTCAGGAAAGCGGCCTCCAAGTAGCTTTTTTTTTGCGACTTTCTCAAATCATCAATAGCCTATAGTCACATCATGCAGCCCATATATGTTTTGATTTCTAAGACATTCTAAGGTTTGTACCATTCACAGCTAAAGTTTCCAAATAACTCTAAATCTAGCGTATAGGACCTGTTTCAAATTATCACTTTTACGCTCAACATAGCCACTTCATATGCGCACTCACTCCGGAATGGGAAAAATATAATTTATATTTTATTCAATTATATTCTTCATACTATAATTAAGCAATAAGGCACAAGGGGGTGTGTTATATGGCCAATATACCACGGCTAAGGGCTGTTCTTAGCCACGACGTATCGCGGTGTGCCTGGACACAGCCCTTAGCCGTGGTATATTGGCCATATACCACAAACCCCTGAGGTGCCTTATTGCTATTATAAACTGGTTACCAATGTAATTAGAGCAGTAAAAATACATGTTTTGTCATACCCATGGTATACGGTCTGATATACCACGGCTGTCAGCCAATCAGCATTCAGGGCTCGAACCAATCATATAATATAAAATAATGGCACAGGATTTATAAGCATATATTTTCTGCTAAATGAACAAGCCTACAGCCTATGGCATGGCGCATAGCCAGATAACATAGTGTTCTGTTCTTCTGAAATACATTTTCTTCATATCATGTTTCTTAAGACCTGCCTAAAATATATAATGGATTTATTTTGATTGTGTATATTAAATAGATCTATTAGACTTTGTAAAAATGTAGACATTCCAAAGGCGCGCATTAGGGGCTTTTATGCGGCTTGTATGCATGGAGGTCTGGATATGCGAAACGTGTTTGTTAATTAACGGTCAATTACCGTGAGACCGGCAGTCTTTTGCATGAAGATAACCTGCTGACAAAATGTCATGACCGCCACAGCCTTAGGCCTGTCACACGTTGAGTGCAAAAATAATAATAATAATGATGAAACCACTCTGTTTCCTATTCTCTCTCTCACTCTACCCCCCTCCCCTTCATAATCCTCCCCAACCTCCCCCACTCACCCTCTCCCCACCTCTCCCACTAACCCCCTCATAATCCCCCCACCCCCCACCTACCCCCCCTCATAATCCTCTCCTCCCCCACCTTCAAACCTCCTCACTCCACCTCCACCCCCCCCCTTCATAATCCCTCCCCCCACCTCTCCTCACTCTACCCCCCCCCACCCTCACCTCCCCACCTCCCCCTACCCCCTCCTCATAATCCTCTCCTCCCCACCTCTCTCTCACTCTACCCCCTCCCCTTCATAATCCTCTCCTCCCCACCTCTCTCACTACCCCCTCCCCCCTTCCTACTCCCCCTCCCTCCTCCCCACCTCTCTCACTCACTCTAAACCCTCCCCTTCATACCTCCCCCACCACCCCCCCACTCAAAACAACCCACCTCCCTCCTCATACCCTCCTCCTAACCCTCTCCCCACTCTCTCACCACCCCTCCCCTTCATAATCCCTCCTCCCACTTCCTCTCACTCACCCCCCCTCATACCTCTATCCCCCTCACTCCCACCCTCACCTACCCCCCCCCCCTCCCCCCCATCCTCCTCTTCCACCCCCTCACACCCCCCCCCCCCCCCCCCCCCCCCCCTTCATAATCCTCCCCAGTGGGAGTGCGGTGAGCGGCCGTGATGGGTGACACGGAGCTGGGGCTGTCTGCTGCACAGCCAGAGGAACTAGAACCGCAGAGCTCCTCCACAGCCTCCTCCTCTCTGTCCATCTCCTCCTCTCCCTCCCGCTCTCTGCCCTCCTCCCCTTCCTCTGGACACTACCACCACCAGCAGACCCCCAGTCCCAGCCCCACTCACAGCGATGGTCCAGCCACCTCCAGCCCACCCCTGGACGTCATCTCAGAGGGCGTGGGCGAGCTGACCCTGGTCATCGACCCCGAGGTGGCCAAGATGGCCTGCCAGGAGGTGCTGCAGAAGGTGAAGTTCCTCAAAGGCAAAAGTGAGGGGTCAGGGTCTGGGTCTGACGGTGGCAATAGCACGGACCACACACTGGTCAACGGGACTGTATATACAGAGCCTATCAAGCCCCCAAAAATCCCTGGGGAGGAGGACTCTGAGGCACTGCCTCCAGGCTCGGTGAAAAGCGCGCGGCGGCGCCAGCGCCACAACCCCTCCAAGCAGTCGTGGTTGCTGCGGCTGTTTGAGTCCAAACTCTTCGACGTGTCAATGGCCATCTCCTACCTACACAACTCCAAGGAGCCGGGTGTGCAGGCCTACATTGGCAACCGCCTGTTCAGCTTCCGCCACGAGGAGGTGGACTTCTACCTGCCGCAGCTGCTCAACATGTACATCCACATGGACGAGGACGTGGGAGACGCCATCAAGCCCTACGTGGTGCGTATGTTACTGCCCTGAATCATCTCCGTGGCTAGCTAGTCATAAGAGTTAGAAATGTATCCTTTCTAAAGCCCCTTTCACATCAAATGATTTATTTTCCCCATAGGTGCACCGCTGCCGTCAGAGTATCTCCTTCTCGCTGCAGTGTGCCTGGCTGCTGGGCGCCTACTCCTCCGACATGCACATCTCCACACAGCGACACTCACGCGGTACCAAGCTACGCAAACTCATCTTCTCCGACGAACTCAAACCAGCCGCGGTCCGTGCCCGCCAGCCACTGACGTTGACCCCCTTCTGCCCACTTCCGACCGTTGCGCAATCCCTGCATGGGCACGGCTTGGGTGGGGAGCACGGTCTGTCGCCTACCAAGCGCACGCATCAGCGCTCCAAGTCGGATGCCACGGTCAGCATCAGCCTGAGCAGCAACCTGAAGAGGACCGCGAGCAACCCCAAGGTGGAGAGCAACCAGGACGAGGTGTGTACTGGGAGTATATACAAGTTTTTGTTTTCCACCAAGTCAGTTTGTTTCTCTGTATCTTGGCCGGTATCTCTCAAAGTGGGATAGCTAACTTTGGAAGCAACTGCTTGGGGTCCAACGGGGCGGGGGGGCGACACACAGTCCAGCACCCTTACGCTGTAGCGGTTATCACCAAATAGGCCCAAAGATGACATGATATTGAGGTGAGGGGTCAATGGAATGCACATATTCCAGACAGAGCACAGAATAATACTTCCTCTTCTGTCTCTGTATAGAAAGTGTCATGGCTACATATCCACAGAGACTCACACGTGGTCCTGTGTAGCTCAGTTGGTAGAGCATGGCCAGGGTTGTGGGTTCGATTCCCATGGGGGACCAGTATGAAAATATATGCACTCACTACTGTAAGTTGCTCTGGATAAGAGCGTCTGCTAAATGACTAAAATGACAAAAATGTTGAAGAGAGGACCTTTGACCAATGAAGCTCTATCTATATGTGTCTGTGTCCGTGCATGCATGCGTGTTCGTGACTACCACACCAAACTTAATCAGCAGTTCAGTTTCAAGCTCAGTGATTTCCCTGTAGTCACGTCCTCCTTTCTCTCTTAGCTCCCTCTTCGGTTTACGTTGGCATCATGACACCCTTACAATGTTATACAAACATGGAGACACTGTTACTGTAGGGTCACAGTGCCTCTATAAACACCATGCCCAAAGCTCTCTATTGAGGTCTGGTATTATCTTGATGATACTAGTTCACTATGGTGACTGACCATGTGGTGACATCATCAGTACTCGGCTATTAACCTGGTAGCTATTGGATACAAAAACACCAGAGTAAAGAATTTGTCGTAATGGTTAATTTAGCTATGATGATAAGACCGGTATTTCTTGTCATCGTCGTTTAAGGAAGATGGGTAGCTAACGGTTATTGTGAATAATCAGATTAATATAATAAATTAAAAACGTTTACATGCTTTGCAAAAATAATGATTTCCCTAATAATCCTGTTTCCATGGACACATCTGAAATCAGGCTACCTGATGGGACTTTGATAAAGCCGAAAATCGCAAAAGAAGGAAGCTTGCGCTGCTCGTGCTAGCACATGCACAGATCAAATACACTGCTATAACAAATCATTTGAAAGATTGCTCAGAAAACCAGGTCTTTTAATCGGCGTATGCTTGCTTCGATTATGACCTTACGTCGATTTAAAATAAGCAGAGTGAGGTGTTTATATGACTAATGCCTTACTCAGCCTACTGCCAGAATCAGTTTAGTATCTAATTATTAGTGTGCATATAAACGTACTCAGTGATTCAGTCATCACCACTACAGGGTATTGGGCACTCAAGGACTGTCCCTGAAACTGCAGAGCTGTCATTATGTAAAAGGAAGTAACCTCTCCTGACCTCAGCCAGATATGCTCTGATATGGGATATTACCTAGGACTATGCAGTCTTCTCATGCATGAGAAGGGTCTGTTATATAACATTTGAACACTTTAAGTTGTTGTTTAGTTAGTTGTTGGATACACAATTAAACATTGGGGTACAAATCACTTCATGAGTCACTGATACACCAGTTCGGTTCCTTTAGTCATCAATGAGTCATTGACACAACTTCCTTCCTGTTCTTATAGAGGTACCCAAAACACAATCTTCCCACTCTCTTATTAAGACTACTATAGAGACATACTGCCCCATCATTTACCTTTACATCTTAGTCATTTAGCAGACGCTCTTATCCAGAGCCACTTACAGTTAGTGAGTGCATACATTTTCATACTGCCCCCCCCCGTTGGGAAACGAACCCACAACCCTGGCGTTGCAAGCGCCATGCTCTACCAACTGAGCTACAGGGGACAGTTGGGCCATGATGGGCCAAGCTACAGTTGGCCCATCATGGAGTGGATAATACGATGGCGCCAGGTCAGAATCAATTCAGGAAGGGAATTGAAATATTCTGTTAAGTGATGGGCCAACTTCATGTCATCGGGCAGCAGAAAATGCTTTCTCAGTCTCACATGTGACCTTCTGCAAAGGGTGGTGAACATAAAGTGTGAAGGAAGACTGCTATCGCGCATCACTGTTGTTAAGCTGGGTGTAAAGTTCAAGGTGTCTAGTGTGGAATCTATTTACAGTGCCTTCAGAAAATATTCACACCCCTTGACTTTTCCCCCAGTTTGTAAAACAAATTCTGAAAAATAAAACACTAATATATCTTGATTACATAAGTATTCAACCCCCTGAGTCAATACATGTTAGAATCACCTTTGACTCTTTCTGGGTAAGTCTCTAAGAGCTTTGCACACCTGGATTGTACAACATTTGAACATTATTCTTTTAAAATTCTTCAAGTTCTGTCAAGTTGGTTGTTGATCATTGCTAGACAGCCATTTTCAAGTCTTGCCATAGATTTTCCAGCTGATTTAAGTCAAAACTGTAGCTAGGCCACTCAGGAACATTCAATGTCATCTTGGTAAGCAACTCCAGTGTATATTTGGCCTTGTGTTTTAGGTTATTGTCCTGCTGAAAGGTGAATTTGTCTCCCAGTGTCTGTTGGATAGCATACTGAACCAGGATTTCCTCTATGATTTTGCCTGTGTTAGCTTTAAGCCATTTCTTTTTATCCTAAAAAACTCCCTAGTCCTTGCCGATGACAAACATACCCATAACATGGTGCAGCCACCACCATGCTTGAAAATATATAGAGTGGTACTCAGTGATGTGTTGTGTTGGATTTGCCCCAAACATAATGCTTTGTATTCATGACTTAAAGTTAATTTCTTAGCCACATTTTTTTGTAGTTTTACTTTAGTGCCTTATTGCAAACAGGATGCATGTTTTGGAATATGTTTTATTCTTTACAGGCGTCCTTCTTTTCACTCTGTTATTTAGGTTAGTATTGTGGAATAACTATAATGTTATTGATCCATTCTCAGTTTTCTCCTATCATAGCCATTAAACTCTGTAACTGTTTTAAAGTCACCATTGGCCTCATGGTGAAATCCCTGAGCGGTTTCCTTCCTATCCGGAAACTGAGTTAGGAAAGACGCCTGGAACTTTGTAGTGACTGGGTGTATTGATCCAAAGTGTAATTAATAACTTCACCATGCTCAAAGGAATATTCAATGTCTGCTTTAAAATTTTTTTTATCTACCAATAGGTATCTTTCATTTTGAGGCATTGGAAAACCTCCCTGGTCTTTGTGGTTGAATCTGTGTTTGAAATGCACTGCTCGACGGAGTGACCTTACAGATAATTGTATGTGTGGGGTACAGAGATGAGGTAGTCATTCAGAAATCTTGTTAAACACTATTATTACACACAGAGTGAGTCCATGCAATGTATTATGTGACTTGTTAAGCACATTTTGACTCCTGAATTGATTTAGGCTTGCCATAACAAAGGGATTGAAGACTTAGGCCTATTGACTCAAGTCATTTCAGCTCTTCATTTTTTATTCATTTGTACCCATTTCAAAAAATATAATTCCACTTGGACATTATGGGGTATTGTGTGTAAGCTAGTGACCCAAAATCTCAATTGAATCCATTTTAAATTCAGGCTGTAACACAACAAAATGTGGATAAAGTCAAGGGGTGTGAATACTTTCTGCAGGCACTGTATCTAGAAGAGTTTGGACTCTTCCCAACATCACTCCTCCTCCCCCTGGTTAATGTGTAGTGAGACATTGTCTGTTGTGAGTAACCATTCAGAAACACCGGACGTCACTAGACTTTCATGAAGGAAGATTTTCTCTTTATTCCTTTTTTTACTTTCACTGCTCTTTTCTTTCTCTTAATGTCTTCCTTGTCCTTGCTTCTCCAAGCTCTATAGAGAGCTTTCATCTCTCTCTCACTTTCCTATTTTCTGTTCCCCTGCTCTGTGACCTTTAGTGTCATGTGACGGTGTTAGTAGTAGTTCACCCAGACAACAGTGATCATGGAAGATCTGCAGTTATGTGTTGTCACTCCTCACGACAAGACCCTGGAATGCACAGGCACACAATGCAGCCTCTTCCCATTCACTGGGGCGTACAGTCTGTTAGTACTAATCAAGGAGAGTACCTAATTATGATTGTTGTTGCTGATTTTAAGAAAAATAAAACATTGTTAATGTTCTTATTTTACCCTCCACCCCCTTTCCTTTCCTTACTTTGTACTTTAACCTGTCACCTTTCCCAGGATCTTAGCTCCAGCTCAGAAAGTCTTGATTGTTAGACTAAGACTGGTGCAGTAAGTTAACGGCCTCCATCACCACATACTTATGTGGTGCATTCTGGGATGATGGCTGCCTGTCTCCATTGGCAGCTGGGGTGTAGACTACTCTCTGTATGTGAAGTGAGGAGTCGTAAGTAAGCATGTATCTCAATATGCAACTTTGGGCTCCAGAGCTAAAAAGCCCTCAGGGGTCATTGATGGCAGCAGTGGGATCCGTTCGTCATCGCTTTTTTGGTCAGTTGTGTATCTATCATTGTTATGGGTGCAGATTGTGATACATGCTTATAAACCTCCACTCTAATGGTTTAATTTTCTATTTTTCCTGTTTTAGGATAAAATATGTGTGTATGACGTTTTGGGGCTTGTGTAAACTTTGACTTTGCTAAACCACTGCTGAAATAATTTAGCCTCAAATGAATGATTTGCTAATGGTTTCAAGTTCTGGTCTTTCTTGTTTCAACTAGTCTTATCTTCTGACATTTGTGTCAAGTTGGTTGCTGAAGTGTGTCAGCTTTTAAAAGGCTATTTTGAGACTACAGGCGATTATACACATTTGCTCACTTGAATCAGCTGTAATAATGGGCCCTGACTCCTGAATCATTTCTAACAAACTTGACACAAATGGACCAGCGGCTCATGGCTGTATATCTAAGTTGCTATTGTAATTTCACAAGGGAGTGGTGCTCTGATTTCCCAACTCTCTGGGGGTCAACATGAGAAGGTGTGTTGTGTTGAGAGTATTTGGTTCCAACACAACACTGAACTATTCTTACAAAACACTATTCCTCCAAAAGGTCATTATGTTCATACATCTTATTTACTCTTGCCGTGCTTCCTCCTCCTCTGTAGCCAGTACGTCTGGCACCCCAGAGAGAGTTCATCAAGTCCCTGATGGGCATTGGGAAGCGGCTGGCCACGCTGCCCACCAAGGAGCAGAAGACGTCCCGGCTCATCTCGGAGCTATCGCTGCTCAACCACAAGCTGCCCGCCCGCGTCTGGCTGCCCACCGCCGCCTTCGACCACCACGTAGTGCGCGTCCCTCACACACAGGCTGTGGTGCTCAACTCCAAAGACAAGGTGGGGGGAGACACACACACAGTGTAGAATGAGACGATGCACCAATTCAAACATGTAAACAATCACCTCTACCTCATCAGGCGCCATACCTCATCTATGTAGAGGTTCTGGAGTGTGAGGACTTTGAGACCTCCAACGTTCCGTTGCGGATCTCCGAGACGAGGATCCGCAGTACGCGCTCAGTGGAGAACCTTCCAGACTGCGGCATCACGGCGGATCAGCGCGCCGGGGGCTTCTCAACAGTTCACAACTACGATGAGGATAACGAAGCCTGGTCTGTGGACGACATCGGGGATCTGCAGGTGGAGGTAGGGGTCAGGAGCCAAACATTTTAGGTGGTACCCACCCTTATCAGTTAGTGAAGGAGTGTTGTAAACCCTTGTGTTTTCACACCTCTCTTGTGGGCTGTAGACTCACTCTCTCCCCTGTTCTTTCCCTCTTCTCTGTTTTCCCAGCTCGCAGAGTTCCACACCAACAGCTGTGACAACATCTCCCAGTTCTCAGTGGACAGCATCACCAGCCTAGACAGCAAGGAGCCCATCTTCATCGCTGCTGGAGACATCAGGTACAGAGGAATAGCTTTGGGTGGTATATTGTAGTCTTTCAAACTGTTATGTATATGATGCTTCTTCAGTAGTGTTCCTCTTGTATAACAGTGAGAGTGTGTTTCTTCCCCCCTCTACACAGGCGCCGGCTCTCAGAGCAGCTAGCTCACACACCGACCACATTCAAGCGAGACCCAGAGGACCCTTCAGCAGTGGCTCTCAAGGAGCCGTGGCAGGAGAAGGTTCAGTGCGTACACAATCCCTGCAGTGGACCATGGAGGTGTTGCATGCCTCGATTGTAACCTCAAGGCTAGAGGAAAGGTTTGAGCTTTGCTAATTGTATGTTCCTGTACTTTTTGTGTTCTTTTGAACAGGCGGATAAGGGAGGGTTCCCCCTATGGTCACATCCCTACCTGGCGGTTATTGTCAGTCATCGTCAAGTGTGGCGACGACCTTCGGCAAGAGCTCCTGGCCTCTCAAGTGCTGCAGCAGCTCCAGGTAATTATGGACACTCTAGCTCCAACTCCACATACACAGCAAAGATGAGCTTCTCTTTCCACATATCCACACCCAGTATTTACACTACAGTAATAATATAATAATATGCCATTTAGCAGACGCTTTTATCCAAAGCAACTTACAGTCATGCGTGCATACATTTCTGTATGCATGTATATACTTTATCTGTACTAATCATGTACCTCTCCCTCTCCCAGATCATCTGGGAACAGGAACGTGTGCCTATCTGGATCAAACCCTACAAGATCCTGGTGATCTCCTCTGACAGCGGCATGATTGAACCCATAGTCAATGCAGTGTCCATCCACCAGGTGAGCGGGCTCAGAAAGGCTCCAACAAAATCACACACAAAAACAAACTTAGCTATTAGTAGTATTTAACATTACTATTTGAGAACATTACTCTCGCAAAACCTTTCCCTCCTCAGCCAGCTAGATCAATACCTTTTCTTCCAGATATTAGGCTTCTAGCGGCAGGTAGCCTAGCGGTTAGGGCGTTAGCGTTGGCCCAGTAACCGAAAGGTCGCTAGTTCGAATCCCCAAGCTGACAAGGTGAAAAATATGTTGATGCGCCCTTGAGCAAGGCACTTTACCCTAATTTCTCCAGGATCACTGTTGATAATGCCCTGGCCGTGACCCCACTCTCCGAGAGTGTCTGAGGGGGAGTTGGGATATGCAAAAAAAAATATAATATATATATATATATATATAAGCACCCACCAAATTATTATTAAATATGTCCTGTAAACTTCAAGGAGTTGGTCTGATGGGAATCCGTGATGTCATCGCCCCGCCCCCCCGTGCTATGTCATGACTGGACCACCTATTAAAATGTGCCTATTGTTAAGTAAATCAGCGGTTAAAGGAGGTGAAAAGGTGACTGGAATGGGACTTTAAATGTTAAAGTTATCTGTTATCCCTCCGCCAGGTGAAGAAACAGAGCCAGATGCCTCTGCTGGACTACTTCCTGCAGGAACACGGTACCCACACCACTGAGGCCTTCCTCACGGCCCAGCGCAACTTTGTTCAGAGCTGTGCAGGCTACTGTCTCATCTGCTACCTTCTGCAGGTCAAAGACAGGTCAGACACTCCCACTACGCCCTCTCATTCACTCCTTTATCCTCTTTCATCGCTTACATCCTTGACCATTCTGGTCTTCATCGTCCCTCTTCTTTCGGACCATTTGTTTATCTCCGTTCCCCCTTTCTTTTTACCATTTCGTTTCTCATCCTTCCCCTCTTTCTTTCTGACCATTTCTGTTCTCTCATCTCGTTCCCCTCTTTCTCGTTCTGACCATTTCTGTTCTCTCATCTCGTTCCCCTCTTTCTTTCTGACCATTTCTGTTCTCTCATCTCGTTCCCCTCTTTCTTTCTGACCATTTCTGTTCTCTCATCCCTCTTCTTTCTCTCACATCTTTCCTCATCTGACCTTTCTTTCTGTCCATCGCTCCCCCTGTTCGACCTTCTGCTTCATCCATCCACTTTGTCAACATCGTTATACAGCCTATGGCACATTCTGATTCAATTGCACTCTGTTGCGTTCATTCTGTTCCACTCTTGACGCAACTGGTCTTCAACCTCTGTCTTTCTGCCTCCACTCAGCGATGTTCTGATGAGACATGAGGTAAAGCAGAGGTTTGAAACACTTTGCCATCTTGAACAAAGCAAATGGATTATTACAACAGTTGTTCTTGTGACTGCTCTCTCTAGGTGATGGGAGGTCTGGATGGAGACATGTTTAATTACTATAAGATGCTCTGTCTCTCTAGGTGATGGGAGGTCTGGATGGAGACATGTTTAATTACTATAAGATGCTCTGTCTCTCTAGGTGATGGGAGGTCTGGATGGAGACATGTTTAATTACTATAAGATGCTCTGTCTCTCTAGGTGATGGGAGGTCTGGATGGAGACATGTTTAATTACTATAAGATGCTCTGTCTCTCTAGGTGATGGGAGGTCTGGATGGAGACATGTTTAATTACTATAAGATGCTCTGTCTCTCTAGGTGATGGGAGGTCTGGATGGAGACATGTTTAATTACTATAAGATGCTCTGTCTCTCTAGGTGATGGGAGGTCTGGATGGAGACATGTTTAATTACTATAAGATGCTCTGTCTCTCTAGGTGATGGGAGGTCTGGATGGAGACATGTTTAATTACTATAAGATGCTCTGTCTCTCTAGGTGATGGGAGGTCTGGATGGAGACATGTTTAATTACTATAAGATGCTCTGTCTCTCTAGGTGATGGGAGGTCTGGATGGAGACATGTTTAATTACTATAAGATGCTCTGTCTCTCTAGGTGATGGGAGGTCTGGATGGAGACATGTTTAATTACTATAAGATGCTCTGTCTCTCTAGGTGATGGGAGGTCTGGATGGAGACATGTTTAATTACTATAAGATGCTCTGTCTCTCTAGGTGATGGGAGGTCTGGATGGAGACATGTTTAATTACTATAAGATGCTCTGTCTCTCTAGGTGATGGGAGGTCTGGATGGAGACATGTTTAATTACTATAAGATGCTCTGTCTCTCTAGGTGATGGGAGGTCTGGATGGAGACATGTTTAATTACTATAAGATGCTCTGTCTCTCTAGGTGATGGGAGGTCTGGATGGAGACAAATTTTTTGTTGGGTTGGATGGAATTTAATTACTATAAGATGCTCTGTCTCTCTAGGTGATGGGAGGTCTGGATGGAGACATGTTTAATTACTATAAGATGCTCTGTCTCTCTAGGTGATGGGAGGTCTGGATGGAGACATGTTTAATTACTATAAGATGCTCTGTCTCTCTAGGTGATGGGAGGTCTGGATGGAGACATGTTTAATTACTATAAGATGCTCTGTCTCTCTAGGTGATGGGAGGTCTGGATGGAGACATGTTTAATTACTATAAGATGCTCTGTCTCTCTAGGTGATGGGAGGTCTGGATGGAGACATGTTTAATTACTATAAGATGCTCTGTCTCTCTAGGTGATGGGAGGTCTGGATGGAGACATGTTTAATTACTATAAGATGCTCTGTCTCTCTAGGTGATGGGAGGTCTGGATGGAGACATGTTTAATTACTATAAGATGCTCTGTCTCTCTAGGTGATGGGAGGTCTGGATGGAGACATGTTTAATTACTATAAGATGCTCTGTCTCTCTAGGTGATGGGAGGTCTGGATGGAGACATGTTTAATTACTATAAGATGCTCATGCTGCAGGGCCTGATAGCAGCACGTAAACACATGGACAAAGTCATCCAGATAGTGGAGATCATGCAGCAAGGTAATTACTCTTAATTCTTACCTTGTCCTAACACACAACTATGTGTCAGTCATGACATTTCTCTCTTGTCCTAATCTGTATATTAGTCATGTTATCTTTAGCTTTAGTTAGTCATGAAAAGCAGCTTTAACTTTGAGGAAAGTTCTTTATCGATAAGTACAATTGGTCATTATAAGTACCAAACCGTACTACACTGTACATCCTCAGTGCCCCTCTATTCTCCCTCCCAGGCTCCCAGCTGCCCTGCTTCCACGGCTCCAGCACCATCCGGACCCTGAAGGAGCGTTTCCACATGAGCCTGACGGAGGAGCAGCTGCAGGTCCTGGTGGAGCAGATGGTGGACGGATCCATGCGCTCCATCACCACCAAGCTCTACGACGGCTTCCAGTACCTCACCAACGGCATCATGTGAACGTGTGTGTACAGGACGTGTGTGTGTGGAAAGGATACATGAGTGTGTATGTTTCTAAATGTGCAGTGGACATACATGGACTGGACTGGAGAGGCCACACCACTGGCAAAGACCACTCGCCCCCATACCTCTACGGACAGAATACGTTCGGTTATAGTTCTCTTTCTAACACAACCTCAACCTTGGACTGATGTCTTTGCTCACAGGATTCAGACTGAAGACAGGAGAGGTTTCAGCTGTGAAGATTTTCCTCTTTTGATATTTCCTTTTTGTTTGTGTTGTCTGTTTTATCCTTTTTTTTATATCTTTCAGTTTGCTTTGTTTTCTCAAAGAGGAATCTGTTCTGTTTCTCCCCCTCTCTTCAGTATGTAATGGTACAGTAATGACCTGTGCCTCCAGATATTCATGACACTCACCAGCCCTTTAACTCAATCTGTCTCACCCCAGTGTGTGAGGCTGTTCAGTCTCCATATTTACCATCTCATTCCCAACTCTATTATAGTGGCTTTCTCTACACTTTCTCAGTCATGGAATGAACACTCTTACCGAAATGCTTAGGAACCAGCTCTGTTCCCCTGTCATTGGAACGCCATACTCACGACTGTTCTTGGTTGTTGAGGAGTGACATTGTTTGCTAGATGCACATAGTTCCCTCAAAATATGATCCTACAGTAGTGGGTTGGAATGAGGTAGCTCCACGCTACCAATGTATCTTCTATCAACCTAATTTCTTCTGGAAGCTTTTGTTCATCACTTTGTATGAAGGGACATGACGCATTCAACTGTGAAGACGTGTATTTATGCCTGGTATCATTTTGGAGGAAGAAGAAGAAGAGTCTACTGCTGTCTATGTATTGAGTGACTGGTACTCGGAATGGTCTGAATACACATTTACATTGACATTTAGCAGACGCTCTTATCCAGAGCGACTTAGTGAGTGCATACATTTTCATACCAAGGACACCAGTGTGGCTGAAGTACCTCAAAAGAACCCAGTATTTCGCAAAGGCTTTGAATATTAAGGAAAATAGTCAATTCACAAATGGTTGGCTTAAAAGTGTTCAACATTTCATATTCAGAATACTTTTGGGATCGAGGTTGATAAGGATAGGGTCTATGGACTATGGCTGATTTTCTGTGTTTTAGGGCGGGATAGAGATACAAAACCTTATCCTGTTCTCTGTTTCATCATGACAGTTTTATTTCCATCCACTACTCCACATTCATCTCAATAGAAGCTGGATTTTCACCCCTGTTCCAGAAGTCTGAATATGAAAGGGCAAACTAATTACAAGCTAGAATCCTAATTAACTTTATTTCTCCCAACCGTTTTTCTACTACCTTAGTGTTTTTGTCAATCCTTTTATTTCTTTATGACCTGTTATTTAATGGACCAGCTGTTATGATCATGTGACCTCCCTTAACTTGTAAATGTTTCTTTATAATAAATTAATTTGTCTCAGTCAGGCTGTTGAAAATGACATTTTTACCTGCCCGAATATTCAATACCTTACTATCTACTACAACTACTACTTGCCACCTCAGTACTTGGGTGATAGGCTTAGAATTTTTTATTTATTTAAACATTCTGGAGTTAAATAAAATACTGCTTCACCTATCATGGGGAGCCATCTGCAGAGGTATTCCCTTACCTGTCCACACTTGCCGCTATTAACCAAATGTTTAAATTACTTACAACCTGACCACACCTCCTTAGAAGAAGTCAGGCTAGGCTACTCCATCAACTTTGAAGCACCGGGTGAAAGTTTTTACAATTATAGAAAACAGCATATAATACCGAAAATTAAATTAACCATCTTTAGATTTATAAGTATGATATTACGTTTGAGTTTCACCTGAGCTCGGGACATTCCTTGCTTAGCGCCTCAAGCTTTCCGTGTAAAGTGGATTTCTCAAAATTTACGGCTGGGAAGTGAATCAGGAAGTAATATCAAGTTAAAATGGTAAGTAACCTATACTTTAATTTCTCTGCGTTTTTCTCATTCACAACTACACACCGAAATTCATTTAAACATCATAAATCAAAGTGTAGCCTACTCATGTGAAGTTTGTGCTTCTCTCCCGACTGGAGAATATTCTTTGAGCCAGCACAAGTCAGATTGCTTAGTGCTTGTGATACAAAAACCTGGTGGCTGACAAGGATTGTAGACAAATATCCTTGGCTGCATGATCGGAGCTCGAAAAGGCGCTGTCCATTCTTTGATACAAAAATCACTAACTTTAAACAACTGGCACTGTTGGAACCACACGATGCAAATATCAGTAAGTCTGCGCAGATTTATTTTGCACAGACTTCCTTGTTGTGAACATTTGATTCAATCAGTAGGCTATTGCCTCAAATGTCCCAGTACTTCTTGATCTCCTTTCCAATAACTGAAAAGTATGGACAGGTTTTCACCTTAGTGTTGCTTCCACCTGTCAAGTCATGATCAGTGGTGCTAGGCTATAGGAAAGGTGAAAGGGAGCTATCGTATCTAATAACATTGGAATAGGCACATAGCTTAGGCCTAACCACCGATGGAAACTCACTACTAGCCTGGGCATCCACTTTTTCCAGTGGTCCCATTGCATGTACACCTAAATCACAGCCTATGCATACCTGTAGTCTACTACACTTAGCCACGGAGAGTTGGGGTGCTGGAGCACCCCCTGAAAAATCGGAATAAAAAAATATATTAATTGTTTATTTGTTTATTTTTCTCACAAAGTAGTGCACTGGGCCTTTAATAGTACTGTATTAGTGCACCAATAAGAACATGCAAAACATTGTTTTCTCTGCTGCCTACAAAAAAATCAAAAACTACTTCCCGTGGCTATGCTACTATAGTAAATGTTTTGCCTCTAAACGTTACTGCACTCAGCTAGCAAAATGGTTTGTTTTGCTGTCTTCCCTGCCAAACAGCATGTGAAGCTGATTCAAATGAATCAACCTGGAACAACGTGTCTGGGCAGTATTATCCCCACTGAACAGGCCCTAGGAGGGAAATGGAATGTAGACAATTCAGGATAGGAAGATTTGAGGTCCACGGGGGACAGACCCCTCTCTGTGACGTCATGCATACAAAATTATACCTGGTCATAGCTTTGGGACTCAACATCGGGAGTCTGTGTATTGGTTGGACACATTCAGGAGGACAACGTGACAGAATATTCATACTTTCCCGATCTCCTCATTTTGATCAATACTGATCAAGTTAAAGAGAAAAGGAGAACAAACCACTGTTGATATTCACCCTGTGACCTGTTTGGTTCCTTGTTATAAATTCTACAGACACATGACTGTTCCACGAGAACTGGACTGTCTGTTGCAATACCCAAACCGTCTGTCTGTCATGGTGATTCATGACTGATAAATCACAAGGTCTTTACCTCGTGGCATTGCCTCTGCATGCCCATCTGACCATCACTGAATGTATCAAGAAACTACACAGCCTGCACACTATATTGCTCCTTAACCTTTCTGTTTCTTTCATATGCAGAGTTTTTCATTCAGCACCTTGTATAATGTGATGTGTGTTTGACAATTACTTTACATCACTGAATTGTCCAGGGTATTTCGATCATAAACATTTATTGACTCATGGTAGGCCGTTATTGTAATTAAGAATTTGTTCTAAATTGACTTGCCTAGTTAAATAAAGATTAAATAAATAAAATTATACTGTTCTGTTTCATCCTGGCAGGCACACCGCTATATTATTATATTACTACAGCGCTAACTTGTGGTCAATATGGCAATATTCAAGGTTATTTCGGGAAGAGTGTGTAGATTCACGTCAACGGTTGAGACATTTCTTCTTTAGCTGTTAGAGTATGACCATAGCTCTCATCCTCTTCTGAAATAGAGGCTGCTGTGATTGTGTAATACATGTGGTGGGAAAATCTTTATGGTTGTGTGGTGCGGTGAGTATGAAGACTGTGTTTCTTTACTTTCTGGTCATAACACTTCAATTAAGCTTATTTGTGTCATGCATGTTAGGCACAGTCTAAACAGTGTATTGGATTGCTACTTTGATATCATGTATTGTGTACAAGGTTGGTGACCACCAGTGTACATTGTGCGGCCGTTACAATTTGCACCACACAAACCGTTGTACATTACAGAATTCCACAATGCGATTTTGAAGAGCTCACAGCCTTTTGTGTAAAGTAGTTGTTATGTCAGATTCCGGCATATTCAGTTTCCCCTGCTACCAGCACATCACTGATCCCACTCATCAGTCAGTGTTCTGAGTTAATGAGGACATATGAGTGTTCATTAATGGGCAAGGAGAGGAGTTGAATTTGCACAGATAATCTTATTGCAACCAGTCTATCTCCCTCTTTCTTTCTCTGTCTCCCTCTCTCTCTGCCTCCCTCTCTCTCTGCCTCCCTCTTTCTCTGTCTCCCTCTTTCTCTCTGTCTTTCTCTGTCTCTGTCTCTGTTTCTCTGTCTCAGGGGAGTAAGGAGCGCTACCACTGGCAGACCCAGAATGTTAAGATCAGCGGGGTGGACGACATGGTCCTGCTCTCCAAGATCAACGAGGATGCCATCACTGACAACCTCAAGAAGAGATACATGGACGACTACATCTTTGTATCCTTCAGCTTGTAGTAGAACCAGGGCACACACTGCTATATGTGGCAAATACACTGAGGCTTTGCTCTGCTTTGTAGATGTACATACACCGTAGTCTCTCTGTCATACACACACACACACACACACACACACACACCCTGTGATCACTTCAGCCACATTAGCTTGTTATGAGATTAGCCTTAATAACATACTTTAAAAAAAGTGTAGAACAACATGGAAGGGTAATATGTTTGTGTCTCAACCACCATATTTACAGTACACCACATGTAGCGTTAGGGACTAGCACTGCGATCACAGCTACAACTATACACATCAATGCCGTTGTGGCCCCTGCCGGTGCTGTATTCTAGATGGTTATTCAAATTTTCCTTAACAGGTCTTCCTCAGACCTACATAGGGTCGGTGCTGATCTCTGTCAACCCCTTTAAACAGCTGCCCTACTTCACTGACAGAGAGGTGGAGCTCTACCAGGGAGCTGTGAGTAATATACACTACTAAACCCACTGGGCTTTCTGCTGTCTGGCTGGCTGGCTGGCTGGCTGGCTGGCTGGCTGGCTGGCTGCACCTACCTACCAGTTTCAAGATTTGTTTGCATCACTCGATCTAGACGGAGAAACTGTAGTGTACAAAAGGCTGATTGTATAGTCCTGCTTATCAATATGTGATGCAAAGTAGGCCCTTCCACATTCCCACTATCATGTAAATGATATGTTCAATGCCATTATGTTGTCCATTGTTTACCTCACCTCATAATGACAGAGTTAATGAATAACCCCAACGCTTCCTGTCTCTCAGTTAATGTCCTTAGTTTCACTCTGGTCTGAGGGACCAGTAGACACTCGATTAACCAGTTCTATTACAAATATGTGAGAATGTCTGCTGCTGCTGAAGTTTTTGTAAATTATTTTTTTGTATCACTATTTATCTAAAGTGCTGTAAGTAAGAAGCTTAATCTATTGTGAATGCTGTTTACCAAGCTGGACAAAAACACATCTAATAACAAGACAGTATATGTTGAAAATAAAGTGCTGGATAATTGATAGCAAGCCACCTAGGGCTTGTAGAAAACATATATAAACTCAGCAAAAAAAGAAACGTCCCTTTTTCAGGACCCTGTCTTTCAAAGATAATTCGTAAAAATCCAAATAACTTCACAGATCTTCATTGTAAAGGGTTTAAACACTGTTTCCCATGCTTGTTCAATGAACCATAAACAATTAATGAACATGCACCTGTGGAACGATCTTTAAGACACTAACAGCTTACAGACGGCAGGCAATTAAGGTCACAGTTATGAAAACTTAGGACACTAAAGAGGCCTTTCTACTGAACACCAAAAGAAAGATGCCCAGGGTCCCTGCTCATCTGCGTGAACGTGCCTTAGGCATGCTGCAAGGAGGCATGAGGACTGCAGATGTGGCCAGGGCAATAAATTGCAACGTCCGTACTGTGAGACGCCTAAGACAGCGCTACAGGGAGACAGGACGGACAGCTGATCGTCCTCGCAGTGGCAGACCACGTGTAACAACACCTGCACAGGATCGGTACATCCGAACATAACACCTGCGGGACAGGTACAGGATGGCAACAACAACTGCCCAAGTTACACCAGGAATGCACAATACCTCCATCAGTGCTCAGACTGTCCGCAATAGGCTGAGAGAGGCTGGACTGAGGGCTTGTAGGCCTGTTGTAAGGCAGGTCCTCACCAGACATCACCGGCAACAACGTTGCCTATGGGCACAAACCCACCATCGCTGGACCAGACAGGACTGGCAAAAGGTGCTCTTCACTGACGAGTCACGGTTTTGTCTCACCAGGGGTGATTGTCGGATTCACGTTTATCGTAGAAGGACAGAGGCCTGTACTCTGGAGCGGGATCGATTTGGAGGTGGAGGGTCCGTCATAGTCTGGGGCGGTGTGTCACAGCATCATCGGACTGAGCTTGTTGTCATCGCAGGCAATCTCAACACTGTGCGTTACAGGGAAGATATCCTCCTCCCTCATGTGGTACCCTTCCTGCAGGCTCATCCTGACCTGACCCTCCAGCATGACAATGCCACCAGCCATACTGCTTGTTCTGTGCGTGATTTCCTGCAAGACAGAATGTCAGTGTTCTGCCATGGCCAGCGAAGAGCCCGGATCTCAATCCCATTGAGCACGTCTGGGACCTGTTGGATCGGAGGGTGAGGGCTAGGGCCATTCCCCCCAGAAATGTCTGGGAACTTGCAGGTGCCTTGGCGGAAGAGTGGGGTAACATCTCACAGCAAGAACTGGCAAATACTTATTTCCCTCATTAAAATGCAAATCAATTTATAACATTTTGACATGCGTTTTTCTGGATTTTTTTGTTGTTATTCTGTCTCTCACTGTTCAAATAAACCTACCATTAAAATTATAGACTGATCATTTCTTTGTCAGTGGGCAAACGTACAAAATCAGCAGGGCATCAAATACTTTTTTCCCTCATTGTGTGTATATATATATATATATATATAGTACCAGTCAAATGTTTGGACACACCTACTCATTCCAGGGTTTTTCTTTATTTTTACTATTTTCTACATTGTAGAATAATAGTGAAGACATCAAAACTATGAAATAACACATATTTTCATATGGAAAAAGTGTTATATAAAATATATTTTGATTTGTTTTTGAGATTCTTCAAAGTAGCCACCCTTTGCCTTGATGACAGCTTTGCACACTCTTGGCATTCTCTCAACCAGCTTCATGAGGTAGTCACCTGGAATGCATTTCAATTAACAAGTGTGCCTTGTTAAAAGTTAATTTGTGGAATTTCTTTCCTTCTTAATGCGTTTGAGCCAATCAGTTGTGTTGTGACAAGGTAGGGGTGGTATACAGAAGATAGCCCTATTTGGTGAAAGACCAAGTCCATATTATGGCAAGAACAGTGCAAATAAGCAAAGAGAAACGACAGTCCATCATTACTTTAAGACATGAAGGTCAGTCAATTCGTAACATTTCAAGAAAGTGTAGTCGCAAAAACCATCAAGCGCTATGATGAAACTGTCTCTCATGAGGACCGCCAAAGGAAAGGAACACCCAGAGTTACCTCTGCTGCAGAGGATAAGTTCATTAGACTTAACTGCGCCTCAGATTGCAGCCCAAATAATGCTTCACAGAGTTAAAGTAACAGACACATCTCAACATCAACTGTTCAGAGGAGACTGCGTGAATCAGGCCTTCATGGTCGAATTGATGCAAAGAAACCTCTACTAAAGGACACCAATAAGAAGAAGAGACTTGCTTGGCCAAGAAACACGAGCAATGGACATTAGACTAGTGTAAATCTGTCCTTTGGTCTGATGAGTCCAAATTAGATTTTTGGTTCCAACCGCCGTGTCTTTGTGAGACGCAGAGTAGGTAAACGGATGATCTCCGCATGTGTGGTTCCCACCGTGCAGCATGGAGGAGGAGGTGTGATGGTGTGGGGGTGCTTTTCTGGTGACACTGGCAGTGATTTATTTAGAATTCAAGGCACACTTAACCAGCATGGCTACCACAGGATTCTGCAGCGATACGCCATCCCATCTGGTTTGGGCTTAGTGGGACTATCATTTGTTTTTCAACAGGACAATGACCCAACACACCTCCAGGCTGTGTAAGAGCTATTTGACCAAGGAGAGTGATGGAGTGCTGCATCAGATGATCTGGCCTCCACAATCACCCGACCTCAACCCAATTGAGATGGTTTGGGATGAGTTGGACCACAGGGTGAAGGAAAAGCAGCCAACAAGTGCTCAGCATATGTGGGAACTCCTTCAAGACTGTTGGAAAAACATTCCTCATGAAGCTGGTTGAGAGAATGCCAAGAGTGTGCAAAGCTGTTATCAAGACAAAGGGTGGCTACTTTGAAGAATCTCAAATATAAAATATATTTTGATTTGTTTAACACTTTTTGGGTTACTACAGTTGAAGTCGGAAGTTTACATACGCTTAGGTTGGAGTCATTAAAACTCATTTTTCAACCACTCCACAAATTTCTTGTTAACAAACTATAGTTTTGGCAAGTCGGTTAGGACATCTACTTTGTCATGACACAAGTAATTTTTCCAACAATTGTTTACAGACAGATTATTTCACTTATAATTCACTGTATCACAATTCCAGTGGGTCAGAAGTTTACATACACTAAGTTGACTGTGCCTTTTAAACAACTTGGAAAATTCCAGAAAATGATGTCATGGCATTAGAAGCTTAGAAAATCTAAAGAAATCAGCCAAGACCTCAGAAAAAAAACTGTAGACCTCCACAAGTCTGGTTCATCCTTGGGAGCAATTTCCAAACGCCTGAAGGTACCATGTTAATCTGTAAAAACAATTGTATGCAAGTATAAACACCATGGGACCACGCAGCCGTCATACCGCTCAGGAAGGAGACGCGTTCTGTCTCCTAGAGATGAACGTACTTTGGTTCCGAAAAGTGCAAATCAATCCCAGAACAACAGCAAAGGACCTTGTGAAGATGCTGGAGGAAACAGGTACAAAAGTATTTATATCCACAATAAACCAAGTCCTATATCGACATAACCTGAAAGGCCGCTCAGCAAGGAAGAAGCCACTGCTCCAAAACTGCCATAAAAAAGCCAGACTACGTTTTGCAACTGCACATGGGGACAAAGATCGTACTATTTGGAGAAATGTCCTCTGGTCTGATGAAACAAAAATAGAACTGTTTGTTCATAATGACCATCGTTATGTTTGGATGAATAAGGGGGAGCTTGCAAGCCGAAGAACACCATCCCAACCGTGAAGCACGGGGTGGTAGCGTCATGCTGTGGGGGTGCTTTGCTGTAGGAGGGACTGGTGCATTTCACAAAATAGATGGCATCATGAGGAAGGAAAATTATGTGGATATATTGAAGCAACATCTCAAGACATCAGTCAGGAAGTTAAAGCTTGGTCGCAAATGGGTCTTCCAAATGGACAACGACCCCAAGCATACTTCCAAAGTTGTGGACATCACAAAGCCCTGACCTCAATCCTATAGAAAATTGTGGGCAGAACTGAAAAGGCGTGTGCGAGCAAGGAGGCCTACAAACCTGACTCAGTTACACCAGCTCTGTAAGGAGGAATGGGCCAAAATTCACCCAACTTGTTGTGGAAAGCTTGTGGAAGGCTACCCGAAACGTCTTACCGATGTTAAACAATTTAAAGGCAATGCTACCAAATACTAATTGAGTGTAAACGTCTGACCCACTGGGAATGTGATGAAAGAAATAAAAGCTGAAAGAAATCATTCTCTCTACTATTATTCTGACATTTTACATTCTTAAAAAAAGTAGAGATCCTAACTGACCTAAGACAGGGCATTTTTACTAGGATTAAATGTCAGGAATTGTGAAAAACTGAGTTTAAATGTATTTGGCTAAGGTGTATGTAAATTTCTGACTTCAACTGTACATGATTCCATATGTGTTATTTCATAGTTTTGATGTCTTCACTATTATTCTACAATGTAGAAAATAGTAGAAAATAAAGAAAAGCCCTTGAATGAGTAGGTGTGACTTTTGACTGGTACTGTATGTACAGTTGAAGTCGGAAGTTTACATACACCTTCGCCAAATACATTTAAACTCAGTTTTTCACAATTCCTGACATTTAATCCTAGTAACAATTCCCTGTCTTAGGTCAGTTAGGATCACCACTTTATTTTAAGAATGTGAAATGTCAGAATAATAGTAGAGAGAATGATTTATTTCAGCTTTTATTTATTTCATCACATTCCCAGTGGGTCAGACGTTTACATACACTCAATGAGAATTTGGTAGCATTGCCTTTAAAATGTTTAACTTGGGTCAAACGTTTCGGGTAGCCTTCCACAAGCTTCCCACAATAAGTTGGGTGAATTTTGGCCCATTCCTCCTGACAGTGCTGGTGTAACTGAGTCAGGTTTGTAGGCTTCCTTGCTTGCACACGCTTTTTCAGTTCTGGCCAAAAAAAAATCTATAGGATTGAGGTCAGGGCTTTGTGATGGCCACTCCAATACCTTGACTTTGTTGTCCTTCAGCCATTTTGCCACAACTTTGGAAGTATGCTTGGGGTCATTGTCCATTTGGAAGACCCATTTGCGACCAAGCTTTAACTTCCTGACTGATGTCTTGAGATATTGCTTCAATATATCCACATAATTTTCCTTCCTCATGATGCCATCTATTTTGTGAAGTGCACCAGTCCCTCCTGAAGCAAAGCACCCCCACAGCATGATGCTGCCACCCCCGTGCTTCACGGTTGGGATGGTGTTCTTCGGCTTGCAAGCGACCCCCTTTTTCCTCCAAACTTAACGATGGTCATTATGGCCAAACAGTTCTATTTTTATTTCATCAGACCAGAGGACATTTCTCCAAAAAGTACTATCTTTGTCCCCATGTGCAGTTGCAAACCGTAGTCAGTTTTTTTTATTGCATACTATTGTTTGTACAGATGAACGTGGTACCTTCAGGCGTTTGGAAATTGCTCCCAAGGATGAACCAGACTTGTGGAGGTCTACAATTATTTTTCTGAGGTCTTGGCTGATTTCGTTTGATTTTCCCATGATGTCAAGCAAAGAGGCAATGAGTTTGAAGGTAGGCCTTGAAATACATCCACAGGTACACCTCCAATTGACTCAAATGATGCCAATTAGCCTATCAGAAGCTTCTAAAGCCATGACATCATTTTCTGGAATTTTCCAAGCTGTTTAAAGGCACAGTCAACTTAGTGTATGTAAACTTCTGACCCACTGGAATTGTGATACAGTGAATTATAAGTGAAATAATCTGTCTGTAAACAATTGTTGGAAAAATTACTTGTATCATGCACAAAGTAGATGTCCTATCCGACTTGCCAAAACTATAGTTTGTAAACAAGAAATTTGTGGAGTGGTTGAAAAACTAGTTTTAATAACTCCAACCTAAGTGTATGTAAACTTCCGACTTCAACTGAATGTATGTATGTATGTATGTATGTATGTGTTTGTACATTTTAGTCATTTAGCAGACGCTCTTATCCAGGAAGGGCACATCAACAGATTTTTCACCTAGCCGACTTAGTGATTCAAACCAGCAACCTTTCAGTTACCTGCCCAACGCTCTTAACCGCTAGGCTACCTGCCGTGGACATTGGAATGATGCTTGCTCCTCCTTTGTCAGGCCCAGTATGAGAACCCCCCTCACATCTACGCCCTGGCTGACAACATGTACCGCAACATGATGATCGACTGTGAGAACCAGTGTGTCATCATCAGGTCTGACCAATCATCTCACTCCCAGAGATCAAGCTTTATACTTTGTAGTAACCTGAACTTTCACATAAACCATGCATTCTGTCAATGGGATGTCATCACAATGAGTTAGGGTGTTGCTCTGTTTCACAAAGCTTTTCCATTGTCTTTGCAGTGGGGAGAGTGGAGCAGGAAAGACTGTAGCAGCAAAATACATAATGGGCTACATCTCCAAGGTGTCGGGCGGAGGTTCCAAAGTCCAGGTATAGGGGATCCATTCATCTAATTCTCCCTTCCATTCTCTCATTTCATCTTCTCAGACACGTATTAGTGCGTTCATCTGTTCTCCTTTATTCTTCTTCTTCACAGCACGTAAAAGACATCATCCTCCAATCCAACCCTCTCCTGGAGGCCTTTGGGAATGCCAAGACCGTGCGCAACAATAACTCCAGTCGCTTTGTGAGTAGAACAGGGAATCTGGGAATACCGATAGAATGGATAAGGAATTAGGGGTGCATTTCATTCCAAAAATGTTGTGGCCTTCTGCCCTTCACTCCCATTGACAGATCTGATGGGACCAGAAAGGTGAAAGTAATAGGGAGAAATCTAGGTGGAGCTTTTATTGTTGCATTCCTGGTTTAGGCCTTATCTGGACAAGGAACCTTAATCACTGTGTTCTGTGTTACCACAGGGGAAGTACTTTGAGATCCAGTTCAGCCGTGGAGGAGAGCCAGACGGAGGGAAGATCTCCAACTTCCTGTTGGAGAAGTCCAGGGTGGTGTCACAGAACCAGGGAGAGAGGAACTTCCACATCTACTACCAGGTGGGACAGAATAACTAATTACGGAGAGAATTTCATCACTTATTTAACCTTTGACCAAACAACCTCTGACCCTTGACCCTTAGCTCCTGATGGGTGCCACTAAAGAGATGAGGGAGAACCTTGGTGTCACCACACCTGACTACTACCTCTACCTGAACCAGTCTGGCACCTACACCGTGGAGGATGTCAACGATAAGAAGGAATTCTCTGACACCATGGTGAGCTCTCTCTCTCTCTCTCTCTTTTTTTTCACATGTCTAGAGAGGCAGTTTGTCTTCATTGTGTGTATGTGTTTTAGGAGGCCATGTCAGTGGTGGGCCTGTCTGTAGACGAGCAGGACATGGTGCTGCAGATCGTAGCAGGCATCCTGCATCTGGGCAACATCGCCTTCAGAGAGGAGGGAAACTATGCTGTGGTGGAGAGTGAGGACTGTGAGTTACGCTTACACACACACGCACGCACACACACACACACAATCCCAAATCAACCCCTATCCTATACCCTCTTTGCACTTGTGATCCCCCTCTTTGTCCTATCTCACTTCCTGTCCTCCATGTTCTGGCAGTCCTGGCGTTCCCGGCCTACCTGTTGGGAATCTCCCAGGAGGGTCTGAAGAACAAGCTGACCAGCCGGATCATGGACAGCAAGTGGGGGGGTAAGACAGAGAGCATCGCTGTCACCCTGAACACAGAGCAGGCCTCCTTCACACGGGACGCCCTCTCCAAAGCTCTCTACTCACGCCTGTTTGACTTTCTTGTGGATGTAAGTCTCCATTTAATTTCAGAAGGAACCTGTCAGTGAGGTTCCTTTTATCCACATATCAATTTGCTCACCTATATGTTGACCAGTTAACTAGTAGAAGGAACATTTAACAGCAAAGCATGGCCAAACATGTTCACACTTACTACAGAGTCATAGCTCTTATCGGAACATGTATTGGACTTGCTGTCCGGATCCTTGTGCAGTTGTTTGTCTTTTGACTGCTGGTGTGGGAGCCACACAAGATAATAATAATATGCCATTTAGCAGATGCTTTTATCCAAAGCGACTTACAGTCATGATGGAACGTGTCTAGAGATGGGAGCAGTAGGGAGGCAGTGCAGCTTACACATGTTCTGTCCTGTTGTCTCACAAGAGGTTTACTGCAGTACTGTTGCTACAACCATGACACTTCATTTTATTGTAGTACTGTATCATAGTACTGTATCATTGCTCTTTAGCGTTTAAACTTCTTCATTCCTGTCTCTCTGTCTGTCTTTCTTTCCTCTCTCCTCTCCCCCAGTCTATCAACAAAGCCATACAGAAAGACCATGAGGAATTCAACATTGGGGTGCTGGACATCTATGGCTTTGAAATCTTCCAGGTGGATATTTCTGTGCTGCCTCATACAGGAGTTGTCCCACTTCTACTGTTGGACCTCATTTATTTAAAAACTGCATACATCACCATACATAATCATTTCCACCTATAGGCCTACTGTTAGACCACATGTCATTTTGTTTAAGATTGCACACATATGGCCTGCACACCTAATTGCCACCTCCAGTTACCTACTGTTAAGTATATGTGTTGAAAGTTTACTGCTTTTTATTCATACAAAATCATTAATACTATGTATTCTCTCTGTTGTGGAAATTACCACCAGGGACACCTGAAGTTCATCTTAAATGAGTCATTCTTTATTATCAGCAAGCTGGAGAGTTTACAACAAACTTAATGCACCAAGTAGAACACGTCTGTCAGGAGTTTCGCCGGGACAGTCCCGTTAGTTCTCTTATATACTGCTTACACAGACAAGTTATATTTGCATGATTTAGCTTATTCATAATTCATAATACATTCATCATTAACTTTTGGTTCATTCATGTGACCTACCAATACCTCACGAGGCTTCTTCTCTCTTGAAACTGAGATATCCCTTTCTTTTTTCTAAACAAGGTTCTGGGCGTACAGCCAAATTGCTTATACTGATAGTGAGGATTCCTCCCAGGCATGATCAATCAGTCACTTGCATGAACCCAGTCGAATTGGTTATTAGAAAAGCACAAACATAACATTTTCCTTCACATCTCTATTTAACACTAATAGAAAAACGGCTTTGAGCAGTTCTGCATCAACTTTGTGAATGAGAAACTGCAGCAGATTTTCATTGAGCTCACGTTAAAAGCTGAGCAGGTAAGTGATAACTCTACATTACTTGTTTCACTCTTTCGTCTTGTGATACGTCTACATTACTTTGGCTTGTTTTCCCAGATACTTACATTGTTTCTTGTAGGAGGAGTATGTGCAGGAAGGGATCAAGTGGACGCCAATCGAGTACTTTAACAACAAAATCGTGTGTGACCTCATTGAGTCCAAACTGGTGAGGGATCATATTCGGCCATTTCCTGTAGTGCTGAAGTTGGGGGCGGCCATTTTGTGTGTAATTCAGGTGAACTACAGTACCAGTAGATGTTGTGTGTGGTACAGTTCTTGATATGCCTTGTTCTTATTACCCAGAACCCCCCAGGCATCATGAGTATCTTGGACGATGTGTGTGCCACCATGCATGCTAAGGGGGAGGGCGCTGACCAGACTCTGATCCAGAAGTTACAAGGGGGAATCAGCTCCCATGAGCACTTCAACAGCTGGAATAAAGGCTTCATAGTGCACCACTACGCTGGCAAGGCAAGGACACCATATAGCACAAACACTATGGGCCTTTTAGAATCCATTTAGAATACATCCTCATTACACACTGAACCAACATTGACCAACAGTCCAACATTCCAAAGATTACAGCTCTTTGATTTAATTTGGTACATTGCCCCCTGGTGGGGGTTTGGAGTACATGGAGACCACATCTCCTAAATATCAGAATGTGTTAGGGGAAAATGCTGAAATTAAAGACTCAGAGCTTGTCCTCTCTCTCTCAGGTGTCCTATGACGTCAGTGGCTTCTGTGAGAGGAACAGAGATGTGCTCTTCAATGACATCATTGAGCTGATGCAGAGCAGTGAATTGTAAGTGTAGTTAGAAGTGTTATAATAGGTATACTATATGATAATTCCATAGACCGCCACTGACCAGTCTCTCTCTCTCTCTCTCTGTCTCTCTCTCTGTCTCTCTCTGTCTCTCTGTCTCTCTGTCTCTCTGTCTCTCTCTGTCTCTCTCTCTGTCTGTCTCTGTCTGTGTCTGTCTGTCTGTCTGTCTGTCTGTCTGTCTGTCTGTGTGTTTGGGCAGTGCCTTCATAAAAACCCTTTTCCCAGAAAACCTAGAGGCAGAGAAAAAGGGCCGTCCTACCACCGCCAGTAGCAAGATCAAGGTAAGGATCTGACACGGTTGTGTGCTACTATAATCTCGGTAAACCCAGGACAAAGTCTCACGTAATTGGTCAGCTGCTTGATTAAGTTCTGGGTCCATACGTGTTAAGAGATGACGAGATGCTAGAACGAGGAGTGGAACCAGATGCTCCACCCCCTCTCTCTACGGGCCGAATGTCCCCTCCCTCCCGAAATTCGAAAGATGCTAACACCTGCGAAATCGTGATTTGTCCAAATTACCAGTGACGAAAAACCCAAACACCGTAACTACTGCTGCTCCTTATCCCATTCCTACCCGACAGATTCTACGGTACCAGTTATGTTTACGTAGATCTGTCCACAAGAGATTATTGTTGCTATGGAAACAGACATGCCAGTCCAAACTCAGATGAGTGACTCCTCCACCCCGCTGTCTTCCATAATATCCACAGGTCACTGAATGTGTTATTGTACAGGGATACATTTTCTTCTATCAGTTGTTTTTATTGCTCTGAGCACCTGGTCTGTTCTACAAAGCTGGATGATTGAACCTCCATGTCCTTCAGAAACAAGCCAACAACCTGGTCCAGACTCTGATGAAGTGCACCCCCCACTACATCCGCTGCATCAAACCCAACGAGACCAAGAAGCCTCGGGACTGGGAGGACTCTCGGGCCAAACACCAGGTGGAGTACCTGGGCCTGCGGGAGAACATTCGTGTGCGCCGCGCCGGGTACGCCTTCCGCCGAGCCTTCGCCAAGTTCCTGCAGAGGTGAGCCCTAAGGTCATATGGGTCAGGGGTCATACGGTGGTCAGGAGTCAAGAGATGGATTTCCATGCTGGCTTCACAGATTTCAAACATCAGTATAAATGTATTTTGTTCCTGTTTTGTTTCTATTCATTAAAAAATTTTTTGGGACTTCAGGACATTCTGCCAGTCCAGTAAAATGGTTGTGTGTGTGTGTGGTCCTCCAGGTACGCCATCCTGACCAGGGAGACGTGGCCCCAGTGGACAGGGGAGGAGAGGAAGGGGGTTCTCCACCTCCTCCACTCTGTCAACATGGACCAGGACCAGTACCAGCTGGGAAAGACCAAGATCTTCATCAAGGCCCCAGAATCAGTACGTCTTTCTCTTGTTACCTAGAAAACCTCTATACTGACACAGAACTGTCTGGTTCTTCTTACTATAAAGGCAATAATTGAAATAACTATTTTGAAATGTGTTTCTGTAGTTGTTCTTGCTGGAGGAGATGAGGGAAAGGAAGTATAATGGATATGCTCGGGCCATCCAGAAGGCCTGGCGCAAACACATCGCCGTCCGCAAGTACGTCAAGATGAGAGAGGAAGGTAAGTCATTGGTTTCTCTCTGTGGGAATTAGCTTTTTGCCATGTACGTTCAGTACTGCATAATAGAGGGTTCTATCTACTGTATATGTTAAGCCATGCATCACAGTGCGTTGTGTCCTGTCAGTTCAGTACTGCATCACAGTGCGTTGTGTCCTGTCAGTTCAGTACTGCATCACAGTGTGGTGTGTCCTGTCAGTTCAGTACTGCATCACAGTGTGGTGTGTCCTGTCAGTTCAGTACTGCATCACAGTGCGTTGTGTCCTGTCAGTTCAGTACTGCATCACAGTGTGGTGTGTCCTGTCAGTTCAGTACTGCATCACAGTGTGGTGTGTCCTGTCAGTTCAGTACTGCATCACAGTGTGGTGTGTCCTGTCCTGTCAGTTCAGTACTGCGTCACAGTGTGGTGTGTCCTGTCAGTTCAGTACTTGCGTCACAGTGTGGTGTGTCCTGTCAGTTCAGTACTGCGTCACAGGTGGTGTGTCCTGTCAGTTCAGTACTGCATCACAGTGTGGTGTGTCCTGTCAGTTCAGTACTGCATCACAGTGTGGTGTGTCCTGTCAGTTCAGTACTGCGTCACAGTGTGGTGTGTCCTGTCAGTTCAGTACTGCGTCACAGTGTGGTGTGTCCTGTCAGTTCAGTACTGCGTCACAGTGTGGTGTGTCCTGTCAGTTCAGTACTGCGTCACAGTGTGGTGTGTCCTGTCAGTTCAGTACTGCATCACAGTGTGGTGTGTCCTGTAGCCTCAGACATCTTACTGAATAAGAAGGAGAGGAGGAGAAACAGCCTCAACAGGAACTTTGTGGGCGACTACATCGGCACCGACAACCACCCCGAGATCCGACAGTTCGTGGGCCGCCGGGAGAAGATCGATTTTGCAGATGTGGTTGCCAAATATGACCGCAGGTTTAGGGTAAGAGTCAAGTATGACCACAGGAACAAACCAACATTGACATTGTTATTCATGTTAGATAGAAGAGACAGTGTTTCTACTCCATCAGTGGTTTGGTGGATACTGCTAAAGGCATCCCTTGCCAATGCTTGTCTGCTCATTGAACCCCATATATCTGATGGCTACTGGTCAGTAAGTCTATAATAGCAACAAGTTATATAATATCCCTCTCTCCATGTTGCAGACTGTGAAGCGTGACCTCATCCTGACCCCTAAGTTCTTGTATCTGATTGGTCGGGAGAAGGTGAAGCAGGGACCAGATAAGGGGCAGATCCACGAGGTTCTGAAGAGACAGATAGAAGTGGAGAAGATTCAGTCAGTCTCTCTCAGGTGCAGGTTAAGATATTCTGGAAATGTTCTACCAGTTGATGATCATGATGCACAGTAGTAGAAATGAGATTTTAGTTGAAAGGATGTATCCTCTCCTCCCTCAGCACCCTGCAGGATGACTTCTTCATCATCCATGAGGAGCATTACGACAGTGTCCTTCAGTGCATCTTCAAGACGGAGTTCCTCAGTCTGCTCTACAAACGTTATGATGAGAAGACCCAGAGGAAGCTACCGCTCAAGTTCAACAACCTGTCAGTCAAAGTCTTTACTCTGAGCTTAGTCTTAGACCAATCAGTGGGGTTTTACTGTTAAACTAAAAGGGCCAATCCGCAGTTGAAACCATAACAAAGTGGTTTCTATAAAAAGCTGAGAGATGGGCCTGGAGAAATAAAACCACTCTCAAATTCATAGACAGAGCTATGGATGCAAGGACTGACCATCCATGATATCAAAATGATAGTTGTAACCATGTTTTGAAGCTATGCAGTGTTTGTTTACATTTACTTTGTATACAAACATTGGAGTAAAACAAGCGTATATTTGGGGATCTGACTGCGGTGTATTCATTTAGCAGCAACTTAAATGACTAAAACCACATATAAAGTATGTAGAAAACATAATGGAGGTATATATTTATAAGATCATCTTTGAGAACTAACCACCAAAATGAAAACTAGACAGTCAGGGAGAATCTAAAATTCCAAAACTGTCATGGCATGGGGCCCCCATTGATTTAGTTCTAATGTTTGAGTCACTGGGAAGCATAAGAACACAGCATAAGCCCTGGCAAAATGTGTAGAATGGCAGGAAATTAGCTTTAAAACTATAGATTTCTCCCGCCCCATGTTGAAATGTGTAGAATGGCAGGAAATTGGCTTTAAAACTATAGATTTCTCCCGCCCCATGTTGAAATGTGTAGAATGGCAGGAAATTGGCTTTAAAACAGCAAAACCTGCGGCCAAGAGTAAGGCCTTTGACATTTTCGGTGGGAGAACCCCCCCCCCCCACGCTAACTTTGCCACCGCTTCTGAAAAAATCCTAGGGGAAACACTGGACTTGGTGTGAAAGTTGAACTAAACTCATGAGGCATTTCTAAATTGTTATATTCTTCAAGAATCAATGGGTATATATCATTAATTTATAAGTCCAGAAATTGATGTAGCAACTGCAGATTGCCCCTTAAAACATACCAGTGTCATGCTTTACGTAAACGATCATTAATAATCTCAAAGATACATAATGCAAAAAAGTAATCCAGTTTGAGTCTTTTAAGCCATATTTTAACCCAATGCTCTTCTCTCTCTCTCCCTCCCTCTCTGTTCCTCGTTTAGACTGGAGTTTAAGGTGAAAAAGGGAGGTTGGGGGCCGTTCTCAGCGGCTGGCTCCAGGCAGATCCAGTTCCAGCCGGGCCAAGGAGACGAGGTGGTTGTGAAGCCCAGCAGCAAGGTCCTCATAGTCACCATCGGACCCGGGCTCCCTAAGAACTCCAGTGAGTCCATGCACTTTGAATGGAGACTTCTATTAGTAGGCTTAATCTGGGTCTGTGCAACCGTCCCATAGCATTTGACACATCACACCTTTTTCTCATGTGTTCCCCAGGACCGACCCGCAGAGACAACAGGAAAAGTCGCTACATGGGCAACCAGCCTCCAGGCTCGCGACAGCAGTCACAAGGTGAGAGAACTAGATAGCTGAACATCCCCAATGATGGCACTCATTTGACTTTTGACCTGACTCAACATCTCCTTCATGTCCATGTGTCTCAGGCGCCCCCAGGGGCAGAGGCCGAGGTGGGGGTGGTGGTCAGCGGGGTGGGCCGCCCTCGTCCAGGGCGTCCAGAGTCTCTCTGCTCCGCCGGCAGTCCAGTATGGAGCAGCCCACACTACCTCGACAACAGGGGACCCGGCAGACCAACAACCGCTCCAACAACCAGAGCCAGGCAGACACCGCCTTCATGAACGTGCCTGACCAGGGAGTGGCTGGGTGAGTTCTCAGGCCCTGTTTGAATACTTGTTAGGTTGTTAAAATGTATATTCTTCCTCATGTTGCTGGTGTTTTTTTCAAATACTCAAATGGTATTAGATACTGTAAATCAAGACTGGCACTTTTACTAGATCTCTCTTCTACTCTCTTTCTCTCATGCCAATTTCGCTCAGTCTTCATCGTAGACTCTCGAAGGAGGTCAAGCCTTCCCCAGGAGCGGGCCGCCCCAAGCCTGCCCCCAAGCCCAAGCCTCGCTCCCCAGAATGCCGAGCGCTGTATGCTTACGATGCCCAGGACACTGATGAGCTGAGCTTCAACGCGGAGGATGTCATTGAAATCCTCACTGAAGGTACTAAACCCTTACAGTAGATCATCTCTGAATTTATATAATATTTAAATAAACTGAGTATATTCATTACAGTAGTATAAAACTGCTATTAGTCATACACTATAAGTACTGCTACGTATGATATACTGCTAGTATTATATACTGCTAGTATTATAGTATTATTAAAGGCATACTATAACCACATTTTCTACTTCAGTTGAAAGCCGTCTTCCTGTGCTTCACCTGTAATTCCCTCTAAGGATAGAAAAGGGCTGTATAATCTAGATTGACCGTTTTTCTCACCTGTCCTCCCTCCAGATCCATCAGGCTGGTGGTTCGGTCGTCTTCGCGGGAGAGAAGGCATGTTTCCTGGGAATTATGTAAAGAAGATCTAGGCTGGAGCGATGAGGGACATGTCCAAGGAGAGCGAGGTGTCAGGTGGCAACAGTTGAATTACAGCCATACCAAGTGCATTACTACAGAGACAAAACAAAAAAACATAATCAAAGCATTTCTCCATACCATCTCTCTTTGGAATCAGAGACAAGGGAACGTGATGATTTTTGCCAAAGATGGTTTCAAGTGCAAATACTACAAACTTTTATCAATGGATTTTATCTATTGTTTTAGAAGGGGATATCTTTTTTTAAGGCTGAACTAATTGTTTTATCCGGCATCTTTTTATAGACATTTACCTCTTGAGTGTTTAAATAAATCTTAGTTTTATTTGCTCTTTCACATTTGTTTAATATATAGGACCAAATGGCCATAATAATCTCAGTTCAGGTGGAGTTGGGATAGAATGGGTAATTGGCCAAAAGATTATAGACAAGATATATATTGTAAAATATATATTATTGGTGTATTTTATGTGGTTCACAACGTCTTAGGTAGATATTTCTCAATCCTATATCAGTGAAAATTTGTAAGGCTGGGTTTACACAGTCAGCCCAATTCTGATCTTTTGCCCAATTATTTGCAAAAGAGCTGATCTGATTGGTCAAAAAACCAATTAATGGAAGAATAATCAGAATTGGGCTGCCTGTGTAAACCCAGCCTTACCGATCTTCACTGATATAGGATTGTGAAATATCTACCTAAGATGATGAGAACCAAATCAGACTTCAACAGAGCCTACCATTTCCCATTTTTTATAATAGGCTACAGTGGTCCTCTGTAGCTCAATTGGTAGAGCATGGCGCTTGTAACGCCAGGGTAGTGGGTTCGATCCCCAGGACCACCCATACGTAAAAATGTATGCACGCATGACTGTAAGTCACTTTGGTTAAAAGCATCTGCTAAATGGCATATTATTATATTATTATTATTATTATTATTACAGTACATGTTATTACCCAGAGATAGACTAGAGTTGTCAAAAAAACAACAACAAAAAAGACAGTTGATTGTTTGTCAACAGTTGAGGTGTAAAGTCATAATGAACAAGAAATAAAGATTTTTAAAGAATGTAAACCATCATATATTGAGGGGTTGTTTTTCCTGACACTCTTTTTACAGTCTATGGACACTGGTCATGTCTAGAAGGGATGCCACTGATGTCAAAGTGATGTCAAAATGTGTATATTGAGATGCATCAGGAGAATTATAGCTAACCCTAACCTTTTTCATAACCTTAACCTAATTATCCTAAACTGCTACGTTAATTCTACTAACCTGCTGCGTAAGTTTTCCTAACCTGGTACTAAAAGTCACTTCTGACATTAGCGGCATTCCATCTAGTCAAAACTCTTGACCCTATTACCATATATTTTTATAACTAACCCTACTACCATAGATATAACAACGAGACAGATATTTCACTGGATGTTTAAATGTGAAGCATCAGCTTGGCGTTTCCACTCACTACCAAATAGTATCAAATATGGTAGTGAGAGGAAGCCCACTGGAGGGCAGTGGCTGAAGATGGAACGAGATGGATTTTGGCCGACATTCTGCAAATTTCTCATCGATGAAACATTTGATCTCAATACAGTTTTATGTTCCCAAAACTAGAATCTGTTATGAACAGAGTGGACTAAGGTTTGTAGACTTTACCCTTTGCAAAAGTTGTCAAAAATCGCGTTGTTCAGAAGAAGTGCAAAGGCAAATTAAGTTATTGCACACGCACACTTCACAGAGTAGGCGTTCCCTAACGGAAATATGCAGATGATGCTAGAACACGCCAATAGGATCTCGCTAGCTTGTGCTTGGCTCTGCCCCCCTTCTTGCTTGTTCTGCCCACTATGGCTCATTTGTTCTCATTGGAAACGACAGCCTGTGGGCTATCTTGGTTTAGTTATAAAAATCTTTGCTACTACCGTTCTCTTTACAACCATATTTGATACTACACTACCCATATACCACGTCACGTCTTTGAAATTCACGTCAGCCCAAGACGAGTCACGCATGACACTTGGACATTACCATTTCAAATTTACAGTGCGACGTGCAGATACAGCTAGCTATATGCAACAAAAAACAACTAGCAAACTGTCATTTCAGACTGTCGTTTACGTAGTGCATCCGATAACCATGGAAATGTTTTTAAAAAGCTGTCGCAATGTGCTGAAGGTAGGAACATCGACTGTTTCTGGTGGTCGCTTCATCCATTTTCATTTTTTTGTTTGTCTTAACGGCTAGCTAGTTATGTAGTCGTCTTCTAAACACCTTCGACGTGTACATTTGATGGACAAATTCAATTAGTGGGGTTTTCAGAGAAAGCCAGCAAGACATTACATTCCGACTAGACGAGGGCAATGTGACAGCACGGTCACGGTGTTGGTTGTGGGCTCGTGCATGAGCATAAAAGTTATTCTCAGCCAGTTATTGTGACGATCAGTCAGTGATATAGCTAGCTAGTACTGCGTAACTAGCTGTTGGTTTCAAATGAGTTCAGACTGAGACAGTTGTCACCGTACACTAGCTACATTTGAACTGTACAGAACATAAACTGTCATTACAGCTAGCTAGTTGGCTAGCCAAGCTAATTAGCGTTGTCACGTAATCACATAATTGGCTGAAATGTAACTCATCCACTGCTTCATTTTGTTGCATGATTATAAATTAAATTGCATTAATATATTTCAGTGATATTCAAACAAATAGAATTGTTCAATTGCAATGGACCATGAAAGTACGTTTGTTGTAGCGGCTGTAGGGTCAGGTGCCTGTCAGGTGTCAATATGCCCACGTGCATTTTTTGCTTTACGTGTCCTGCAGGTCTGACACACTTACATTACGGCTCAATTTTCTAAAATGTTCAGGGTCTTGATACCATGCTCTTAACCTTAAGGAAAATAGGGCTTGTTTTGAACCCAAACAGTGCTATCAAGATTAGTGAGATCAGGTGGTGTTTATAGCGCCTCAGAGCATCACACCTTATTTACTTAGTGTTCAGTGAGGGGGAAGAGAAGTCTGGAGTGGAAATACACAAACATGCTGTCAGCACCAGCACACACAGAGGGCTTTTAGTGCAGATGTACCATCCAGTGTGTCTACATGGGGATGGGGTAGGGTGGGTTGAGAGATAAGACTGATGGGATGGGAAAGACGGGTACGGTGCATCTCAATAGTTAACAGTGGCTTCCTCTCCTTCTGCATCAATCTGAAAACATCATGGATAGATGAGACTGGGTTATATCGTGGATAGATGAGATTTATGTCATGGATAGATGAGATATATCATGGATAGATGAGATATATCGTGGATAGATGAGATATATCATGGATAGATGAGACGGGGTTATATCATGGATAGATGAGACTGGGTTATGTCATGGATAGATGAGATATATCATGGATAGATGAGACGGGGTTATATCATGGATAGATGAGACTGGGTTATGTCATGGATAGATGAGATATATCGTGGATAGATGAGATATATCGTGGATAGATGAGACTGGGTTATGTCATGGATAGATAAGATATATCATGGATAGATGAGACTGGGTTATATCGTGGATAGATGAGACTGGGTTATGTCATGGATAGATGAGATATATCGTGGATAGATGAGACTGGGTTATATCGTGGATAGATGAGACTGGGTTATGTCATGGATAGATGAGATATATCGTGGATAGATGAGATATATCGTGGATAGATGAGACTGGGTTATGTCATGGATAGATAAGATATATCGTGGATAGATGAGATATATCGTGGATAGATGAGACTGGGTTATGTCATGGATAGATTAGATATATCGTGGATAGATGAGATATATCGTGGATAGATGAGACTGGGTTATGTCATGGATAGATGAGATATATCGTGGATAGATGAGACGGGGTTATATCGTGGATAGATGAGATATATCGTGGATAGATGAGACTGGGTTATGTCATGGATAGATGAGATATATCGTGGATAGATGAGACTGGGTTATATCGTGGATAGATGAGACTGGGTTATGTCATGGATGCTCCCTGAGAATGTTCTTTCACCTGTCTAGTTACTTCCGTGCAGTGCTCTGTTTACTCTTGATCTGCAACAGTTGGCTGACATCCAACTATTATCCCTTCGCTATCCCTTCATACTGTGTGCTCGGAGGGGACAGGAAGCAGCATGTTAATAATCCCCTCACTGACTGGGAACATTTTACATTTTAGCAGACGCTCTTATCCAGAGCGACTTATAGGACCAATTAGGGTTCAGTGCCTTGCACAGGGATTTGAACCAGCGACCTTTCGGTTACTGGCCCAACGGTCTTAACCGCTAGGCTATCTGCTGCTAGGCTCCAGGCTGTAGACCAGCTAATTGTCACATGACCGGCTTTTGTTATGGCAACAAGCTGTCTCTGTTAGCCCCTAGCTGTGGCACCCATGACTTGTGCCGCTGTCACAGATGGTCACAGATGGCCATGCTCTGGGAAAATGAAACACCCTACTTGTTTTTTCAGCTCCACATTTGTAAAACATTCAACAAAAACATGTAGTGGAGTTAGCAGGCCGTCATGTAGCTTAGCCATTACATCACAGTCTGCTCTACTGAGGTCATTGACGGAATTAGCCTAAGGCTATTTGACAAGGAGCTAGCCAGAGCCTTCAGGCAGGGGAAATGAAGTCAGCCCTTAGCTCATCCACTTTAGGCTACGCTGGGATCTGCCATTGACCCTTCAGAAGAAGGCTATTCAAACAGGGTCCAGGGTTTTACTCTAGGATGGGGGACATTGTGCAGAACCAGGAGTACCTCATCTCCAGTGATCAGCATCATTGTGACGTGCATTGACATTACAACACACACACAGCCAGGATCCCTGTCCACATAGCACTGTCCACTCAGTAAGACACATCTGATTGCCTTTGAAGGCCCAATACAAGAGTAATGGATAGACTGCCCTGTATTTTCTCATAGTAAATCCCCTCATAGGAGTTGGATACTCTTCTGACTGTATCCATCCCACTCTACACTCCTCAGGGGAATGCAGAGGGCAGCCCAGAGTTCCATGTGGTCCTGGGGAACGAGGCCTGCGACCTGGACTCCATGGTGTCGGCTCTGGCCTACGCATACTTCCTGTCCAAGGTGAGAGTAACCCACCCCATCATTTGGGCCCCGACCCATGTGTTGAAAATGGTTCAACAGAGCAAGCATCAGGTGTTATTACACCTCTCTCCCCTCCCAGACACTTGATTCTGGGAAAATTCCTCTTCCCGTTCTGAACATTCCCCGGCAAGAGTTCCCGTTGCGCACGGACAATGCCTTCCTGCTGAGAGAGAGTGGCCTCTCCCAGGATGACCTGGTGTTCCGGGACGAGGTGGACCTGGGGAGTCTACACCGGGCCGGCCGGCTGGACCTCACACTGGTGGACCACAACGTGCTGCCCAGGTCAGTGTCAACCATGACACCTTAACCCCTGTCCACTGACAGTCATCCAGGACGTAAACACTTCCCCATGTGATCATCACCTGTATCTCTACAAAAGCTACACTGACCTAGAGACTCATTGAAATAGCTTGACTAAAGTCCCTGACTGACTGTGTGCCTCTCTGTTGCAGCTCTGACCGTGATCTAGAGGAGGCGGTGGTGGAGGTGATCGACCATCACCTCCTGGAGAGGAAGCCCTCTCCCTCCTGTTCCGTTACCATGGAGACGGTGGGCTCCTGCACCACCCTGGTGACAGAACGGATCATCCAGAAAGCCCCTGAAGTCCTCGACCAACAGGTGGCCCAGCTCTTATATGGTAACCAGAATTATAACTGATGTATGTGGGAAATCATGTCTGTTAGTATTGTACTGTGTGAAGAGACTGAGACATCCTGTTCTTTGTGATGATCGCAGGCACCATAGTGTTAGACTGTGTGAACATGGCCCCAGAGGCAGGGAAAGTCACCCCTAAAGACAGCCAGTACGCAGTCCTCCTGGAGACGCGCTTCCCCAACCTGCCACCAAGGGGCGTCCTCTTCCAGTCCTTGCAGAATGCTAAATTTGACGTGTCAGGTAAACGCCCCCAGGATTAATACCTAAAGCTCAGCCTTGTAGATGTGATTTTTGCCTATCAGATTGGAATGATAATCATCCCATGATATCAATGCAATGCTCGTATTCCCTTGTCCCCAGGTCTCACCACAGAACAGATGCTACTGAAAGACATGAAGGTGGCATCGGAGAGAGATTTGAAACTGGCAGTCAGTGTGATATATATGACACTGGAGGTGGGTGTGCATCTTAACTATTGAATATGTGATACAACAGAAGGTTATATCTACTACTGGTGGATAATAACATGGTTCAAATACTTGTTATCTTGTACAAACCCCAGTTCTGCTGCAGTATGCCATCTCACAATGCACATATTTCACCTATGAATTCTTTGCAGAATCTCACTTCTGATCTAAACTGAACACAGGCCTCAAGTTATCAGAGCCTTTCCCTGTGTTACTGCCAGACACACCCTTCAGACTCTTCCCTGTGTTACTGCCAGACACACCCTTTAGACTCTTCCCTGTGTTACTGCCAGACACACCTTTAGACTCTTCCCTGTGTTACTGCCAGACACACCCTTCAGACTCTTCCCTGTGTTACTGCCAGACACACCTTCAGACTCTTCCCTTGTTACTGCCAGACACACCCTTCAGACTGCTTCCTGTGTTACTGCCAGACACACCTTTAGACTCTTCCCTGTGTTACTGCCAGACACACCCTTCAGACACTTCCCTTTGTTACTCCCAGACACACCCTTCAGACACTTCCCTGTGTTACTGCCAGACACACCCTTCAGACTCTTCCTTTTGGACTTACTCTTCCGACCAGACACCCCTTCAGACTCTTCCCTGTGTTACTGCCAGACACACCTTCAGACTCTTCCCTGTGTTACTGCCAGACACACCCTTCAGACTCTTCCCTGTGTTACTGCCACGCCACTTAGACTCTCAACGTGTGGTGTTGCACCTAGTCATTCAGATCATCATACCACTGTCCAATCCATTTAGACTCTCCCCATGTAATGCAGCACAGTTTTTCCTGTCTATCCCGAACTTATAATCGGGACTGCAACACACTTAGATTTCCCTTGAGTTTTACTGCAGATTCACAAACCAACGATTACTTATGTTTATCCGCCTCACTCCCTTTGTTACTCAGACAACCCTTCAGAAGCTTCTGTAGTTCTGCCAAAACACCAGCTCACCCTGGTGTTGGCCACTTCGATCTCATTCTGTGATAACCAAGACACCCTTCAGACTCTTCAGGTCTACTGCCAGAACACCCTTCAGGAATCGGTAGAACTGCCAACCACCCATTTAGACACTGTCCCTTGATACTAGACTACACGTTAAAGAAGTAATCTTGTGTTGATAGAACGCCTTGATCGTCATTTTGTTTATTCTGCCAGCAATTTGACTTGTCACCTGTGGTATTTTGCCGCAGATGACCTTCCTTTGGACAAGCCCGAACCCCAGATCTCCTTGTACCCAGACACCCTTTCAGACCTCACTCAGACACTCAAAACGTGAAGGTGATATGTTGCACCTAGTTCATGAAGATCACTCATACCACATGTCCAATCAGGTGGAACCACCCACAAGTAAAAAGGCGCAGGGTTTGTGTCTGTCTGATCATGTGAACTTAATAAAGGGACTTAACAGGTGCACTTGAGTTTATACTGAGATTCACAAACAAACTGTAATATCTATAAATGTTGTCCCTCAGGCTTTTCTACAGAGACAAAGCTTACAGCAAGAGCTCTGTGAGTTCTGCCACAAACACAGCTACAACCTGGTGGTGGCCATGACGATCTCCTTCAATGATAACAAGGAGCCCTTCAGGCAGCTGGCAGTCTACAGTTCCAGCACCCTCTACAGGGAAGAGGTAGGAACTACACCATCCCAATCAGACATGATCCCATAGAGTTGACTATCTAGAGTTAAAGTAATTATGAAGTGTTGATAGTAAGCTTTGGATTGCCAGGTTGTTGTTTATTTTACAATGTCTATTTTATATGATCAACTGAATGGTATTTTTTGTCCTGCAGATGAGCCAAGCCTTGGAGCAAGCCCGGAACCCCAGTCTGATCCTGAGTCCAATGAGCAGCCCTTACTCGGACATCAAGGCTTATCTCCAAGGCAACACGTTGGCCTCCAGGAAGAAGGTGCTGCCCATCATCAAGGACTTCCTGAGGGACAGGGAGCGAAGCGCGGTGCATTGTGGGAACCTGGAGGAGAGCTACGAGTCACCACGGCAACGGGCATGCACTGAGGACGCTGGGATAGAGGAGGACTCTCACTTCCCCCCCACCCCTATGAACAGTCTGGTTGAGGGCTGTCCCCTTGACAACGGGCTGCCCAGGATCAGCGCTGAAGCTCTGACGGAGAAGTTCAGCAACATGGCCAGCCAAGAGGAGAACGCAGGGGGACACTGATGTCACTCACACTCCTGAGCACCCAAGCTCACTAACCTGTATAACAGCTGGATGGCCAGAGAGTTCTCGCAACAGGATTTAGACCAGTCAGTACAGATTGTTTGTGAATGTGCAGGGTGATAAGGTACGCACAACATTGATCAGCTGGGAGGACTGGGAGGCACACTGTCCCCAATCCAGAGGAGTAAAGAATCCACGGACAATCCTATTGGAGATAATGGAAATGTATTGAAAGTATGAGTGACACCCATGCTTTCATCCTCGAATGGGAATAAGATATTTAAGTGGGAACTCTGTTAAGGGAAGAATACTCCCGGTTGGTATGTTTCCGGGAAAGCCATTTTGCAGTAGATTTGAGAAAATAGATCCACTCTCTCTCTTCTCCCAAAGAGTGTGTATAGGAATGTTTTTGTGATAGATGCCTAAACAATATGTGGTCTGCTTACTAAGGCAACAGGGATCTTCATCCAAGAGGGCGTTGAATGTCTACTGGAACCAAGAAGCTTGATATTGACATCTAGCCACTGTGCCCTATACTAATGTGTATAGGAACAGTTTTGTGATAGATGCCTAAAAAAATATGGTCACACTTTATTTGGATAGTCTACAGATAGTCATACTATTAACTGACTCTGTTGATAAGCAACTGCTTACTAAGCTTAGGGTAAGGGTTAATAGTTAGAGTTTGGGTTAGGGTAAGAGTTAAGTTTAGGGTTAGGTTAAGGTTAGCGTTAGTAGATAGTTAGTTCAAATGTAACTGAGTCTGTAGAGCATGTAAAGATGGACTGTCCAAATTAAGTGTTACCCTGTATGATATGCAGTGTTGATTTTACATAATTGATAAGCAGTTTGACGTTGAAGTGAAGTGTTTGTGTTGAATTAGTTATTGCTAGAGATAGCTAGACATAATTCATTGACTGACTGTTTTATTGATAAGAAATCAGTTTTGAATGTTCTTCTGATTCGAAACACCATTATAATACTGTATCTTCTCCAAATGAAAGATGCATATTCTGCAAATTTATGTAAACATTTTTAAAAAATAGATAAAATCTGAGAATATTATCTGATTTATATGCAATTGTATTGCAAGAAGATACAGGAACTTCCATTTGATTGTGTTAAAGCACTTGGTACCAATGATATTTGCTGATGCCATGTTCATTTGAATATAATACTTTGATCTCTTTTATCTGAAACTAGGACTCCCTAGAACCACTCACGGTACTTCCAGGCCTGATGTAGTCTAATTAAATTACTGTATATTTCATAAAATGCTCCAAACTGATGAGAAGAGTGTTCTTTGAGATACAGCTATAATCTACACCAAAAGGTAGAAAAGATTTCAGTTGAGTTTAGACCATTAGCAGCTGTTATGTTATGAAGACAATCAAGTGAAACATTTCACAGTTTTACCTTTTAAATCATTTGGAAACCATAGTTGGATATTTTTTAATAATTTGGAAACCAACTGACTAAAGTTTTACAGTTAGAAATGTAATGTTTTCACCTGAAATGTTGAAAAGGGTTAAATAGTATTAAAGTATTTTGGAAGACACTTTTACATTTTCTTGTGACTACAGTTTCTTATTATCCTGTTTTGTCCCTGTTATTTTCAACTCCGTATTTGTGATGTGGAGGATATTAGGACCATGGAGGCTCCTCCCAGTGTGGTATCTACTGTCTACCTTCCTCTAGGGCAGTGCTTCTCAATTATTTTCTGTTACGCCCCCCTAGGAAGAAGTAAACATTTCGCGCCCCCCAACTCTCCGCCGCGACTGTAAATAGTATAATTTGTCTATAAAATTGTTATATGTACACCTCTGCATAACATTGTATCCTTATTAACATTAAAGAAAATAAAAAAGAAAGAAATATAGATCAACTTACAACAAATAATAACTTTATTAACATTGTAACAGAAAATACTTAAAGTGCATCAATTTGCCTGAAATTTAAAAAAAATGCAACCCTTATTTAAACTGTAAACATTTTTTGACCATTTGATACTGAAAAATAAAATTAAATATAATCAATAAATAATAATACATTCAAATTGATCAGCAACATTAACTCAGGAGCACAATATATGAAACACTTTGACCTATAAAACAAAAATGAATAAAACAATTTGTGCTGATTTTTTTTTTTTTTTTTATCAAAATGAGGAAGTCAGGATTAATGGCTACAATGAGCACGTTTTGCAGTGCACAGCTTTTCGAAGCAGGGTTTGAAGCATGATACTACAACTCTCAGCTCCTGCTCAATGTTTAGCTGGGACCTGTACTTGGTCTTCAGTGCAGCAACAGCAGAGAAGCCAGTCTCACAAAGAGAGGCAGTCTCCACTCTTAGCCCTCTGCCCTAAGAGTGGATACTGCCTCTCTACACTCAGCCAGAATTCACTCAGTGTCTGTGATGTGAACCTCAGTCTCAATGTGGAGTCAGACGTGATATCAATGAACTGGTCCTCCTCTGCAGAGCTGAAACCAGTTGGAGCTGGTGCATTGAAATGATCTCTCACCCAGTCATATTGGGAACTGTTTTCAGGGAAGTACTTTTTAAAGAATCCCATCAGTGATGAAATATGCTCCTTAATATATGGAATCACTGAGGTGGCATCATAGTCAATAGTGTCAACAAATTCATGCAGGTTCTCGAATGAATCAGTATTTCCTTCATCAAGTCGCCTGCCCCACATTGCAAGCTTTCGAGTGAAAGAGCTGATCTTGAAGCTGTAGATTTAGTTCATTTAGCTTTCCAAATATGTCACTCAGGTAGGCCAGTTTTGCCAGGAAGTTCTCATCAATACATTTTTCTGCGAGGTCATACTTGTGCTCCTGCTCCGAAAACATTCTTATCTGCTCTCTGAGCTCAAAAACTCGGGACAATACTTTTCCTCGTGACAGCCACCTTGCTTCACTGTGAAACAGCACAGCTTGATGTTCAGCTCCCATCTCCTCACAGATAGCAGAGAAGACTCTTGTTTTTAGTGGTCTGGTCTTTATGAAATTGACTACACCTACAATGTCAGTCATAACCTCACTTAATTCAGAGGAAAGGTGCCTTGATGCCAGTGCTTCTCTGTGTATAACACAGTGTGTCCACTCAGCATTAGGTGAGACCTTCTTGATGAGTGCCCAAAGTCCTTTTCTCATCCCTGCCATGGTCTGTGCACCATCACTGCAAACACCAATGCAGTTCTCCCACTTTAGCCCATTCTCAGTCAGGAAGCAGTCCAGCATTTTGAATAGCTCTTCAGCTGTGGCTCTGTCTCTGACATATTTACAAAAAAGTAGATCCTCACACAGGGAGTTTGTCATGTCAAAATGTACATAAACGATAAACAGTATTTGTTGCTGTCAGTTGCAACATTCGAACTGTAAGGCAAAACGTTTGTCTTTGAGTTTAAAAAAAAAAAAAAAAAAAAAATGCCATTTAGCAGACGCTTTTATCCAAAGCGATTTACAGTCATGCGTGCATAAATTTTTGTGTATGGGTGGTCCCGGGGATCGAACCCACTACCCTGGCGTTACAAGCGCCGTGCTCTACCAATTGAGCTACAGTTTACCAGCTGTTCTTTAAGATCGTTATCAATGTCATCTATACGTCTGGCGACAGTGTCATTGGACAGAGGGATAGTTTTTATTTTTGCAGCACTTGCGTCATCCAGCATGACAGAGACCATGTCTAATGCTGCAGGCAGTCAGCTCCTCTGCTATGGAGTGGGGTTTTCTGCACTGAGCAATTTGGTACGCCACCTTATATGATGCTAACAGTGCTCGCTGGTTTACTGAAGTAGCATTCACAAAGCGGGACGATTGTTGGCAATATTCGGCACGTTTTCGCTGAAAAAACTCAAGAGGCTTATCAGCGTGATTGGGGTGTAATGTCTTTAAGTGACGCCTTAATTTATTTGGCTTCATGCTGTCCGCTGCCAACATTTTTAGACACAGTAAACATACCGGTCTTTCCTCGTCTCCCACCGTAGTCACAGTGAAGCCAAGCGCTACATACGCTTCGTCATATTTCCTCGTCTTAGCTTTCGGGAGACTTTGTCTCATTATCTCCGTCTCTCTCCGCCATTCTTTTCATCCCAGTTGAATATGTTTCCATGGTGTCTCTTAAGGGTTTGTTATCTGCACTTCATATCTCCTGCTCTGTGCTGTGTGCTCTTGTTCGGTGCAAAAAAAAACTACTCCCTGCGGCAAAAAAAAGCATGTTCCCCGGGGTCACATGCGCCCCCCCCTGGCATCGCTCCGAGCCCCCCCAGGGGGGCGCGCCCCACTATTTGAGAAGGACTGCTCTAGGGTTAGGCCGTATCCAGATGTTCATACTGTTTCTGTATCATACTGGGGTATACGTATTACCGGAAGTGCACAAAACAAATTAGGCAACAGGGATCTTGATCCAGGAGGACTTTGAATGTCTCTACTGTAACCAATAAGCTTGATCTTGACATCTAGCCACTTGGCTAGCAAGTTAGCAAACCAAATGCATTGAGCCCTGAGCTGGATATAATTTATTTCTTATAGTTATACTTAACTTATAGTTGCACCCCTGCAGCCCCTGCGAGGCAGGGGTGCCCCCAACCCAAAAAATGGTATTGAAATTCATACCGTTGGTATTTTTTGAAATACCCCGGTATAAACGGTATATCGCCCAAGCCTACCTCCCTCTTATCCTTAACTCCTCCCTGTTTGTGGGAGAAGTGAGGCACATTCAATGGGATGCAATGTTGAGAACACTGCAGATATAAATGTAATGTATAGAATGGACAAGCCTCCATTATGCAGAGTATAAATGTATCTGTTTATTCTATGCAGTGCATTTCTATCTGCGAGGCTCTAGCTAAACATGTTTCAATCTGCTGACTAAGTCCCATAGCTGCCCAGGTGAGCTTAGCCTTAGGCAATAGGGAAGCAACCACAACAGGTCCTGGTGAAATGCAGAAAAACCTGTAGGGACATGAAGAGGGTGAATTCACTGACATATCTAGACACACGCACACAAACACACCCACCCACATTAACAGACTTCCTCATGAGAGGCAGATGAGGCAGCTGTCTTGTTTTGCAAGAAACACTAGTTCCTGGAGGTGCCCATTCAGTGCTGATAGTCATCTGATCTCACTCACAGAGTGGACGATATGGGGACCTATACAGACCAGGGGGACCAGTATATGCTAAATGGGTAAGTGATTAAACAAAGTAATTTAACTGTATTTCTCTACCACTATGCTAGTTTATTCTGTGGAAACCCATGGTTTCACAACCAGTGTTTGTATCAAATGTGATGTGGCGCTCATAGCGGTGTGGGTTTCCTTAAACAAAAAGGAAGTGGAAGTGGAAAGATTTAGTATTGAATTTCAATTGCTAGAGGGAAAGATGGAGTATTGAAGTGTGAGTGTTGTATCTATCTCCTTTACCCCCCTCTAAACTCCATGTCATATGACCTGTTCTCTGGACAATGGACAGGGGTTACCAAAAGGAGAAATGTGAAATCACAAGCCACTCTAACTAACCAGGCCAGTAGTGGGACTTCCTCAGTGCTGAATCGCTGGCGTTGCAAAGCTGACAAAGCTTGATTCATGCATGGGCTTAGTAATTGCCAATGTTTGTCTTATAGCTAAGGTTTACATGGACTAAAGGGAAACCTCTACCACTGGATTTTGTGAGCTGTTGACAAGATTCACGAGCAGTGTCTGGGGTGATGTAATAATGCCACTAGATAGTCCTTGGTTTAGGCCTATAATTAATATACCGGTAATTTGAATGAAACATATTGATCTTAGTCTCTGTCTTACACTTGTACTGCGCAGTACTGAAAGACAGGCACTGTATCTCTGATGTCATCATTAGTCGCCTCCAACATGTCACCTTCCGAATCCCTTCTGAATATTGTCATCAGTCTATCCGCCGGAGGTGAAGAGGCATTTTCTTCTGTTGCTTGTAAAAAAAATTATATACCTTTTTTGGAAGTAGGCTACATACCGGCTGTAACGGGAGTAAATAAAGATAGTTGCTCAGCGAAACTCTATATTTGCTGATCAAGGAACATATTTTGACACTATAATGCTGGCAGAGCTGGTGAATGGGAGTTTGAATAATAGCTTTCTTGGCGTTAGTTTAATCCCCTACTATCTACTCTTGTCTTACTATAGGCAGAGGCAACAACAACTGCCTCAACAGGCCGTGGCCATTACAAGATCAGGTTTCCTTAACATAGAGGACAATGGAAGATAGAGTATACACCCTAGGCATGCTTCAACAAGAACAATGCAAAAACACAGAGGTTGTGTCTTCCCTTCCCACCCTTTTCAGCTTTGTTACACGCATCTACAGGTAACTGCCAAAAATAAAGGAAACACCAAAAGTGTCTTAATAGTGCGTTGGGCCACCACGAGCAGCCAGAACAGCTTCAACGCGCCTTGGCATAGTTGTACAAGTGTCTGGAACGCTATTGGAGTGATGCGACACCATTCTTCCACGAGAAATTCCATCATTGGTGTTGAGATGGTGGTGGAAAACGCTGTCTCAGGCGCCGCTCACAGTCTCCCTCGTGTTCAAATGGGTTGAGATCTGTTCACTGGTTGGTTACAACACAGACACACACCCTTTAAACCCCCTATGCTCCAATCACATCAGTCAATGTCTATGATGACAAACTCATAAAGAAGGTAAAGAAGCTTAAATGCTAAGTAATATGTTAAGTCAATGTTATGTTATTGTTGCGTTTTCAGATAGCCCGCATGTGATCTTAACATGGTAATGCTTGTGGTATAGGCCAAGGTTTTGAGATGTCATGGACAACATGATGTCGAATTGGATGCAGGGTGTAACCAAGTCTGGGATTTTCAAAGTGATTAAATGTATCACTCAACTCTGTGGTCTAATTCGAGCCCCTCTTATCATACATTTGAATCATTATGCATTAAAGTACATTTTCTTTGAAAGTATTACAATAGATTATAAATGCATCACACATGCTCAATATATAGGACAGTAGCCAACATACTCCTTGAAGATTAGAACCCAAACAAGATTTTCAGGGTATTCAGTGCCACAATGAGCACGTCATAATGAGACGCCCAAATTTTAAAGGATTAAATAGATAATGAGTTTATACTCAGAGCACATCTCACCATCCAACGCAGCTAAACCTTACTGTCATGAGTTCAGCTGGGTTGACTCATCAAGCCATAGACATACAGGCTCTTGAGAGATCTATTGATGTGTCATTCTCTTAAAAAAAAAAAAAAAAAATCAGGAGAAGGCAATACCATTTTTTATGATAGTTGAGTAACAGGAACTGTTATTGCTGCCCAAATGTGTTTCCTTTCAGTGTGGTAAGAGTTTGAGACACTTTGCTGTATTGAGATAATCCATTTACGTGTAATATTTATCTCATATGGATCTGCTCATTTTGATATGTTTACAAGTTGCATTGAGTTATAGATCAGGAAGTCCTCACTCACTCAGGTGTGGTGACCGTGTCACCAGCCGAGCACGTACAAAGCCCTCTGATTGGCTAAGCTAATATATTGTTTGCTGTGTGGGTAGGTCGTCAGAACACCGCACTTGTGCGAACGTCGGAGTGTTTACAATTGACGACTTTTAAATTACTTATCGTCTTGATCATTGAACGTTTTTTTTTAGCTCATCTTTTAATAATGATGTCTGGATGAGTGCGCGTTTATACAAAGGAAAGTGCGAAAGGTAGGCTATGCTCCGTTGCTTTGTGTATCTCTGTGTCTTTATCTTTATTTACAAAGGCATTGTGTAACTACAGTAGAACTAGGTTGTTGGAGACGGAAAGCTGATGTGAAAGCACTGTATAATCCAGTTAACGGCTTGAATACAGGTGCACAAAGTTAGTTTACTACATGTTAATACTGTGTAATGACACTAAAAGTGCTTAAGATATATGGATAAACTTACTGTAGTTTCACGATTCTTAATTTCTTTCTATGTTGGGCCTACAATTGGAAATATTATAATATTTTATCTTTGTCAACTTATGAGGTGCATGTAGCATTTGCTTATCACTCTGTTTTAATTTTAAAGTGACAGCTGGTGGTCTTCTAAACAAAGACTATCCCCCTTTATGACAGTTTGCAAATGAGTCTCTATTCTTTATCTGTATGTCTTTACAGTGTGATTCTATATGAACATCATTACTTTAAAGCCCAAGTTCCTTTACTGTCTGTAAAGTATAATTCATATGACAGGTGAGCACTAATGAAACGTAAAAGTAATATAGGGAAGTGGTCAGCAGACATACTTATGTGCATAGGGGACATGCACTATGCAGGCAGCTGGTGGGTCTAAGGGTTTGGCCACTTTGTGAACCACTCTTCCATGGAGTACTGGAAGCACAGTCACAGAGGGTGCTGTTTGACTCTTGTAGTGGTCCTGAAACCTTGTCAAGTGTGTCCACTGGCAGAGGCAGTCTCTAGACCAATGACAGCCAGAGGACACATTTGGAGTAAGACAAGTTGCAAGCTTCTGCATTGTGAGTTTTTCTCTCTCTCTCTCTGCTGCACTTGGACGTGATTGTGTCAGACTGGGTTGGTTGTGTGAGTCTGTCCGTGTACTCTCTGAGCACTGGAGTGAGGTGAGGGAGAACTGGAGGACCCTTCTCAGTGTGTGCGTGTGTGTGTGTGTGTGTGTGGGGGGGGGGGGGGGTGCTAGCTTGCAGGAGTGTATGCGGAAGCGGCTCTGACATAGAGCAATGCAACAGGTGCACTGTCCCAACAGCTGAAGAAGCTGCTCTTTGAAGCTGAACAGTATAGGGATTTGTCTTTGTGTCAACTTGGCATGTCTCCCTTGTTTCTCTTAGAGGACCAATGTAGCTGTATGAGCATGGGGTCTAGTGTCAAATAGATTTTGGTCATGTTTGCACACGCAGCAGAAATCCCCTGGGTCTGTCTATTGGCTTTAGTTTCAGTATATATGAATGGACAAAGCCATCAATTACGTGACACCATTCATTCCTATGTGAAGACTTGATAGCTCATTGATGTCTGTGCTGCCACCTCTCATTGAGTCACTCAAGTTGAAGGCCGACCGGGGTACTGCATGCTGCCATTAACAACTACATCATCCTGATAACTTCTTCTGTGTGTGATTTTAAAATAATCTGTTTAAGGACATACATCTGGTGTAGCCTATTAGAAGCAATTATTATAATTTTTTACACAAAGATTGACCACGAAGATTGCAATTTTTCTATTGACTATAATAGGGTAGGGCTTGGGCATGAGTAATCGAGTACTCAAGTACTCGAATGGATGTCAAAACTCGATCTTAACCAGAGATGTAAAAAAAATTATGGAATGTGCTTTGTGCCAGCCTGAAATGGCAAGTGAAAAATGTGCTTTGACAAAAAAGAAACCAAGCCAAGCATCACACAGTTCTTCTCCCTAAATTCCCTTTCCCCTCTGTGTTTCATTTACTCAATTGCATTCCGAACATTCCCTCCACACACACGTGCTGAGTGCCCACACAAGCTCCAGTTAAACCTACAGAAATGTATATAAAAACGTATCTAACACAATCTACATTCCTTGCCAAATGACGACAGTTTTATCACAAATTCAAAATGGACTGGTTGATTGAGGTACGAAAATATGTGTTCCAACAATGAGCTGCAGTTTTTGAATGATTGCCTTCCGTCTATTTTCGGCTTAGGCTACTTTGTGAACTGCTAGTGCCATTTAGAATTGGTTAGCCTAGGCCATAACCCCCCTAAACATAGACAGGTTCCACACTGAAAATATACAAAAACATTAGTTTGATAAAGACAAAGAGCGTATTTTCATCAGAATCATTAAACATAGGCCTACTCACCAAAAATATCATCACCATTTAGTGTTCAATGTGGAATTGTTAATCCATTTGGAAAATTACAAAGAACAGTCAGAATAAACTAAAATGAACATCTGTATATCGAAAAGAAGACTGATTTTAGTTTGTAACCCTGAAAAAAATAGTCGTTCAACTTGCCAAATTGAGCCCCGTTTCAAATGATCACTCTTTGAGAATAACTGCCCTTGACGCGAGATGCGCATCACTTCGCATTGGCAGCTTTTTTCATTTGGAAAAATATTCTATTCTATTTATTATATTACATCATGTTTTAAAAAAAAACTATAAAATAGGTGTGTCTTGACCATGATAAGGGCTTGGGAAGTAAGAGTGTCTTGTCTGCTAAATTAACTAAACAAGGCTATGCCATTCTATGCACTGCTGAGGTTACTGCCTATTTGAAGATTGTGTTCCACAATATTATATAACCAGTTGATATTACGGTTTCAATAAATGAATCTTAAATAGCACTAATGGTTTTGATAAATTAGGTATTGTTGCGCACTGTTGGCATATAGATAAATGCACACATCTTTTTTTCCACTGAGAGCCTTGTGCTCTAAAAAAAATAATATATTTCTCCATTGAAGTACTTGAAAATAAATTGTGCGAGTACTAGAACAGTCAAAAAATGTCAAATGCCCATTCCTATAATCCTGTTTTCTGCTAACAATGCCTGCAGTACCACAATCCTCCTTGAACTTCTGTGGCTTCAATGAGAGGGGGCAGTCGTTCTCCCCTGGTGACCAATGAACATATTTCAATGATTCGACCTTGCGATTCGTGCGTAATGTTTGACAGACACTTTACAAATAAGACTTTATTAATTTGGCATCATCACGTTAAAAACATGGTACACGCGTTTGGGCAGTGGCCTTCATCAGTGTCAGACTTTGTCTTATTTGAGCTCTTTAGGACTATAGACTGTTGTTGAACCTTTTGATTATTACAGCATGTACAGCAAAGCATTTGAAGACTATTGAATGTACTGTGATATGCTGTCTGTTGTTTAGGAGTCCAGAGGGGGCGAAGGCTGCTCCCTACATCCAGGACATGGAGCTGAGGGAGGAATGGCAGGATGAGGAGTTCCCCAGGTCAGAGACAAACCTAACCCTGACCTTTAACCTTACCCCCCTGACCACATGACCTGTAAACCCCAGCCTGTTCACCATGAAAATCTTAAACAATATTTTAGGTCCCTGCAAAGAATGATTTTTGGTTATGACCAGGTAAGAAAGCAGTTCTATGCTTTTTCAGGTATTTTGTATTTTCCCCCTAGACCGCTTCCTGAAGATGCCCATAGTCCTGAGACCCCAGGAGAAAATGCAGAGAGACCAGGTAAATCCCTAATACCCATATGTCTGCAAAGGCCTTATTCCTAAAGTACTGTACCATATCCCACAATACCTGTGTGTGCCACTCCCCCAGCTCCACCCACCAGCCTGGCCCTTTCAGGAAACCCCATAAGGAAGAAGCGTCTGGTGGCGCCCACCCTCAGCCTGACCCTGTCCCGCACCGACTCAGCAGACCGCAGTGTGAAGTCGGGGGACACCGGGTACTCCGCCGCCGCTCTCTCACCCGACGAAGACGACACGGACCTGGACATCAACCTGGAGGCCCTGGAGACGCCCTCAGACAGCGAGTCCTGCAACTTCCCTGACAGCATGCACGAACTGGAGTGGGAGGGTGAGAGAGGGGACACGAACTGGAGTGGGAGGGTGAGAGAAGAGGGGATGGGGACAGTGGGGAGAGGGGTGTGGGAGAGAGACTGCATGCACGAACTGGAGTGGGAGGGTGAAAGCGAGAGGGGGTGGTATGGGGGTGGGGAGAGAGACAGAAGCGGTGTGGGGGTAGCATGAACTGGAGTGGGAGGTCAGAAAACAGAGAGAGAGAAAGAGAGAGAAAAAGAGTGAGTGTGAGAGAGCGAGAGAGCAAGAGAGCAAGAGAGAGAAATTCCAATTTGGAACATAGTATTCTTCCATTCCATTTTATAATTCTGAATTCCGTTCTGAAATGGAATGGTATGATGCTTGCACAATCTAATCCCGCTATTCTTGACCTTCATCTGACCTCTGATGACCCCCCCAGATGACCTGCCGCGGCTGGGCCGGGGGGAGGATGGTGTCTCAGGCACCACGGTGATGGAGCAGGCAGAGATGGGCTCCATGGAGCTAGACCAGGTGGACAACAGGGGGCGCCGCTGGAGAAGGTTCTGCGTGGCAGGACAGGAGTACCACGTCAACATGAGTGTCCTGGAGCCATACCTCCAGGTGCTGTCCCACGGAGGTGAGACAGCTGAAGCTGACTGTCAAGTAGCTACTTTGATCAGCCTGTAAAATCAACGCTTCCATAACTAAATCCAGCTGAGTCCATATGGCACAGCATCTGTTGTGTAGCTCCCACTATATGCATTTGCTGAAAATGACAGGCCTCAGTGAAAGGGAATGATTTTCAGTTGCACTATGTAATTCTATCTGATATACAAAACATTAAGAACTGTTCTTTCCATGACATAGACTGACCAGGTGAATCCAGGTAAAAGCTATGATCCCTTATTGATGTCACTTGTTAAATCACCTTCAATCAGTGAAGATGAAGGGGAGGAGACAGGTTTAAGAAGTCTTGGAACAATTGAGACATAGATTGTGTATTTGTGCCATTCAGAGTGTGAATGGGCAAGACAAAATATTTAAGTGCCTTTGAACAGGGTATGGTAGTAGGTGCCAGGCGCACCGGTTTGTGTCAACAATTGCAATGCTGTTGGGTTTTTCATGCTCAACAGTTTCCTGTGTGTATCAAAAATGGTCCACCACACAAAGGACATCCAGCCAACTTGACACAACTGTAGGAAGCATTGGAGTCAACATGGGCCAGCATCCCTCTGGAACGCGTTCGACACCTTGTAGAGTCCATGCCCCGACAAATTGAGGCTGTTCTGAGGGTAAAATGGGGTGGGGGTGCAACTCAATATTAGGAAGGTGTTCCTAATGTTTGGTATACTCAGTGTGAATCCATCTATATATTACTGTATATACCCCTAAAATAATTGTATGTTAGGTTGAGGAGGATGGCTTCCTTTGACTATGAGATTGTATCTCTTTTATGAATAGCTTTACTGGGCCCAATCAAGTTACCTCATCATGATGTCAAACAACAACAGAGAGTTCAAACAGAAATCCATTTGCCTTATTTTATTAGGATCCCCATTAGCTACTGCTTAAGCAGTACTTAACACTATACTAGTAGAGGACATTCAACATGTACTCTGTCTATACTTCCACAGTTGGAACTTGTCATTCTTCACTATGTAATTCTATATGCTGTATCTCATTAGGTATGCCTATGGGTTTCCTAGGTTACTACGGGCAGGCTATGAATGCCATCATCATGTTCTCCTCCTGTTACCTACCAGAGAACACGGTGGAGAACTATGAGTACGTCATGGACAATCTCTTCAGGTCAGTGTAGACGGACAAACACCAAATGGTGTTGAGGACTCAATTCAAGATGACAATCAAAGTACTTTATTGTTTATTATTTGGGTTTGTGTGTGTGTACGGTGCAGGTACATAGTGGGGACGCTGGACCTGATGGTGTCAGAAGGCTATGTCATGGTGTACCTGTGCAGCATGGCACCCAGGAATAAGATGCCCGCCATCAAATGGCTGCGACAGTGTTACACCTCCATTGACAGAAGGTACAGTACGTTCCTCTTGCTCTTTCTCTCACAAGGTTCCCTCTCTTGTTGTACTGAAAGAGTCCAGAGGAGGGGCCAAGTGTCCCTATGGTTCTCTGTATAGCACTGCTGTGTTCCAGGTATTGGACAGAATGGGAGGACGTAATGGGAGGGCTCTTATTCCTGTCCTAGCTCTGCTTCTCCGCCCCTCGTATGAAATATCACAGGAATGCTGTAGTGACTCAAGGCTGTGAGGATCTCTCCAACAGGGTAGTGTAATGATTCAGGGCTATGAGGATCTCTCCAACAGGATAGTGTAATGATTCAGGGCTGTGAGGATCTCTCCAACAGGGTAGTGTAATGATTCAGGGCTATGAGGATCTCTCCAACAGGGTAGTGTAATGATTCAGGGCTGTGAGGATCTCTCCAACAGGGTAGTGTAATGATTCAGGGCTATGAGGATCTCTCCAACAGGGTAGTGTAATGATTCAGGGCTGTGAGGAGCTCTACCACAGGGAAGTGCCCCCTCTGGACATTCCTCAGATAACCTCTGACCCCTGCAGGTTGTGCATGTGCCAAATCAAAATCAAATAGTATTCTTCACGTACACAGTTTCCAGCAGGTATAAAAGGTGCAGTGAAATGCTTGTTTGCTGGCTCCCTCAACATTGCAGTACAATAATCAATATCAATAATACAAATACGTGTGTGCGTTTACAAAAGTATATCAGAGAGTGTCGGTGTTTCTGCCAGTTGTCACATACTGTATCTGTTCTGTTGGTTCTACTGTGATGTAGTCCTCCTTATCACTGAGATGTTTCCATAGTCCATATAAAGGCAGCTCAGTGTTCAGTCTCTGCATGCCTGGCCAGTGGCCACACTCCACAACATAACATTCCCATACATAAAGCACCACAGTGGCCTCCCAATGGAAGACAATATTCATGAAAAACTTCAGGTTGACCATCATCTTGCTCTTGGTATATGTTAGGGCGGGGTTTCCCAAACTTGGGTGCACGTTTTGTTTTTTGCCCTAGCACTACACAGCTGATTCAAATAACCAACTCATCATCAAGCTTTGATTATTTGAATCAGCTGTGTAGTGCTAGGTCAAAAAACAAAACTTGCACCCGGGGGGGGGGTTCCAGGACCGAGTTTGGGAAACCCTGCTTTAGGGAATTATAGTGCCAAAGGTACAGATGTAGGATCTTAATTTGAGCCAGTTTGCTACATTGGAAAATTATCTTGAAGCAACAGGAAATGTGAATTATTATGTGGATTAGAATTAATGGACATTTGTGTAGGGGTTGATACATTTTTCGTAAGGGAAAATCAAGTCGGTATTTTAAAGTGGAAATTCCAAACTTTAAAAGCCTTTTTATACCTCAAATACACTACGTTAAAAATGTCCTGCATTGCTGGAATGTTATACTGCAACAGGGTGATCCAATTTAGATCCTCCATCTGTAGCATGTCTTCTTTAAGAACTTGGACGAAACCAGACCTATTTCCAGACACTGGTGTCTTTGAGAAAACCAGCCCTCAGACGTTACCTCACATGCTCAATTTGGAGGAAGGAAAATGCTGTTGCTATGCGACCGTGAGCTTTTGAATCATATCATAAGAGTCAGGTCTCAAAGCTGTATATCATGGCACTCTTCCCAAGGCATTAAGAGGAGAACTACAGATAGGATGAACATTCTTCTTGTATTGAACTCAAATAAGGTTGGTGTTTACTGAGGAGTCTAAGTGAATGATTTTGTTCATGTGACTCAGAGAAACAGACCTTGACGTCAGGTTTCTGCCCATCCCTAGGGGTTTGTTTACGAAATCACAGACGTTCACCGTGTCCCATCCAGAGAATCTGCCTCAGCAACGGTGTTACTCATATCATGTGGTTGTTTCAGCCTACGGATTTGACACGTGTTGTAACTCACTCTGAAAAATGCGGACTAAATGAGTCATGTAAATGTAATGTCTGTGGAGTCATGGTGATGGTTCTCCTCGCAGGTTGAGGAAGGATCTGAAGGGACTCTTTGTAGTCCACCCTGCCTGGTACATCAAAGCACTCATCACTGTCGTCAAGCCTTTCATCAGGTGAGCAGAACCATTCAAGTCATATTTCATTTTAAGCACGTCAGTCCTCAGAAGATGATTCAACGAGTCCCACTGATTCAACAAGTCCCACTGATTCAACGAGTCACACTGATTCAACGAGTCCCACTGATTCAACGAGTCCCACTCCATCTGTTGTGAAGATCTAGCTACAGCATATGCCTGTTCCTTGACCGTGCTGATGTTCACTCTAACCTCTGACCTCTGTGCCCTCCACAGTGAGAAGTTCAGCCGGAAGATCCGCTTCATTCACAGCCTGCAGGAGCTGTCCGAGTACATCCCCATGGAACGCCTGCAGATTCCCGACAGCATCCGAGAGTGAGTGACTGGGTTCTCGAGAGCTATATAGCCTAGAAGTTATTACAATTTTACTTTTATGTTGTAGGATACACTATTCCCATATTAAAAGTGCTTTGTTTTCTCTAGGTATGATGCGAGGATGAACGGATGAGGTGAGTCACATATCGTGGGAAGCCAAAGAGCGGACATTTTGAGTGGAAAGGCGAAGGAGGGGACGACAGCGGACGATCAGGAACCATGGAAGTTCAAAGGTTAACTAGTCTAAATGTCACCCTGCAGGTATGCTTGGACGTGCAGCACTTTTGTTGTACAGAAAATGAAAAACTTTCAGTTTGTACAGACACACCTTTTATTTATTCATCGTTGAATGTAATGTCACTAAAGAAGTTCACTACCCCAAGCCAATGGCTTTGCAACAGTTTCATAACTACCCCTATTTTGTGGTACTTGAATGCAACCCTGTCATATGTATTGATGCCAGAGTGATTTGTGAGACCTGTCATCAAGGGGCAACCTACAGTCCGTTTGAACACAACATTTACTGCTACATTATTTGTAAGGGCTTACTGCACTCTAGTGCCAAGTACAACACTTTTGACTGTCAGGTAGATGGGATGTCACCTTTTAATGTTTACTAGAATGTGATTGATGCGCAACAAATACCAGAGGTTAAGATGGAGACACTTATATAAAGTGCATTTAATTTAAAAATCTGAATTTACATCATTACATAAATTCTGACATATTTTACTGTATTATTCTGACCTTGGTTGTAAACCTAAGCCTTTTTATAGCCTACCCTCAGAGCAAATATTTATGTAAGAGAACTCTTGAACAACCTGTACTTTTCTAATTGTAATTTTCTAACCATACTTTCTATAGCTGAATGATCTTCTCACTTTCTAAGAGATTTGTTTTAGAGCACTGCTTACCACATGGGTAAGGGCTTTTACACAATTTTAAAGGAAGGGGTGTCACCATGGCAATGCTGCAGGCATTCAGGAAATGGGCTTTGACAGCTACAGGAAGTGAGGTAGCTATGGAAGAAGAATACTGCTGCCTGCGTTTACTGTAACTCATACACAGGAACAGTGACATATCCATTAATAAGGGATGATGAAAAATATTATTCTGAAAATGAAGAAAATGTTTCTGAAAAAGGGAGCTATTGAATGTATTGTTTTTATAGTTTTATGTTACAGTCCTTTATGCTACCACTGCAAAAAAACATTTTCAATGTTACTGCTACTGAATTATAACAACACCATATTGGGGATGTTTTTAAATCTTCAAAAGACTCATTTAAAAACTGCTGGTAGTTAACATTTATGGACACAACAACAGATCTTAAATACATGAGACGATGATGCATTCAGTATTAAATCAGATTAGTATTCAGTCAGATTATATGGTGGTTGGTATCGCTCATGTCAGCTGGGTGTTCTGAAATTAATACTCCTTATAGTGCTCCACGTGAGCCTGTTTTGGCAGAATTGTGTTGCATTGTGGAGGAGAGGAAACCGAATGGCCTCTGGTCACCAGAGATGGATATGGGGTCATTTGTTAACACATGACTAGAGTCTGGCTGCTTGTTTTTCAGGGATTCTTTTGTACCCCTCTGTATTCACATCTTTGTCCCGGTGGTCTGTCTGGTCATCAGTTGTTCATGTAAATAAAGTTGTTATCACGGGATTCGTCTTTGGGCTATCGTGTTTTTGTTGTTGTTGAAGGAAATTAAGTAAATAAGTGAAGATGGAATCATTCATCTTCAGGTTTTCAGGTGTCAAATAAAGACTGATGGTTATTCTAAGATAAGACCTAGGAACTGAGTTAACTACACATACTGTAGCCTTCACACGTCCTCTACTAACATACTGTAGCCTTCACACATCCACTACTAGACATAATGTAGCCTTCACACATCCTCTACTAGACATACTGTAGCCTTCACATCCTCTACTAGACATACTGTAGCCTTCACACATCCTCTACTAGACACACTGTAGCCTTCACACATCCTCTACTAGACCATACTGTAGCCTTCACACAACATCTACTAACAACTGTATCCTTCAACAAGTCCTCTACTAACACTAATGTAGCCTTCACACATCATCTACGCTAACATACTGGTAAGCCTTCATCACACTCCTCTACTAGACATACTGTAGCCTTCATTCACACTCCTCTACTAGACAATAATGTAGCCTTCCACACATCCTCTATCTATACATACTGTATTCCTTCACACATCCTCTACTAGACATACTGTAGCCTTCACACATCCTCTACTAACATAATGTAGCCTTCACACATCCTCTACTAGACATACTGTAGTCTTCACACATCCTCCACTAACATACTGTAGCCTTCACACATCCTCTACTAGACATATTGTAGGCTTCACACATCCTCTACTAACATACTGTAGCCTTCACACATCCTCCACTAACATATTGTAGCCTTCATACATCCTCTACTAGACATACTGTAGCCTTCACACATCCTCTACTAACATACTGTAGCCTTCACACATCCTCTACTAGACATACTGTAGCCTTCACACATCCTCTACTAACATACTGTAGCCTTCACACATCCTCTACTAACATACTGTAGCCTTCACACATCTAACATACTGTAGCCTTCACACATCATCTACTAACATAATGTAGCCTTCACACATCCTCTACTAATATACTGTAGCCTTCACACATCCTCTACTAGACATACTGTAGCCTTCACACATCCTCTACTAGACATACTGTAGCCTTCACACATCCTCTACTAACATACTGTAGCCTTCACACATCCTCTACTAACATACTGTATCCTTCACACATCCTCTACTAGACATACTGTAGCCTTCACACATCCTCTACTAACACACTGTAGCCTTCACACATCCTCTACTAACACAATGTAGCCTTCACACATCCTCTACTAACATAATGTAGCCTTCACACATCCTATACTAGACATACTGTAGCCTTCACACATCCTCTACTAACATACTGTAGCCTTCACACATCCTCTACTAACATAATGTAGCCTTCACACATCCTCTACTAGACATACTGTAGCCTTCACACATCCTCTACTAACATAATGTAGCCTTCACACATCCTCTACTAACATAATGTAGCCTTCACACATCCTCTACTAGACATACTGTAGCCTTCACACATCCTCCACTAACATACTGTAGACTTCACACATCCTCTACTAGACATACTGTAGCCTTCACACATCCTCTACTAGACATACTGTGGTCTTCACACATCCTCTACTAATATACTGTAGCCTTCACACATCCTCTACTAACATAATGTAGCCTTCACACATCCTCTACTAGACATACTGTAGCCTTCACACATCCTCCACTAACATACTGTAGCCTTCACACATCCTCTACTAACATAATGTAGCCTTCACACATCCTCTACTAACATACTGTAGCCTTCACACATCCTCTACTAGACATACTGTACCCTTCACACATCCTCCACTAACATACTGTAGCCTTCACACATCCTCTACTAACATACTGTAGACTTCACACATCCTCTACTAGACATACTGTAGCCTTCACACATCCTCCACTAACATACTGTAGCCTTCACACATCCTCTACTAACATACTGTAGACTTCACACATCCTCTACTAGACATACTGTAGCCTTCACACATCCTCTACTAACATACTGTAGCCTTCACACATCCTCTACTAACATAATGTAGCCTTCACACATCCTCTACTAAATTACTTGTAGCCTTCACATCCCTCTACTAACATACTGTAGCCTTCACACATCCTCTACTAGACATACTGTAGCCTTCACACATCCTCTACTAACATACTGTAGCCTTCACACATCCTCTACTAACATACTGTAGCTTCACATCCACTAACGTAAGCCTTCCACACATCCTCTACTAACATACTGTAGCCTTCACACATCCTCTACTAACATAATGTAGCCTTCACACATCCTCTACTAATATACTGTAGCCTTCACACATCCTCTACTAGACATACTGTAGCCTTCACACATCCTCCACTAACATACTGTAGCCTTCACACATCCTCTACTAACATAATGTAGCCTTCACACATCCTCTACTAACATACTGTAGCCTTCACACATCCTCTACTAACATACTGTAGCCTTCACACATCCTCTACTAACATAATGTAGCCTTCACACATCCTCTACTAATATACTGTAGCCTTCACACATCCTCTACTAGACATACTGTAGCCTTCACACATCCTCTACTAGACATACTGTAGCCTTCACACATCCTCCACTAACATACTGTAGCCTTCACACATCCTCTACTAGACATACTGTAGCCTTCACACATCCTCTACTAACATAATGTAGCCTTCACACATCCTCTACTAATATACTGTAGCCTTCACACATCCTCTACTAGACATACTGTAGCCTTCACACATCCTCTACTAGACATACTGTAGCCTTCACACATCCTCCACTAACATACTGTAGCCTTCACACATCCTCTACTTAGGAATGTATTTCACATTGTTAGATAGTTCATGGAGTCTACTCCCGTTTATGTTGTAATCTTCTGTTCCAGTGGGCTTTGCTGCTGGAACATGGCCCTTGCACCTGTCTACTCACTCAACCCTGGGCTGCTCTTAGAACAAGATTTCCATACCAACTATTTGCATTGTTAGTTGCATCATTTATGTTAACATCTTTGTTATAATGTATGTTTTTTAAAAGCGAGATTTACACAGACTATAGCATACGTTCCATTTATTTTAGTGCATTCGTTTAGACTGCAATATTTGTGCTATACCAGATGGATGTCAGTGAGATATGAGTTTGTTGAAGTAGTTTGAGATTAAAGCTTGAATCCTTAATTGAAACAATAACAAAGCGGCCGCCATGCCTGTGTTTTGGTAGAAAGTTGAGGGATGGGCCTGGAAAAATTTAACCACTCTCAAATTCATAGACAGAGCTATGGATGCAAGGGCTAACCATCCATGATATAAAAAATATAGTTGAACTAAGCTTGTGAGGCATTTATAAGATATTCAAGAATCAATGGGTATATATCATGTATTTATACATCCCAAAATGGATGTAGCAACTATAGATTTAACTTAAATGAAAATGA